AAATTGTCCACGATAGAAAATTCTCACTCAAAAATACAAGTAGACCTTGAAGAATATCATCCTTTTCCTATTATTATAAAAGTAAAAATAATAATGATAATTATAATAAATAAAAAAAAAAAAAAAATAATAGTATATTTACAAAAATAACGTAACTATCAGAAAAAAAGAATATACATATATATATATATATATATATATATATATATATATATATATATATATATATATATATTTTATAGCTCTACAATCATATATTTATATAGTTTATTAAATTTTTTTTTTAAATATATAATTTTATTAATAATTACTTTACATTATGTTAATAGTTTTAGTATATCAAAAAGATTAATAATGTTCTTCATTAACCAATTACAAAAACATTGATAGGTGTTTTATTTTAGACTTATTTTAATTATATCTCATTTTTTATGTCAATATAAACTGTAATAAAATAAAAAAAAAAAATTTGATCACCACTTCTAAATAAACTTATATGAAATATAATAAAAAAATTCAAAAATATTTCCTTTTTCTTTTAGTTTTACTTTGATAAGGTAATAAAATTCGTCATCATCCAAATTATATCCTAAAGTGTAAAAAGGTAAGAAAAAAAATATATCATATATTTATATAGAAAAATATTAGGTAAATATGAAAAAGAAGAAATTAATAATATATGAAAATATAGATGTATTAATATAAATATATATATAAGTATTTTATTTTTTTTTTATATCTTACTTTAATCAGAATTTATTCTTTAGCTCAAGGAAGGAAAACATAAGGTAGGTACGCATATGTGAAAATAAGAAAAATAAATTATATAAAAATATAATATAAATAATTATTTTTAAATAGATATAAAAATGTGATTTAGCAAAAATATAGACATGTATTTTTTATTTATTTTATCTTACTTTAATAAGGTATAATTATTTGCTTGACACACACCACAACAGAAATTGTAAAAAAAAAAAAAAAAAATAAAAAAAAATTTATATGTATTCTATATATAAAAGATATAATCAACATTTTATATAATAATATGGATGTAAATATAGTAAAAAAAATTATGAAATATCTTTTCTTTTTTTATCTTACTTTAATTAGGGTTTGTTGCTGTCTCGTGTAAAGATAAAAAAAAAATAATATAAATATGAATATACGAACAAAAGAGTATTTAAAAATATATATGAATATGTATACTACAAAAAAAATAAATATTTCCTTCTTTTGGTTTATTACTATAATGAAGTCCAATTATTTGCCTACTTTAAAATAAAGAAGAAATTATAGAAAATATAAATATAATTGAAAAAAAGAGAATGTAAACTTGAAAAAAAGGAAATGAAGTATTAAAATATATGTAGAAAAATAGAAAACAAAAAATAAATATTTGTTTTTTTTTTATATATTACCTTAACTATGTATTAATGCTTATCTAATGTAGTAAATTAATGAAGCTGTAAAAAAAAAAAGAAAAAAAAAATAGGATGTATATAGAATATATAAATACACATGTTTTAAAAAAAAAATCATAATTCCTCTTTTTATTTTTATACCTTATTTTGAATATAATCCATACTTCATAAGTATATAAAAAATAAAAAAAAAAACACAAAAAAAAGAAAGCATAATAATGTAGTAATGCACCAATAAAAAGGAATAATAATAGATTACAAAAAAAAAAAAAAAAAATATTAATGAATAAAATAAAAAATAGTAAATAAATTTAAAATAGTATTAATAAAAAAAAAAATAGTATAAGTGTATGAAAAATAACAATAAACAAACTATAAATAATAAGGATAAAAGATTAATAATGATAAATTTTAAGTAATTATACATAAATGATAGATAATAATGATAAATTAATAATAAAAAGTAATCATAAATAATAAAGATAAAATGTAATAATAAAATGTAATTATAAATAATGAAGATAAATAATTATTATAAATAATGAAGATAAATAATGAAGATAAATAATAATGATAAATAATGAAGATAAATAGTAATGATAAATAATGAAGATAAATAGTTATGATAAATAATAATGATAAAATGTAATTATAAATAATAATGATAAATAGTTATGATAAATAATAATGATAAATAATAATGATAAAATGTAATTATAAATAATAATGATAAATAGTTATGATAAATAATAATGATAAATAATAATGATAAATAATAATGATAAAATGTAATTATAAATAATAATGATAAATAGTTATTATAAATAATAATGATAAATAATAATGATAAAATGTAATTATAAATAATAATGATAAATAGTTATGATAAATAATAATGATAAATAATAATGATAAAATGTAATTATAAATAATAATGATAAATAGTTATGATAAATAGTAATGATAAATAATTATGATAAATAGTAATGATAAAATGTAATTATTATAAGAAAATATTAATTAATTATTATAAGTAATAAATTAATGATAATGATACGTAAATAATAAATAAGAATGATATAGAAATAATAAATAATAGTGATAAACAAAAGATATATTATAGCATAAATCAAATAATTATAAAGATAACTAAATAATAAACAACCATAATAAACAAATGATATATAATAACAATAAACATATAAGTTGGAAATTAATAAAATAAATAATATATGTAATAATAAAAATATTATTGTAATATACAAATAATAAATAGAAATGTTAAACGGAAAATATATAATAACAAACACATAATATATAATAATAATCAACAAAAATATTATAATAATAATCAACAAAAATATTATAATAATAATCAAATTATAAATATAAAAAATTATAAAAATATAATAAAAATATATAAGAATAAAATAGAAATAATCAATCGGACAGAATAATAATCAACTTATAAATATAAATTATAAAAAATATAAATATATAAAAATAAAATAGAAATAATCAATCGGATAGAATAATAATCAAATTGTAAATATAAATTATAAAAAATATAAATATATAAAAATAAAATAGAAATAATCAATCGGACAGAATAATAATCAACTTATAAATATAAATTATAAAAAATATAAATATATAAAAATAAAATAGAAATAATCAATCGGATAGAATAATAATCAAATTGTAAATATAAATTATAAAAAATATAAATATATAAGAATAAAATAGAAATAATCAATCGGATAGTATAATAATCATATTGTAAATATAAATTATAAAAAATACAAATATATAAAAATAAAATAGAAATAATCAATCGGACAGAATAATAATCAAATTGTAAATATAAATTATAAAAAATATAAATATATAAAAATAAAATAGAAATAATCAATCGGATAGTATAATAATCAAATTATAAATATAAAAAATTATAAAAATATAATAAAAATATATAAGAATAAACACATGATATATAATGATAAACAATATAGATATAATAATAAACAAATGTAAGACATGATAATAATGAAGATGTAAATTATATAAAATCAAAACATTATAATATTAAGGAAGTTATAAATGTAAACAATAAATAAAAAATAATATAATAATAATATGCAAAAGATATATAATAAGAATAAACAATAAAAATATTATAATAAAATATAAATGATATATAATAATGATAAACCATATAAATATAATAATAATAATCAAAATATATATGATTATGATAAACAGTAAAAATAAATTAATAAAAAACAAATTATAAGTAATATAAAAAATAAAATATTAATATAAAAGATGAAAAAAATAATAACAGTAATATAAAAATTACTATTAAAAATAATAAACATAAATAATATAATAATAATAAACAAATGACAAGCTGATATAATAAATAAAAGATAAATAGACTAAATAAAAATAAAATAGAAATGGTTATACAACAAGATGGAATAATAATGAGATTGGAAATATAAATTATATAAAATTATATAAAATTATATAACAATAATAAGCAAATTATAAATTAGAAAAATAAAGGAAATATAAATAAAAATCGTAAACAATATAAACATAATAATCAATTATATATAAATAAAAATTATAAATAAATTATAACAATATAGATAATATAAATAAAAGTAATAAGTAATATATATATAATAATAAAGTAAATATAAGTAAAAGTAATAAGTAATATATATATAATAATAAAGTAAATATAAGTAAAAATTATATGTAAATATGCTTGTATAATAAAGTAATTATAAATATATATGCTAAATAAATAAATTATAAGAATATAGATAATATATATAAAAATGATAAGTAATATATGTATAATAATAAAGTAAATATAAGTAAAAATTATATGTAAATATGCTAGTATAATAAAGTAATTATAAATATATATGCTAAATAAATAAAGTAGAATAGTATAGATAATATATATAAAAATGATAAGTAATATATGTATAATAATAAAGTAAATATAAGTAAAAATTATAAGTAAATATGCTAGTATAATAAAGTAATTATAAATATAAATGCTAAACAAATAAATTAGAACAATATAGATGATATAAATAAGAGTGATAAGAAATATACATATAATAATGATATATAATAAATATATAATAATATTAATAAACAAATTATATATAATAATTATAAGCCATAAAAATATAATAATTATAAAAATAATAATAACAATCTAATTATAAATAGATATGAAGAAATATAAAAATATAATAATAAAGAAAATATAAATTAGAATGATAAACACTATATATATAATAATAATATACATATAAATAATAAAGGTAATATAAACTAATATGTAAATATAACAATTATAAAATTTTATTTTATTTTTTTTTTTTTTTTATATTATATATATTTTTTTTTCTTTTTATTATATATATATGTATATATGTATATAAGTACATATGTATATATGTATATATGTATATAAGTATATATGTATATATGTATATTTTGTTTTTCCTGTTTTTTATTGAAATTATATCAAGGGTTTTCTTGTTTTTTTTATGTATCCAATGCGAAGGTAACTCTTTTCACTACTGTTTTTTTTGTTTTTGTTTTAACTAGACACGATTTGAGAGGTACCTTTTTTAAATTGCAAGTATTTGTATTTTCCATACTATTCAAAAGCTTTTCTTCATTATGAACTATTGGTGTAATATCTTCTGATTTATTATCCGTATTTTTTTTTATTTGATGTTTACTTTTACTAAGCATTCTGTTCATGCTCAAATTATAGTTATTTAACCTTTTCTTATTAAAAAGAATTTTGTTTTTTTTAGAAATAGATCTTGTATTTTTAACACTTTTTTTAATTATTGAATTAAGCACTTTCGATTTAATTGTCCTCGTTTCAGTTTCTCTCTTAACAATTCTGCTTTTTATCTGATGGTATTTATTTCTAATAAATTTTCTATCCTTGCTTAGATTAAAGTTACTTAACTTTTTATTATTAATTAGTATTACTTTATTAAAATTAGAAAGATTTTTTACTTTTTTTCTATCTAATATATTTTTGTTATTTGATATTACAACTTCATCTTTTTGGATACCACTGATAAAGCTATCACCTTTTACTCTTTTGATATCATTATTCATTGTTTCTAATTTGTCATTAGAACCTATAAATTTTCTCATTTTAAAATTTTTGTTATCTAAGCAACTATTAGTTTTTTTTCTCTTTTTTACTAAAAATCCTTTATCACTTAATATATTTTTTTTAGTACATTCTTTACTATTTTCTTTATTAGTATATATAAGTGTCTTTTCATCTTTATTTTGTCCTTTAATATCTGATATATTATCACATTTTCCTTTCTTAACAGATTTTTCACTAAACGTAAAATCACAAAATAATGATTGCTTGTTTTCTTCGTCTAATTTTTTTTTTCTTTTGTTTGAATTGCAGATGCTATTATTAGCGCTTCTTTTTAATGTATTGTTGAATTTATTATTATTCAATTTCTTTAAAGTGGTAGAATCATCATTGATTAACAAATGTGATGTTTTTAATTTCTTATCATTATTATTGTCACAATTTGACTTTTGCATTTCTTCTACTTTTTCAGTATTGCTGTTTTCATGATCTGATTGTTCTAATTCATCCAGTTTTTCATCATCATCATTTTTATAATTTGACTGTTCTAATTCATATGGGTCTTGATCATTATTATTTTCATCACTTGACATTTCTAATTCTATTTTATCATTATCATTATTTTCTTCATCTGACTGTTCTAATTCTTCTAATTTTCCATCATCGCTATCCTCATAATTTGATTGTTCTGAATATTCTGTTATTTCGCCGACTGATTGTTCTTGTTCTTTTTGTTTTTCATTTTTATTATTTTCATGATATACTATTTTTAATTCTTCTTTTTTATCATCTTCATCATTTTTTTCAATACTTGAAAATTTTGCTGTTTCTGAGATATACATATCATCATTTCCACAAAATTGAAGTTCCTCATTTTCTTCTATATATTTCTGATCATTTTCATATGTTGAAAATTCTTGAGATTCTAAAGAGTTCTCATCATTTTCATATGTTGAAGATTCATGAGATTCTAAAGAGTTCTGATCATTTTCATATGTTGAAAATCGTTGGGCATCTGGGGAATCCTGATTTTTTTTGGAATCTAAATCCTCTTTATTATTTGGAATTTTTTCATCATCTTTGTAATTTGAAAAACGTTGGGCATCGGGTGAGTCCTTATAATTTTTGGAATCTAAATCCTCTTTATTATTTGGAATTTTTTCATCATCTTTGTAATTTGAAAAACGTTGGGCATCTGGGGAGTCCTTATAATTTTTGGAATCTAAATCCTCTTTATTATTTGGAATTTTTTCATCATCTTTGTAATTTGAAAAACGTTGGGCATCTGGGGAGTCCTTATAATTTTTGGAATCTGAATCCTCTTTATTATTTGGAATTTTTTCATCATCTTTGTAATTTGAAAAACGTTGGGCATCTGGGGAGTCCTTATAATTTTTGGAATCTAAATCCTCTTTATTATTTGGAATTTTTTCATCATCTTTGTAATTTGAAAAACGTTGGGCATCTGGGGAGTCCTTATAATTTTTGGAATCTAAATCCTCTTTATTATTTGGAATTTTTTCATCATCTTTGTAATTTGAAAAACGTTGGGCATCTGGGGAGTCCTTATAATTTTTGGAATATGAATCCTCTTTATTATTTGGAATTTTTTCATCATCTTTGTAATTTGAAAAACGTTGGGCATCGGGTGAGTCCTTATAATTTTTGGAATCTGAATACTCTCTATTATTTGGAATCTTTTTATCTTCGTAATTTGAAAATCGTTGGGCATCGGGGGAGTCCTTATAATTTTTGGAATCTAAATCCTCTTTATTATTTGGAATTTTTTCATCATCTTTGTAATTTGAAAAACGTTGGGCATCGGGGGAGTCCTTATAATTTTTGGAATCTGAATACTCTCTATTATTTGGAATCTTTTTATCTTCGTAATTTGAAAATCGTTGGGCATCGGGGGAGTCCTTATAATTTTTGGAATCTGAATACTCTCTATTATTTGGAATCTTTTTATCTTCGTAATTTGAAAATCGTTGGGAATCTTGGGAGTCCTTATAATTTTTGGAATCTGAATACTCTCTATTATATGGAATCTTTTTATCTTCGTAATTTGAAAATCGTTGGGCATCGGGGGAATCTTCATAATTTTTGGAATTTGAATACTCTCTATTATTTGGAATCTTTTTATCTTCGTAATTTGAAAATCGTTGGGAATCTTGGGAGTCCTGATAATTTTTGGAATCTGAATACTCTCTATTATATGGAATCTTTTTATCTTCGTAATTTGAAAATCGTTGGGCATCGGGGGAATCTTCATAATTTTTGGAATTTGAATACTCTCTATTATTTGGAATCCTTTCATCATCTTCGTAATTTGAAAATCGTTGGGCATATGGGGAATCTTGATAATTTTTGGAATTTGAATACTCTCTATTATTTGGAATCCTTTCATCATCTTCGTAATTTGAAAATCGTTGGGCATCTGGGGAGTTCTGATAATTTCTGTAATCTGAATATTCTCTATTATTTGGAATTCTTTCATCATTTCGGTAATTTGAAAATTGTTGAGCTTCTATATCGTTCTGACAATCTTCATGAATTGCGAACTTATTATCTGAAAATTTTTCATCATTTCCATAAACTGGATGTTGAGGAATTTGTTCATTATTTTCATAATAGTTTGTGTTAGGTGGGAATTCATTATTTTGTTCATTATTTTCATAATAGTTTGTGTTAGGTGGGAATTCATAATTTTGTTCATTATTTTTATAATCACTTTCGTAGGTTGGAAATTTACACTCTTCTGTTTCGTCGTTATTTATAGTTGTTGATACTTCCTGTAATTCAAATTCATTATTAATCTGGTTATTTTCATGGAATGGTTGTTGTGATACTATATTTTTATTATTTACATTATCTTGAACTAATATGTTGAAAGTTTTTGGTTGTTCTGATGACATAAATGGATATTTTTTTTTTATCCTCAAATTAAAATCTTCAATCATATCATCATCAGGAGTTATTCCATAATTTTTTAAACATATAACTCTAAATATGTCATCCATTATTGTAATTTCAATATTTTTATTAATTAATGCATCACAAACTTGAGAATACAACATTGTTACATATAAATAAACATTGAAAAGAGATTCAGGGGATGTTTCGTCTTCTTCATCATGGGGACATAGTGTACCTTCTTCGAGGCGTTCTTTATATGTTAATAAAACATGTATTAGTGTAGTATCTTCAATATCTATTTTCTTTTCCTCAGATTTTGATTCAATTTTATCATATTCTAATTCTGATGGTAATTCCCAATCATCCTCTACACCCATGCATACTCTTCTTAATTTATAAAACCAATAATGAATACTTCTATAAGAATAACATAGTTGACTTGAAAAGGTTCTAAGAGTTTTATCCATTTCATAATCATAATACTTTATAATATAAAAACATGATTCTACTTTTTCTCTTAGAAGATTAAAAGCTTTATTTATTTTAAACAACTGATATATATAAGGATGATCATCATCATAGTATTCCGTAATTCCATGTTTTGAATGAAATTTTTTCTTATATTCAAGAATATCTTCTTCCATATCAGATGATTGAATTATATCTATTCTATTGTATATAAAATTTGTAATTAAATGAATGTCTCCTTTTAACATATCTGATATTTCTTTTTTTTCACAGTTATATTCTTGGCAATATGTTTTTATATAATCATCCCTCGCCAATTCAATAATAGGATTTTTACAGTATTTTTCGAAAGAATCAAATATTTGTTTACATGTTGAAAAACTATATTCTGGGAATAAACTCTTAATTCTCTTACTGTAATAATGATATTTGGATACCTTTTCAGATATTTTATATTCTCTCTTGCAATTATCAGTAAAACTTTTTATAACATCCTTCATATATTTTAATGTTTTCATTATATATTCCCATTTAGCTTTACACATTTCATCAATACGTTTTAAATGCTTTATTTTTGAGGATTTTATAGGATTTTTATATAATTCTGCTTTATATTCATTAAGCATAATATTTTCTGGCATTTCACCAGTATTAGGAAACATATAATTTTCTGCATATTGTAAATCATTTATATCATCTGCATAATCTTCATTATAAATAATCATAATTCGTTTTTGATGCTTGCTATTATATTCCAAATCACTCATATATAAATTTACGTTTTCCTCATATGAAGAATTATCCTCTTTGCATGAACTAATCTCACTAATTAAACTACTGTCCCATTCATTTACACCATTATCTTTTAAATTATCATTTGCTTCTAAGATAATTTCCTCTTCTAAATTGTTATTTTTATCTAAATTAATTTCCTCTTCTAAATTGTTATTTTTATCTAAATTAATTTCCTCTTCTAAATTGTTATTTTTTTCTAAATTAATTTCCTCTTCTAAATTGTTATTTTTTTCTAAATTAATCTCTTCTTCTAAATTGCCATTTTTTTCTAATTTATTCTCTTTTTCTAAATTAATTACTTCTTTTAAATTGTCATTTTTTTCTAATTTATTCTCTTCTTCTAAATTAATCTCTTCTTCTAAATTGATATTTTTTTCTGAATTTTTTTCTTTTTCTTCATCTTCTGCTGGTAAATTATTTTCTGTATTTTCTACTTTTATATCTAAATCTTCTTTTATTACATTTGATTTAATCTTAGATTTTTCCTTGCGTTTTTCACAGAAAATTGAAGATTCATCTGCTATTTTATTTTTTTTTTTTTTTTTTTTGCTAATACTTTTTGATGATGTTTCTTTTGCATTATTTTTATTTTTTATTACTTTTTTTTTTTTTTTATTTTTTAAGGAAATTTCATCATCATTTTCTTCATCACTACTTGATGAAAGAACACATGCTTCTTTTCCTTCATTCATTTTTAAATATGCCTTATTATGTACCTTATTTTTTTCTTTGTTAGCAAATTTTGATTTCATTTTTTTGTTTTTTTTCTTGTTTGAACTTAAAGACTCTTTCTTTATAGTTTTACTTTTTGTCTTATTACTTTTATTGTTCTTTTTTGCTTTTGCTTCTTTACCGTTTTTCTCATTTATAATAGAAAAAAATACATCACATATTTCTTTTACTTTATTTGTTTTTGAAGAATTTTTATTATTAGCTATCATAGAAATCATATTAATTTCATTTTTTTTATTTTTTAATGATTTTTCTCCATTATTTGTTTTACTGAAAGATGGGGGAAATATGTTAATTTCTTTTTTCTTGTTTAATTTTAATGTTTTTTCTTCATTCATTAAAGTAATAATATTCATTTCATCTTCATTACTTATTTCTAATAATTTTTCTTTGTTACTTTTCTTACTATCAATTAATGAAAGATCATCAATAACACTTTTAGTAGCTTTAAATGATTTCTCTTTATGATCCTTATCACTGTCAATCAAAGAAAGAGCATTTATGATATTTCTTCTATTAGCATTTAATGACTTTTCTTTATGATCTTTATCACTATCAATTAAAGAAAGAGCGTTTATAATATTTCTTCTATTTGCTTTTAAGGATTTTTTTACACTTTTATTCTCATTATATGTTGAAAATGAATCTACCATAACTTCACTTTTATTTGTTTTTAATGATTTATCTCTAGTGTCTTTTTCACCATTTGTTGAAGCAGAAGAATCTATTATGACTTTTTTTTTATTTGTTTTTAATAATTTATCTATAGTATCTTTTTCACTATTTGTTGAAGAAGATGAATCTATTATAACTTTTTTTTTATTTGCTTTTAATGATTTTTTTTTATTAATTTTCTCACCATTAAGTGAAAAAAAAATATCTTGAAGTTGTTTTCCTTTTATATCTAATTGTTTTCTGTTATTACCTTTCCCAGAAAGAAATGAAGAGACATATTTTTCAAGTTTTTTTCTACTTATTTTTACTGGTTTTTTTTTATTGTTTTTCTTATTACATAATAAAGAAAGTAAATTTTTAATATTTTTTTTATTTACCTTTTCTGTTTTTTGTTTATTATTTTTCTTACTGTTATTTGAGGAAGGAACTTTTATTATATTTTTTTTTCTTTTTGTTAAGGATTTATTTTTGTTACTTTTCTCACTATAAAGTAAAGATAATAAGTCTATAATTTTTCTTCTATTTGTTTTTAATGATTTGTCGTTGTTACTTTTCTTACTGTAAAGTAAAGATAGTAAATCTGTAATTTTTCTTCTATTTGTTTTTAATGATTTATTTTTGCTACTTTTCTTATTATAAAGTATAAAAAGTAAGCTTATAACTTTTTTTCTATTCTTTTCCAATAATTTATCTTTAATAATATTCTTATTGTAAAGTGAATAAAGCAATCTAATAATTTTTCCTTTATTTGTTTTTAAATATTTATCTTCATTAATTTTTTTACTAGAAAGAAAAGATAGCATGCATATAACCTTTTTTCTATTTAATTTAAGTGATTTATCTTTGTTATTTTTCTCATCATAAAGAATAGATAGTAAATTTATAATTCTTGTTCTATTTTTTTTTAATGAGCTGCCTTTATTAACTTTTTTACTAGTAAATGGATCTTTTATATCTTTTTTTTTTGTTCTATTTGTATTTAATAGTCTTTTTTTTTTATTTACTGTAGAAGATACATCTTCTTTTGCTTCATTTGCACTTGATAATATTTCATCACTATCAATTTCATTAGCAATAGAAAGTATATTTTCTTCCTTAACTTCAACAATATTTGATAATAATTCATAATTATCAATTTCATTAGCAATAGAAAGTATATCTTCTTCCTTTATTTCAGTTGCATTTGATAATATTTCTTCATTATCGTTTTCATTAGCAATAGAAAGTACATCTTCTTTTGCTTCATTTTCACTTGATAATATTTCTTCATTAACATTTTCATTAGAACTTGAAAGAATATCTTCTTCCTTTATTTCATTTGCACTTGATAATATTTCATCATTATCGTTTTCATTAGCAATAGAAAGTACATCTTCTTCTGCTTCATTATCGTTTTCATTAGAACTTGAAAGCATATCTTCTTCCTTTATTTCATTTGCACTTGATAATATTTCATCATTATCGTTTTCATTAGCAATAGAAAGTACATCTTCTTCTGCTTCATTATCGTTTTCATTAGAACTTGAAAGCATATCTTCTTCCTTTATTTCATATATATCTGTTGAAATTTCTCCATTATGAATTTCATCAGAAATTGAAAGTATATCTTCTTGCTTTACTTCATTTATATTTGTTGAAATTTTTTCACTATCATTTTCATTAGCAGTAGAAAATGTATCTTCTTCCTTTACTTCAACAATATTTGATAATACTTCTTCAGCATCATTTTCATTAGCAATTGAAACTGCATTTTCATTCTTTGTTTCATTTATATCTGATGAAATTTCTTTATTAATTTCATCAGTAATAGGAAGTACATCTTCTTTTACTTCATCTACATTTGATAATATTTCTTCACTATCAATTTCATTAGCAATAGAAAGTATATTTTCTTCCTTAACTTCAACAATATTTGATAATATTTCTTCATTATCATTTTCATTAGCAGTAGAAAATGTATCTTTTTCCTTTACTTCAGTTGCATTTGATAATATTTCTTCATTATCATTTTCATTAGCAGTAGAAAATTTATCTTCTTCCTTTACTTCAACAATATTTGATAATAATTCATCATTATCAATTTCGTTAGCAATAGAAAGTATATCTTCTTCCTTTATTTCAGTTGCATTTGATAATATTTCTTCATTATCGTTTTCATTAGCAATAGAAAGTACATCTTCTTTTGCTTCATTTTCACTTGATAATATTTCTTCATTAACATTTTCATTAGAACTTGAAAGCATATCTTCTTCCTTTATTTCATTTGCACTTGATAATATTTCATCATTATCGTTTTCATTAGCAATAGAAAGTATATTTTCTTCCTTAACTTCAACAATATCTGATGAAATTTCTTTATTAATTTCATTAGTAATAGGAAGTACATCTTCTTTTACTCCCTCTACATTTGATAATATTTCTTCATTGTCAATATCATTAGCAATAGAAAGTATATTTTCTTTCTTTATTTCATTCAAATTTGTTGAAATTTCTTCAGTATCATTTTCATTAGCAATAGAAAGTATATTTTCTTCCTTAACTTCAGTTGCAATTGATAACATTTCATCACTATCATTTTCATTAGCAATAGAAAGTATATTTTCTTCCTTAACTTCAACAATATTTGATAATATTTCCCCAATATTATTTTTATTAGTAGAGAGAGATACTTTTTTTTCTTTTATTTTTCTTATTTTTGAAGATTTTTTGTTATTTTTTTTTACATCAGCTAACGAGAAAAGCACATTTTTTCCTTTTGTTTTACTTGGAGTTGATAGACTTTCAATATGATATTTTTCATTAAGTAAGGAATTTACAATTTTTTTCTTTAGGTTTTGCACACTAGATGATTGTTCTTTACTGCATTTTTTATTAAAAGAATAAAATGAATTCATTTCTTTGTTTTTATTCATCTTGAATACATTATTATTATTATTGTTAAATAAAACAAGATTAATTTTTTCTTCTTTTTTGCTTATTAATGAATGAGATACATATTTTTTGCAATATTTATTTAAAGTACAAAATTTTAAATTTCTATTCAGAAGTAAAAGGGGTTTATGTTTTTTAATTTTTTTTGACATACCAAAATTTCCTAAATTCGTTACCTTACTTAATAACCTAACAAACAATTTATAATTAAATAAACCGTTTTTAATACTTGAAAATCCTTCAACATTTATGCAAGTATTCACATTTAAATTTAACAGTGCATCATTTTTTGTAAAAAAGTTTTTATTAATAATATTAGATTTCTCTAAAATATTATTATTTATATAAAACAAATCATATGTATCATTAGTTTCATTTTCACTTCTCAATCTATCATATTGATTTGATATAAAAATAATTAATTCTTTGCATGTTGTTATACTTTTTTCTAATTCTTTAAAAAATTGCATACATTTAGTAGATACAGAAATATAAAACTTAACACTTTTTAATTCATTATTATATGATTTATTTCTCATATCAATTACTCTCTTTACACAATTTAATACATCTTTATTACCCTTTAATAAATTAATTGTATTACAAATAATATTTTTAAGGGTTTTAATTAAATATTTATTATGCACAGATATACTTTCTAGTTTTAACCTCCCTTTTACTGATAGATATAGTTTTACAACTTCATAAAATTTGCTAATTAAATTGTTTATTTTGTTAAAATCTTCCATATTTTTATTCAAAAAAAATTCTTCTCCAATATTTTGATCCATTTTTATTTAATTTAAAGATATTATAATAAGATACTTTAGGTATGCAAAAAAAAATTAAGGTAATTTTAATAATAATATAATAACAATCACCTAATAGAAATTTTTAATTCTTTTTTATTTTTTAAAAAAGGAATTAATATATAATAATATTTATATGAAAAAATAAATCCAATAAAAATTTCTGATATTATTTTTTCTAATATAATAAATATAAAAATGTAATTAATATTACAATATTTATATAATATAATTTTTAATTCTCTTTTATATTTAAAAAAAAGAATTAACATATAATAACATTAATATAATAATATAAATGTAATAATATAAATATAATAATATAAATGTAATAATATAAATGTAATAAAAATAATTGATTCTTGTTTTAAAAACAAAAAAGAATTAATACATAATAATATAAATAAACTAATATGCGTCTAATAAAAATTATTAATTCTTTTTTGTTTTTAAAACAAGAATCAATATAAAATAATAATAGAAAAAATAATACTAAATAATATAAAACTATTTAGAATTATTGATTCTACTATTAAAAAAAAAATAGAATTAACATAGAATAATGTTACTTCTAAAATATGTATAATATATATATATATATATGTATGTATTTTATTTTTTTTTTTTTTTTTTTATTTTTTTTTTTTTTTTTTTTTTTTTTTTTTATTTTTTTTTATTAATAAATATGTAAATTTGTATTAGATATAATCTAAAATACAAATGTGTATCCACAACTTATTCACAATGAATATGTTGTAATAAATAAAAGTAATACAAATTAATGTAAATACAAATAATATAATTGTTAAAAAAAATACATATATTTTTTTTAAAATATAAAATATTTTAGTATATACTATAAAGCACAGATTCCTATTCTTAATTTTTTTTACGCAACAAGGATTATTTTACAAAAGTTTTCCAAAACTATATAGGTATAAATAGTACTAATAAATACAATAACAAGGCCTATTCTAAAGTAATCAAATTATATAAAAGAGTCAATTCAAAGAACATCTACCTGTAAAAAATAAATATACATTAAAAAAATTTATTTTTATAAATAAATAAAAATATTGAATTATAAAAATGAGTATACACTTACTCTATTTTTTTAACTTCTCTATTTTTTTATATATAGAAACTTTTTTCCTTATATAATCCTTAAACTTAAAACTTAATACCAACTTTAATTTATGGAATTTTTTTTTTTTTTTTTTTCCTTTCGTTTTTATTTCATACACATATACTATGTTAAAAAAAAAAAATTAATTATTCCACCGCTCTCTTTAGTTGTGTATTAAGCAAATTAAGTATATATAAAAATAAAGTTAATTATTTCTACTCTCTCTTTTGTTACGTACTATGCAAATTAAGAATATATAAAACTTAAATTAATTTTTCTACCGTTCTCTTTAGTTATGCATTTAACAAATTAAGTATATATAAATATAAAGTTAATTATTCCACCTTTCTCTTTATTTACGTACTAAGCAAATTAAGTATATATAAAAAAAAAAAAAATTATTCCACCGCTCTCTTTAGGTATGTATTAAGCATATATATATGTATGTTTATGAATGCTTCTTTTTATAAATGTTTATATTGTGTTATATATATTTTTTTTTTTTTTTTTTAAATGAATATACAATTTCATAAACTTATTTACGTTAATTTTATATGTATTCATATACTAATATGTTTGAACATGCTAAAAATACTTTTAATTATTATTAATATAATAAATAAATGATATTATGTTTTTATGTATATATATATAAATTAATTACAAAAATAAATTTTATAAAATATAATGTTTTTTTCTCTAAATATAAAATTCAATAGGTGATACCATTTATAATACTTGAAGAATATAAAAAAAAAAAAAAATAAAATAAATAAATAAAATAAAATTTTAAAAAATAATTTTTATATATTTTTTTAATTTTAAAATTTAAGTATTCCAACTTTAATTTCGTTATTTTTTTTACTGTTTTATATGGGGCCAAAAAGTGACATGTGCACAAAATTAGAAAAAAAAAAAAAAAAAATCACCATTTACTCTCATTCAGAACCCTTCAATATTCAGTAAATTTATATAACTTAATTGAATATTTTGTATTGTTCTAAGTAGATTTATATATATTTTCATATATTTTTAAATAGAAAAAAATTGACTTAAAAAGAATAACGTGAAAACAAGGAAAATTTCAAGTGTGGATTCGATTTTCTCTGTATTCTTTGTTTTTTATCGATGAAATAGTACATGCAGAAACTTTCATGTATCTCTGAAAAAGAACCCCTTTGATTATATTGTTATAATAATTCGTTACAAAAAAAAAAAAAAAAAAAAAAAAAAAAATTGATATGCACATTGCAATAATTCATTTTTTTACTTAAAGAATTACGGTATAATTCAGTATATATAAAAATATATATATATATATATATATAATTATTTTATACTTTATAATTTCTCTTTTTTTAATGCGTTAAATAAAATTTTATCATACATTTATAAGACTAATAATGTGCAATAATATGCTTATATATATATGTATTTTTTTTTTTTATGATTATTTTATTTATTTTTTTTTTTTCTAAATATTTAACATTTTAAATTTTAATTTCTTGTATGTGTGAGGAAACTAAAAGGGGTTAATTTTATATACTATCATTAGTATACATACTACTTTTATTAAGCAGTTGAAATATACTTTTATTAATCTATGACAAACATTGTAACTTTAACAAAATAGTATATTCTTGTTTTATTTTCTTTTTTTAAACTTAATTAAATAATTATAAAAAAAAAAAAAAAAGAAAAAACTTGTACTTCACATAATTAATCCCCTCAAATAATGAGATTTAAGTAACCATAGTTTTTTTTTTAAAGTATCTTTTCGAAAACTTTTTAAAAAACTATCGAAATGTATACTAAAAGTTCGAGAATACAAATCGAAATCATGTACATCATGTATTTTTTTACTTAAATTTTTGTATATGTTAAATATGACATATAACATTTTTAAAATTTATAATTACTTATTATTATTTTGATATATAATTTGATTTTTTTTTTTTTCAAATTTAATCATAGAGAATAAATTTTTTTATTTCCTTATTTTCTTATCTCCATTTGTTCCCTATAAATTGCTTACAATAATAGAGAAATTTAAACAATTTTTTCTTTTGTATTATAAAAAATTGTTAGTATTTAAAGCAAAATACTTAGGAAAGAAAAGAATTTTTTTTCTTTTTTTTTGTTTTTTTTGTAACATTTTTAGCTTAAGATTAACATAACTTTTTACTACTTTTAATACATATAAACCATTTTTAAATGAAAACATAGCAAAAAAAAGATATGTAGAATGAATGATTTTTTTTTTTTTTTTTTTTTTTATATAAATACGAATAAAGTATTTTAAGATGCTTATTTTTCCATTTAAGGAGTATTAAAACTCTTCCGTTATTGTTAAAATAAAAGTGAGAAATTTATAAAATAATATCATTTGCAACCAAAAAAAAAAAAAAAAATTTCAATTTTGAGAGAGATTTTAATAAAGGAATTATGTAGTTTTAAAAAAAAAAAAAAATTTTTTTAAATATATAAATTTAAATATGTTATATCAAAAATTAAGTTCATTAAACAATGTAAAAACTCAAAAGAGANTTTTTTTTTTTTTTTTTTTTTTATATAAATACGAATAAAGTATTTTAAGATGCTTATTTTTCCATTTAAGGAGTATTAAAACTCTTCCGTTATTGTTAAAATAAAAGTGAGAAATTTATAAAATAATATCATTTGCAACCAAAAAAAAAAAAAAAAATTTCAATTTTGAGAGAGATTTTAATAAAGGAATTATGTAGTTTTAAAAAAAAAAAAAAATTTTTTTAAATATATAAATTTAAATATGTTATATCAAAAATTAAGTTCATTAAACAATGTAAAAACTCAAAAGAGAAGAAAGTTTACATTTTAAAGCACTTATAATAAAACTATATAATTGCAACGAATTAATTGAGCAGAATTGAAATCATAAAGAAATTAAATTTTTTTTTTTCTTTTTTTTTTTTTGGTGTTAATAATGATATTATTGTTCTTTTTATTTTCACAAATAATACTTATGTTAATTTATTATTTTATTTTACATATGTAATAAAAATATAGGATATATATATTCCCTAGAATTTATTATCATAAGAAAAAAAAAAGTATTTTTAACTTTATTCTTTAAAATATTAATAATAAATATTTTATTTATTTTTTTTTTTTTTACTTAGAATTTTGCAGATTTGAAAATGTTATCATGAACTGATTAGAATGTTAAATGAATTAAAAATATTAAACTAAATAATATTTATATAAATTATATGTTAATTTAATACTTTTTAAGACAAATAATAATTTTTTTTTTTTTTTATACTACTATATATATTTATCCTATTTTTTTTTAATTGCACTTAAATTTTGTATATTCTTATTAAAAATAATTATAACTCCTAGATATATATAAAAACAGGAGATGTTCTTATAAATTACAATTTTAATGGAATTTTTTTGTAACATATTTTTGGTATCATCTGATGATACTAGTTCAATATTTATTTTCAGCATAGTTTTATTGTATGTATTATATTTATTTTAATTTTTTTTTATATGTTTACTAAATTACTTATTTAAATATATATTAAATCAATTGCAATTAAAAGTATTCTCTAATTTCACTAAAATAACCCTAAAGGACTTAAACATGCACTATCCATTCGCATGTTAAGAGAGATTTTTCTTAATATGAAAGATACCTATTTTAGTATATATATAAGATTCAATGAAAAAAATAAAAAAAAAATATATAATGATAAAGAATATTTTTTATATAATATTTCCATTTTCGTTTATCGTTTAATGCACTAGAATATAGAATGTTATATATTAAATCGTAAATCAAAATTTTTAAATCTGTTATTTTTGAAATATTTTTAAGTTAAAATGCTTTTATTATTTTGAAATAACCTTAAATTTTAATCTTTAGTATACATAATATTTGCTTTAAAAGGGTATAATTTACATGTATATTCATAGGAAAAATGACGAAAAGAAAAATTATAATATAAATATTTATAACTCATTTACCGAAAAATTATAATCTTTAAAGATATATTTTTTATATATGTTTAATCTTAAATTTAAAGTTTTTTTTTTATTTTTAATTTGGCAATTTTTACTAGAGCTTTATATGTAATATATCTTTTCATAAAAATATCATGTGGAGTCATTTACTTCTATTAACTCCTTTTTAATTTCAGATTATTAAAGTGTATTCTTCTTCTATTTAAAAATAATGCATTCTAATATATTTAAAAATGATACAAGAATGTTTCCTTTTGAAATATATATGCATATATCAATAATTTTGTTTTCATTAATTTTTCCTTAAAATACATGCTTGAATTGTTCCTAGTAAAATAAATTAATTAAAATACCATAAAAAAAAAAATAAAATAAAACATATAGTTTTTTTATCATTTAGGATATTTTTTGTTTTTATTTGCATTTATATATAGAATTAAAAAAATTATTCTCTTAATGAAAAAAAATTTAATAGGTCAAAAAAAAAAAATATATATATATATAAGTTCATAATAAAATGCATTTTTGGGAATTAAAAATTAACAAATTTAAAAAAAATCAATAAGAATGAAAACATAAATATATAAAAATATTTGTATTTAAATAAGTATATTTATTAATTGTTAAAATATTCTTCTATATTAAAATTGCAAATATCATAATGATACTTTTTGCTAATAATGAGAATAAAAAAGGAAAAATAATAAAGTACCAAATTTCGAAATATGTTAATATATAAAGTTTTTTTCTTTTTTTTTTTTTTTTTTTTTTTAAAATGTTTTTTTTATGTATTTTTGGTTATGAAATAATTAAAAATTTTAATTTTATTTTTTATATTTTAAGAAAAATGTTTGCTTCTTTTTTAAAGGAAATTAGTGATTATAAGTACAATTTAAAAATTTGATAAAATATATTTTTTTAAACATTTAAAAATATTTTTAGTATCTTAGTATGTTATATATATATATATATATGTAAAAAGATAAAAGAAAATTATATAATTGCAAAAAAACTTATTTAAAAAATAAGGGTATTTTTATAACATTAAAGTACAGATTTGTTTCCTAACACCATCAACAATATTTTTCTCAACAAAAACAATAAATTGTTAAAATACTAAGAAAAAAACTACTCTTGGTATTTACTTTACATTATGTATGAAAAAAAAAAAAAAAAAAAATCAGTATATATTGGTAGTAAAAAACAGTTTCTTTTATTTAAGAAAAACTTAATATTAACTGATTTAATTTTTCATGTTAAAATATAAATTTATAAATTCTCATTAGTTTTTTGTGACTTCAATTTTTTTTTATTTTGAAAATTTTACATTCAAATTATATTTCATTATTTCTATTTTTTTAAATATTTTATTCTTTTAGAAATATGAAATATAAAATTACCTATAATTATTTTCCCTTCTTTAAAAAAATACTTTTTTTATAATTATGTATCACATATGCACATATAACGGTTTTTATATACAAAACATTAACTGTTTGCCTTTTTTATAAGGCTTTCAAATACCATTTCGATAGTAATTAATAAAATAAAACTTTATTTTATAATATTACTTTTTCAATTTTTGAACTACTATTTTTTGTTAGACAATTTATAATGATAATTATTTATAATTTTTTAATTCTAATTTTTACATAGCTAATTAAAGAAAACTCGATTCAACTTAAAACTTAACCTTCTTTTTCCTTATTTTTTTTTTGTATATTAAATAGTATATATTATTTATGATTACAATTAAAAATAATTTATTTGTTTTATATGTGCTTTTAATTGGAGAATTTTATTTTAAATCATTCTTATTATATATATGCCATGAGTATCTTATGTAAAGAAGTTAAAATTTATAAAATTATAATTTTCATATATTGTTGATACATATGTTTTATAATACATGTGTGTAATTTAGAGAAAGAGCATATATACGTTAACTGTGAAAAAAGAAAAATATATTTAAAAAGAATGAATAAGTTATAAAAAAAAAATTTTAAAAAAAAAACTTATAATTTTAATTAAGGAATTCTCAAAATTATTTTAAAAACATTTCTATTTATATATTTTGCAAAGGCATATTTATCATATGTTATGTAATAATTACCTTTTTTTTAATGAGAGAACTGGATTATATAATAGTTTTTTTCTTTGAATATTAATTCAAATTTCTTTATTATATTTTTTATTTTATATTCATTCATATATTTATTATTCATAATTTAATATTTTTTCTTTATTCGTTTAATTTATTGAAATTACAAGTATAAAAAAATAAATTTTTAATTATTTTAAATGTTAATTTTTTTTTTTTTTTTCTTCTTTTATTTAAAGTGAAAATACAGTAAATAAAATTTATCATGTATTTTTTAATTTTAAAAATTAATTTATCAATTTTACACATTTTTTTTTTTTAAAAGAAAGCATCGAAATTTTTGATGAAGCAAAAAGAAAAAAAGAAAAAAAATTGTTTTTATTGTATGACCATTTAAATATTATATATATTTTAAGTTGTAAAGTTTAATCTTATTTCAGTTTTGCTTAATATTCTTTGAACTTTTATTTTTTAATGGATATCATTTATGCCTAACTTTATTTTTTTTGAAGGTTATTCATATGGAAGAAACATGTTATAAAAGAAATAATAAAAAAAAATATTATAAATTCTGTTAATTCATAAGGCACACATTTTTATATAAAAATATATATTTTTATAAAAAAAAAAAAAAGATATGAATATAAAAATTTAAATAAAGTATATAAATTCATTAAATAAATTGATAATAATATATAAATAAATAAATATATATACGTATTGTCATTTGTTATATAAATTTCTGTATGAATTAATTTCCCTTTAAGACCACTAACCATCATTACATTATTTTTTTTATTTTGTACGAATTTCCTTTTTTTTGTATATTTGTATTTTCTAAAGAAATAATTAATGTAAGTAAGAAATTAAAATTTGCTTTAATTATTTAACTCATTTTTAATTTGAATAATTTCTTTTATTGGTATTGGCTCGTAAGGAAATTTTTTTAATTTTGGTATTTTTAAATTTTGTAAAGATGTAACTAAATAATCAATTGAATTATCCGATAATTTTAAGCATGAATTTTCTTGTGGCAATAAACTTAAAAAATCGTTTATTAGATTAGGCATATTAAAATATTCTCTTTTTAAAATATATTCCTTCTTATCATCTTTATCTTTTTCATTGTATTTATTATTTTTATTTAAGTCATCAAAATAATCTATGTCATTCAAAGGGTTGCTTGTTTCATTATTTTTTTTTTGTTTTTTTTCTTTTTCTGAATATTTGTAACTTTCAAAAGGTTTATATATAGACATAGTCTTTAAATCAGGTCTAATAATATAATTAATGGAATCAGTTACATCTATTTTTTCTTTTTTTCTTTTTTTTATATTAATATTACCATTAATGCTTACTTTCTTTTTTTTCATGTAATTTTCGGAGTCATAAAAATTGAATGAATCATATGTTAAACTAATTAATCTATTTTTAAATTTACCCACTTTTTGTTTCCTGTAATTATTGTCATTCTCATTTTTAACTACGTCATTATCAAAGTGATCATCTTCTTTTGAAATATTTTCATTCACAAAACTTTTATTTATATTACTTACATTTAAATCTTCCTCATTTACTTGTTCATTCAGAATTATTGATGCTTCTTTTTCTTCCCTTTTTTTTTTTTTTTTCCCCATACTACTACAAAAAGTTAAAGATGAAAATGGATTAATGCTTTTAATTTCAAAAAAAGAAAATGTTTTTTTTAAAGATGCACCAGCAAATAATTGCGAATTAATTAATTTTATTTTAAATTGCAAGCTATCAATATCATTTTTTTTTAAGTTTTCAAAATATCCTTTACATAATATATTAGTAATATTATTATCATCTAATAGCATATTTTCATTATTATTTGATAAATTCGTGAAATCTAATAAAATATTTTTATTTTCTTCTAAATTATAACCTGAATCATATTTTAATTTTATTTCAAAAATTTTATTCAAATTTCTTATATCACCGTAAAATATTTCTAGTTGTATTAGCAAATTCCATATTTTATTGCATGATTTATTTTTGCTTTTTAATAATTTTAAATAACTTGATTCAAATAAATTAAATTCATTTTGTCCAATTTTCGATTTTGTGTTTTTTTTATCAAATGAATAATTTACTTCATATTCTTTATAAAATTTGGTATAAAAATCATGAACATATTTATAAACTAAAGTTCTTATATGATTTAAATTTCCTTTTTCTAATAAAAAATTTATATAATAAAAAAGATATTTTTTTTTTGATGAAAATTTCTTATAGCCTTCACTCATAATATACATAGCTCTTTTTTCATTATTTAAAATCCTTCTTTCTATGTTTGCACAATAATAATATATTTCTTCTGAGCATTTTTCTTGATTCATTATTATACCTACATAATATCTCCACACAGTTTCATCATAATTTCTTTTAATAAAATTTAAGAAGTGAATAAATACAAAATGTCTCCTTTTTTTTTTATTTACATTAATATATTTTATAAAATACTTTTTTCTTTCTTCTAAATTTTCATAATCACTTTGATAAAACTTTCTTCTTATTTCATCATCACTGATACCTGATAAATTTTCAGAAGGATTATTCAAAAATTTCATTTCATTTTTATCACCATTTTCAATATCATTATTGCTTTTTTCTTCCATTTTTTCTTTTTCTTCTATTTTTATGTTTTCTCTTTTTATTTTTTTAAATTCTTTTTTATTTTCTTCATCATTTTCATTTTGTTCTAACTTTCTTCCTTTTTTTTTCTCATTTACTTTTTCATTCTCGTTCTTTTTTTCATTTCCTTTTTTTTTCTCATTTACTTTTTCATTCTCATTGTTTTTTTCATTTTCTTTTTTTTTCTCATTTACTTTTTCATTCTCGTTGTTTTTTTCATTTCCTTTTATTCTTTCTTTTCTTTTCTTTTTTAAATGACAATATGGTAATTTTTTAAATTTTTCTTTGGAATATAAAAAGGATAAAGAAAATTTCTTCTTTTTTTTTGTAACTTCATTCAGCATTAATTGATAAATATAATGAGCTTGATTTATTAAAGAATATTTTTCCAAAAAATATGCAAAATTTAATTTTAACAGTTCATCAAATGGTAAATATATTTCAATTGCTTCTCTCATAATTCTAATAGCATAATTAAATTTTTTATTTAATAATAAAAATTGAAAATATGAAAACCATAAATCTGCATTGAATTGTAATTGTATCAATGCTTGTTCATATGTATACATAATTCTTTTACATACTAAAGATAATTTTAATTTAAGAGGATTGGATTTTTCGAAATTAATAATTTTTATCCATTTTATATATAGTAAGTTATTTTCAATTTTCGATTTTTTATTAATGGGTATGATTATTTTAAATTTTTTATCTAAATTCATTTCTCTATACAGATTTGATAATTCTTTATATGCATTTTTTGAATTTAAGTATTGGGTATTATATGTGGATAAATAAGTATTTGTAAAATTATCGTTGCTCTTTTCAAAAGAACAAAAGCATTTCCATACCTTATCTAAATATTTGGTTGCATTATTAAGCCAACATTGATAAAATTTTCTTAATTTTCCATCACTTGTATAATGTTCAATATAACTAATTTTTGAATTGCTATTAGGAATTGGCGATTTAAATATTAATTGTTCTTTTTCAGAAGGTAATAATGGGGTTTCAGTCCTATTTCCATTATTATTATTTTTAAATGGATCATATAATAAATTTTGTATATTGTTATTTAATAATAAGTTAGTATTATGAATTTTTATTAATATATAGAGCAATTCAACCCATATATTACCTGACTTAATATCTGTTCCTACACATCTTAATGACTCAAATAAAAAACTTATATATTCATGAATTGAAGAAGTATGATATGCAAAATATAAAAAAGATAAAAATAATTTCAAATCATAAATATTTGAATCAATACATTTACGATAAATATTATATGCATTTTTATATTCTTTTTTTTTTATTTTTAATTCTGCATATTTTATCCAATACAAGGTACACCTTGGAAAAATTAACAAAAATTGTTCATATATCTCTTCTCTTTCATACAATTCTAAAAATTTATACCATCTATTTAAATGTAAAGGATTACACCTTAAAAAATGCAATTCCTCCTTGTAAGAATTGATATCTATTCCTACCTTATTTATATTTTTCTCTAAGTTATCTAATTCATTTATATTTTTATCTTCATTTACTGTTGGATTTTCATTGTGCTCTTCATATATTATATCTGTGTTCACTTTATATCTTGTTATTTCAGATATATATTCTTCTACATTAAAATTTTTATAAATTTCTTTCGTTTTTTCATCTACCTTTAAGAAAGTAGGAAAAAGCTGCTTTGCTACAATTAATTCATTATTATTAATATCAGAATTTAAATTATTCAAATTGGAACTTTTAATCATATTTTTGTCATTATTTTAAATAAACAAAAAAAAAAAAAAAATGAAGTAAAAAGAAAAGAAAAGAAAAGAAAAAAAAAATAAAGAAAAAATAGAAAAGAAGAAAGAAAAAAAAAAAAAATATTGAAATTAAAATTAAAAATTATAGGAAAAATTATTTAAAAAAATAAAAAATACAAATAAAAAGAAGATTTAATATAATTAAAATAATCTATATATATTTATAAAGAAAGTAATTTTTCACTTTATAAAATTAAAATTATTTACAAAAAAAAAAAAAAAGATTTCTTAAGAATAATTTTCACTTTAAATTAGCAAAAGAAAAAAAAATTCTTCAAAAAGTTTTATAAAATAAAAGAACATTGCAGTTACGAAATTATATTTAACATTGTAATAATATGAATAGAAAAATCAAAAATAGTAAAAAAATGAATACAAATATTTTATAACTAATTTGAAAAAATATGATTTCCCTTAAATATATTTTAATATTTTAAAAGAAAAAAAAATAAAGGGAAAATTGGAACTAAAAATAACAAAAATAAAAAAAAAAAATAAATAAGTTTAAAAAATAATGTAACAAAATGTAGTGTTTATATAACAACAATTTAAAAAAATAAAAAATTTGAAATATAAAATGAAGAAAATATATTCACAATTATTAATTAAGAAATTTCAAATCAAATATGTAAAAAATAAGATTATATTTATTTTATTTGTTTATTATTTATTTATATTTTTTTTTTTAATGTTAATTTCATAATAGAACTTCAAGTAATTGAAATAAGAAGAAAATAAATATATTTGAATACATTGAAAATCATTAATGTTTAATATACCTATATATTCTTTTCAATGTATTTAATTTATATTTAAAAATAAAAACAAAGTTAATTATTAATCTATAAGAATAGTATTAATCACAGTAATTAAGTTTTTATGTAAATTTTTTTAAAAAAAATTATAAAAATGATATTTCAAAATAATATATTAGGCACATTAATGGTATAAACAAAAAAACATATATATACAGAAAAAAATTGCATTTTTAGAAGAAATTAAAAAAAAAAAAATTAATGCATAATAATATCTCCATTGTGTAAATTACATATTATTTACTATGCTAATCTATCTAAATATTTAAAAAAAAAAAGTGTAATAAAAAGGAAATTATATAGATAAAATGAATTCTAATAGGAATCTTAAATAATTAAAAAAGGACAAAAAAAAAATTTTATTTACTTATCAAGTTTATAATTAAATTTATTTATATATGCATATAACTTTTATTTTAAAAAAATAGAAAATTTGTACTTGTAATACAAAAAAAACTATTATTTTTATTATGAGTATATAAATATATAAAGATTTTTTTTTTTTTTTTTTTTTTTTTCAAATATTTAATTAATAAATAAATTGATATTTTTAATAGCTGATTTTTGAATTTTATGATTTTTAATAACATTTAAACGAAATTCATTATTTTTTATTATTGTGTTTCTCTTTATTTTACATGGGATACTAAATGGTAAAAAAACCCCTGTTTGTGGTTGAAAACGAAATAAAATGGTTTTAATTTGATTATTTCCAGAGTGTAATTGTATATAGATTCTTCCTTTTTTACAATCATCTAATAATTTATCTAATATATTTTTGTCATCCACATTATAATTAATACTAATTAAAGCATTAATTGAATTTATACCTTGCATAATACCAGGTGACATAGTAATATCTGAACCACCAATTGGATATGCAAATAAATTTTCAAATAATAAATCATTTATATAAGTTATTTTTACATTATTATCCATTTTAATAGAATAATTTAAAAAAATTAACGATTCTTCTTTTAAAAATTTTTTAAAAATTTCATCACTTACAGCTGATTTTATAAATGAGGTTTTTGGAGGAGAAATTTTTCCATTTTCTTTTTTTATACCTTCAAAATTATAACAAAACTCATCAGCAACTAATCCAATATCATTAGATGGATAGTAATATAGTAACATGTTATTAATTAAAGTACCCATGAATAAATTATTATAATCAAAATTAAAATTAATCATTATGTCTAGCCGTAAAATATTACTTTCACTATTCATATATAATTCTGCACCATTATCATAAGATAAATAAAAATTATAATTTATAGAATTCATTATAGATGATTTTGATGAAATATGATTTCCTATTAAAAACCCAATACAAAATATTACTAAACACACTGCCAATATACTTATTATTTGTGTAAACACGTAAAATACAAAACTTTTTAAAAGGGATATATCATTTGTACTGTTTTTTTTTATAATATACGTATTTAACTCCCGATTAGTACGGGGATATTTGTTTATCAATTCATTTATGTCATTTATTGTTTTTAATACATTTTTATTTTTATATTTACAATTATATATGTCAGTTATCGTATTCTTTTTTTTTATCTCCATATTTCATGGATGTTTTCCTTTTATATAAACAACTGAAGAATTTATAAAAATAAACAACTATTATTGAATACTTAGCAACAATAGAATAGTAATAATTTTCAATCTATTACAATAATAATGTTTAAAAAAAAAAAAAAAAACATACTTAAATTCCTCTATAATTTTTTACTCTTACATGTTATAATATAAAGTATGTTTCATTGTAATTTTTATAATTCTTATTTTAATAAAAAATAATTTAAAAAATCCATCTATTATTCATTAATACCATACTTCCTATTCCTAAATACTTATCTTTTATGTAAAAAAAAACTATTTTTACAACTATAAATTTATAAAATTCAGTATTGCAAATATATATAAAATATAAAAAACAATACATAAATTAAATAATGTATACACTATGTGTAAACATAAATATTATCTAATAAGTTGATAATAGATAAAAGTTAATAAAACTTTATTCATATAAAAAAATAAGTAATGAACATTTTTATTTTTTACAAAAATAAGAGAAATAAATACAGACATTTAAATTTTAGGTTATATAGTATATACATTTTTTTATACTTTATTATTCAACATTTTATGATTTCTTGCATATCTATAGATAAAAGTATTTCCATTTTAATTTTTTCTTATATGATTTATTTTAATTTATTTTATTTTATTTTATTTTATTTTATTTTATTTTATTTTATTTTTTTCTTTTTTTTTTTTTTTTTTTTTTTTATTTTTTTCTTTTTTTTTTTTTTTTTTTTTTTTTTTTTTTTTTTTTAATTATATCTTTAAAAACTAAAAATATATTACAAAACATTATAAAAAATAAAATTTTATTTTAACTTTATAAAAATGTATTTGTTGCAAAAGCATATATTTGAACATTCTTTTTAAAAAAATTTATAGTACAATAAAAGTTTACATAAATGTTTCAAACACAAAAAACATAATTTAAAATTTGAATATTTTTCATACCTTTTTTATACTCTTTTTTTTTATATACAATGATTTATTTGATTTCTTTAAATATTTTTTATATTACAAAATTTTAATTATTTTTAGTTATATATATATATTTTTTTTAAATGTCCTTATTTTCTCTTTAAACTTATTTTAATTTTAAAATTAATTTAAATTGTTACAAAGAATAAAGGAAGTTTTAATTAGTAAATTATTTCGAAATAACAAAAAAAGGAAAAAATATAAAGCTTAAAAAAAAAAAAAAAAAATTAATCAAACAGTAGAGAAAGATGCAGCAAGCTTGTTAAAGCTTTTAGTGGAGGAAACATTTTAAAAATAGTAATAATTAATTTTCTTAACATTTTAAAAGTGCAATAGTTGCACATAATGTTGGACATATATAAAGGAGATAAATAAAAAAGGAACAATCTTATGAAATATGGAAGATATATTATGAACTATATTTAAAGTATAAATATATAGAAATATGAAAATTATCTAAATGATAATAATAGTAAAAATATGTTTTATAAATATAAGGAATATATAAATTAAAATCATAAAATATTCTATAAAATTAATTCAAAAGGAAAAATTGAAAATTTTTTCCATTATAAGATATTATGTGTTAATTGTATTTTTAAGGATATAAACATACTTTTAATTAAAAATCCAAATATATTTTAAACCTTTTATATTATTAATAATTATATTTTCTAATTTTTAAATAATTAATATATATTCTAAATATTTTTGTTAATTTATCTTTAAAAATTTGTAATATTTACATTAACTTTTCAAAACATTCATGTGTTATTGTAATAAATAAAATCTACAAAACTATTAAAAAAAAAAAAAAAATGAAAGGAATATGTGTTTCAATTGATTGCGAAACCTTAATTTTCGATTTAGAGTTTCATCCCAAATTAGATATGATATGTGCAGGTTTATTTAATGGAAATTTGATATTATATAAATTAAATGATGATAAAAAAAAATTTCAAAAAAAATGGGACGTATATAATCATGAAAAAGCATTAAGGTGTGTTACATTTTCAAAAAATGGTAACAAAATTTTAGCTGCATCATCAGATAATAATTGTTCAATAACAGATATTACAGGAAAAGTTTTATGGAAAAACAAGTGTCATGATTTTACAATAAATTCAATTTTATTCACAAGTTCAAATACTTTTTTAACAACTGATGAAAGAGGGTTTATAAAACATTGGGATTTAAGAGATGAGTCAAGAAATCCTATACATAAGATAAAAGAATTTGATGATACAATATCAAGTATGCTACTTGATCCTGATGAAAAATCTGTTGTTATTTCAAGTGGGGGTTATATAGCACTTTATGATATTCTTAATAAAAAAAAAATTTCCTCTCATAGCATTTCAACAGAATATGATGATGAATTTTTAAGTTTACAGTTTATTGCACACAATACGAAAATAGCATGTGCAACATTAAATGGATACATTACAATTTTTTCTAAGAAACATTGGGGAAACATTGAAGGAAAACTGAAAGCTAGTAAAGATATAATTAATACTTTTGTTAAATTAGATGAATATACCATTTGTTATGGTACATCAGATGGAATAATAAAATCTGCTCATCTTTTACCAAATAAAATTGGTAAAAGTATAGGTAGACACAATGGAAATGATAGTATTGAAAAGTTAGCTATTAATAAAAAGAAAAATTTATTAGCAAGTGTATCACATGATAATTCTATTAAATTTTATCCAATTGAAATAAAAAATTCACATATATCAAATAAAATGAAAAAGAGAACAAAATCGTTCTTTCGTGATTTATAAAATCTTTTTCTTTTTTGTAATTATAGATATTTAAAAAATTTTTTATATGCATGTCTTAGATTTAATACATGTGTGCATATTTATATAATTTTTACTTTTTTTTCTAAAAGAAAAAAAAAAAAAACTGATGAAATTATTAAATTATATACACTGTAATATTTATATATTTTACAATTTTAATACTTATACAATTTTATGACATAGTAATATTTTTATTATAAATTAAAATTAATGTTTAACAAATACATTTAAAAGAATTTTAAAAAACATATGGCTTATTTAAAATAACTAAATATTGTAATATATATATATATTTGGAATTTTATAAAACATTTGTATTCTAATAAATTATGTAAAATTTTTTATTTTTAAAAATTGTTAAAATTTTTTAATAACTACACAAATTTAATGAAATGTTTTGTCGTATCTAAATAAGGTTTATTAAAATTAATTATATATATATATATATATATATATATAATATATTATAGAAAATCAATACATTTTATAATTGTAAAAAAAAAAAAAAAAAAAAAAAAAAAAAAGCTTGTGTGAATTTACACTTAAGGTAAAATTTCAATTTCCTTATACACATATTGTATTTTTTCTTTTAATTTTTCTACTTTTTCTTCTTATAATTATGTTTTATAAATTAAATAAAAATAAAAAAAAATGTTTTCATTAATAAATATACAAGAAAGACGATAAATATATATTAAATTTTTTTTTTTTTCTTTTTTTTGTGTAAAAAAAAAAATAATATGATAAGATTCATTTTTTTTTAATGGATACTTTATATAATTTTTTTAATATCTCTATTTTCTTTATCCCCATTAAGTAGTTTGACATTTAAAAGGATTTTTATTTCTTTTCATTTAAAAAAAAAAAAAAAAAGGATAAAATAAAATAAAAAATAAGACATATTCATTTCAATAATAACAAACATTAAATTGTTAATTTAAAAATATCATTAATATTTAAAAGAATCACATATATTTCAAAATTACATTTTGATACTTCAAATTATACAACATTTTTGCATGTCATAAAATTATAAATTTCTTGTAGGAATAAAAATTTGCTTTGTAACATATTTAAATAAAATAATTTTTCAGAAATTTATTTTATTTTTTTATTTTTTTATTTTTTTAATTATGAAGAAATTAATTTTTCTTTTCATAGTGTGAAGCAAAAATTAAGAAAAAAGTTTTTGAATGTTCAATGAAACGAAAAACGTCACATCACATTCTTATTTAATATATATGCATTTAAATTAATACTAATAAATTCAAAAAATTTACATTTATACATGTATATATATATATGTAAAAAGAAAGATAATTATTTTGAAGATGCGTATGGCTAACAAGACTAATAATTCTCATCAAAATGAAATTGAAAACATAACAAAAATAAAAGGAAATAATAAATGTGCAGATTGTGGAGCAAAATGCCCTAGATGGGCTAGTATTAATTTAGGTATAATAATATGTATAGAATGTTCAGGTATACATAGAAATTTAGGCGTTCACATTTCCAAAGTAAAATCTTTGACATTAGATAAAATTACTCCACAGTGGATTCATGTAACACTTACATTAACTAATATATTTTATATAAATAAATGATTTAATTAGTTGTTCTTTTTTTCTTTTTTTTTTTTTTTAAGTGTATAAAAAATATTGGCAATGATTTATCTAACTCTTATTATTTATATAACTTACCAAAAGATACGTATATACCAAAGCAAGGAGATTCTTCAGTGTAAATATATATAAAAAATTAACATAAACTATATAAATATTTATTAAATTATAAAATTTATATATATAATGTTTAATATATATAATTGTAAGTAACATAAATATAATTTATATTTATAGTATGATACACATAAGTGTAATTATTTTTAATTTATATATACATGTAAAATTTTGTAAAAATTGTAATTATATATATATATATATTTGGCTTATAAATTATTATTATTTCTTCAGTATAATGCAAAATTGGATAAAAAATAAATATGAGAAGAAATTATATGTTCCTGCTAATAAGAAGGAACCATATCAATACTATTTAGAAGGTATAATAATACAAAAGTTTATATATTTATATTTATATCTATATATATATATATTTATTATTTCATCTTATTTTAGGAATGAATCCAAAGAATTGTCTTCCAGATGATACATTAGCAAATTCATCATCCAAGTAAGAAAAGTTTTAACGAAGAAAAAAAATATATAGTTATTCGATTCAATATAAAATTAAAAAAGAAAAACAATATAAAATTTATTTTATTATTTTTACAATTTAAAATTTTTTTATTTTAGTAATGAAAGTAAACTTCCCCAAGATAAAATAATCGATATAACAAATTTTAAAAATGAAAATAAAATGTAAGCCTTTAAAAATTTTGTATATTTTTGATTTTAATTCACAACATTATTTATTTTATTACATATCTCTTTTTTTTTTTTATTTTTAAAGTGAAACAGAAGCAGGAAATTCAGGAAATATAGATATTTTTGATTCCTTAAAAATTATTGAAAATAAGAAAACAGATGAATTAATAAGCATTAATAATAATAAAGAAAAAAGAAATTTTATAGATAATAAAGGAAATGTGTCTAGTAATAAAATATATATGAATAATGACTTTTATTCATTTGATAATATGAATTGTGATGATAATAAAAATATTGGAAAAGATTCTTATTTTTTTAATGATATTAAAAATTCGAATAATTCAAGTAAGTTAAAGGAATTTTCTTTTAATGATAATAATTCTAATGTTTTTAATGAATTTGATAATATTAAGAGTTTTAATAACTTTAATGATGGATTAAATTTTAATAAATTTAATGAGAAAAAAAATTTTAATAATTTTAATGATTTATCTGAAAAAGAATTAAGAGATGCAAAAGTTCAAGCAGCAAAAAAATCTATTGCACAACTTTTTGCAAATTCAAAAAATATTTCTTTTTCTGAAAAAAATATAGCAAATATAAATTTAAATAATCAAGATAGTGACAACAACAATTTAAAAAAAAATTTGAAAAAAACAGAATGTAATTTCGTAAATGAAACTAAACAAAATTTATTTGATAAAACTTATGTTAACAATTTAAACAGTTGTAATCATGAAGAAGGAAGTTTTAGTAACAATTTAATTAATGAAGAAAATGTAAATAGTTTTAAGGGAAAAAATAATGTATTACAAAACTTTGATTTTTTTTTTTAAATTACAAATTGAAATAACATTTTTAACAACATATATATGTTTTAAAAAATATACTAAATTAAAATTTAAATGTTACATTACTATTTAATAATATCCTATTATATAAAAAAAAGTTGTATTTCTATATTTTTACATCTTAAAAGCATAAGTTTTTTTAATATATAATTTTGTTACAATTTTTTTAATTTTTATTTTTATTTTTATTTTTTTTCCTTCAATTTTTCAATAAATGTAATTTTTTATGTAAACGTATGTTTAATCAATAAATATTCATATACGTCCATTCATATTTGTTTTATTTATATATTTAAATTTTATGCACTTTTATATATATTTATGCATAAAAAATAGAATAATAAATTAAAAATATGAGTAAATTCATTATTTGACTGTAATGCAATTATATAAGTAATTCCATATCTTACAAATTACATAAAATATTTTTTTTATTTGTTAACATTTTTTTTTTATTTTCGTTTCTTGCTGTTACATTATCTTCATTTTTTTCTTTTATTATTGTTGAATTTGTCTTTTTTTTTAAAGAAAAAGAGAAAGATATTTTTTTGAATATAAACTAAATGTTTTTAAATTATAAATTCCATAAAAAAAAAACATAATATATTAAACAAATTATTTAGTAATTATTAGAGTTATAAGAAATTTGTAATAAATTTGAGTTTTAAGCTAACAAAAAAAGCGTTAAATTTATATAAAAGTATTATTCTTATTTCCTAATTTCTCTTAAGTTTGTTAAAGTTTTGTAAAAAACTACCAAAAAAAAAGTAAATGAAAAAATGAAAATATATGATATTTGAATAATGTTTAAAAAAAAGTCATATAAAATAAAAAGAAACATAATTAGCATAAAAGAAAATATGAATACATAATTATAATAATTTGTGTGAACATTTTTAATATTATATTTCAAATAAATAAAAATGAGATAAATATATACTATAAATAAATATGCCATTAGAAATATAATGAATATAATTATTTTCGTATTCATTTGTTCATGTTTTTCAAAATTGTTATTTTCTTGAATTAATGGAAGAGAATAATAATCTCTATAATTATAAACAACATTATTTACATATTTTTTTTTGTAATTTCTAGTTAAATGTTTTTTCATAAAACTCATAATTATCATATTTTCTTTTTTTATAGGATAGGCTGTTATTGGTAAATTATTATAGAAAAATAAGAATACTCTAAAAAAAGGGATTTTTAATGAATATTTACCATCAGTTATTAAAATATCAAAATTATAATACCCATTAAAAGCTATCAAATTTACAACTAAAATTGATAAATTTGAAATAACTAAATGATTTTTAAATTCATTTGTAAATATAAATGTTTCATTTGTTTTTAATTCTTTTATATCATAAGAATTTTTATTTTCCTTATGATTATCCATTAACTTTTTAATTAAAAATATTGTCAATTTTGTTTTATCAAACTCCTTTTTAATTTTAAATGTACAATTAATATTTATCAAATTATAAGAATTTATCTTTTCATTTATTAAAATATAAGAATTCTCATTTTCATTTCCATCTATTGTTTTTGTTAATAAGTCTTTTTCTTCTCTTTTATTTCTTGTAAAGTATGAAGATGTTATTTTTATTTTATTGAGGACCAAAAAATTGCTGTTGTTTACAAAATTATTTTCATAAGATAACACTTTTCTATAATTATATGTTAAAAAAAAAAAAAAAACTAAAGATAAAATTTTCATCTTTACATTTAAATTCTTTTTTAAAAAAATTTCTATTCAATTTTTTCTGTTCAATTTATCCATCTTAAACTGTTTTAAAATTTGAAAAAAAAAAAAAGAAAGGAAAAAGCTTAATAAAATGTATATTTATATATAATATATTTTAATTTTTTCTTCGTTTTAAATTTTTTATCAAAAAAATAAAAAAAATTGCCTTTTATCAACATATATACATTTTTTTATCTTTTGTTTGATGAACAAGATTTTTGTTTTGTTATCTATAAATTAATTTACGAAAAGAAAAAGATGTCATAATATAAAATTAAGTAATAAATTAATAAAGATGATTTAATATTTAAAAATATAATTTTAAAAAAATTAGTTAATTTTACCAAAACTATGAAACCTAGAGAAAATAGTAAAAAGATATAGTTAAACAAAATAAGAACCTGAAAACTGTAAAAATAATTTAGATATTAAGAGAGTTTATGTAAAAAGATAAATAATAAAGTAAAATCTTAACAAAAATTTTAAGAAAAATTTTTAAAATAAAAGAAGAAAAAATTTCATAAAATTAAATAAAGATAAAAAAAAAAAAATAATAAAATCAAAAAAATAAAGTAAAAATGATATAATAAAATGCTTTGTTTTAATTTCACCTTACAGTTTTCTAAAAAAAACATTATTAATGTTATTAAAAGATCACATAATAATAGTAATAAAAAAGTGATAGAAAAGGAAGCAAAAAAAGTGGACGATATTCTTTTTTATATTCAAAAATTCATATTAGAAGAAAATACTACAAATAGAAATTTACTTAGTTTCCAATCATTATATAATGAAGAAAATGATTTGAAAAAATATCATCTTAATTTAATAAAAATATCATATTTATTAAAAAATGCATGTATTAATGAACAAAAATGGCTATTAATATATGAAAAAATAGGAAATTTATATTTACTGGATGAACAAACATTTAATGGCAAAAAAAAAATAGACAATTTGAAAACTGGGTTTAAAAATAATACACTAAATAAGGAAAATATTATAATAGAAGATTACAATTTTTGTAATAATAACTTAATAGAAAAGAAAATTTGTCAAGAATACAATCTTTTTAACTTAAAATCTTGCTATACCTTTGTTTTCAAAACATGCATAGATAATATACTTAATTATTTGCCATTATATACTATTAATAATTATATATTAATATTAAAATGTTGTGAAAATTTTTATAATTTTTTTTTTAAGATACATAAAAAGAAAAGTATCAATAAGTTGAATTTTATATATCTATATTCATGCTATAGTAATTATGAAAGTAACATAAAAATTTTAAAAAATAAAAATGATATAATAAAAAATGAAGGAAAATTAAACTTAAATTATTATTATCAAGAATTATTTAATTTAAAATATCATCAAATACTTATTTATAAAATAAAATTGACAACAAAGATATTAGATGACATAAATTACAATTTAATTGACGATAAAAATTTTGTTCAGCTAAGTAATATTTTTTACACACAAACGAAAAATGGTCTAATAAATGAAAAAAATGTTTTAAAGTTCTTAGATTATTATATAGAAAAATTCAAAGATAATTTAATTAAATATAATGTTGATATATTTTTTAAAATTATTAATATAATGTATTATTCGAAAATCATTAACTATAATATAATATTATATCTTGTAAATACTTTCAAAAAAGTTAACTCATCTGTATTTTGTAAAAAAAAATTATTTGAAAATTATTTAAAATTATTAAAATTATTAAATTTAAAGGAGGATAATTTTTTTATTTATAATTACTGTAAATACTATATTTTTAATAATATAGCTCAAATAAATTTATCAAACTTTTATAATTTTTTTTTTGTTTCATCAATTATAGGCATATTTGATATTTCATTAATAAATTTATATATAAGTTTTTTAAAAAAGAATAAAATAAATTTGAAAGAATCATTAAAACATAAAATATATTACACTTTATTAGGATGGGATATAATACTTAAAAAATTTATTGATAAAATGACAGAAAAAAAAAAAGAAAAAATAGAAATTATTTTGCTGAACTATAAGAATAAAGATATTCATTATTTTTATTCAACTAAGTTATGCAATAACTATTCTCGTTTATCATTTGAAATAAATCAGTTAATGAATTTTTATAAAAATAAAATATTTATTCAAGAAAATAAAAAGATAAATGTGAACTATTGTTTTAATCAGTATAATATACTGACTATTTTAAAAAAACATTTTACTAATGTTATATATGAATATGTAACTAATCAAAAAATATCTTTAGATGTATTCTTAAAAATTTATAGAAATAATTATTATAAAAATATTGCTATTGAATTTAATGGAAGAACTCATTATAACTTGCTGATTAAAAAAAATAATAATAATGAAATATCTTACAATATGATAGAAAATCATAATACAATATATAAAAAATGGTTATTGTCAAACTTTCATTTTTCAATAATTAGTATTTCTTATTATGAATGGAATAAATTAAATGAAGAAGAAAAAGAAAGATATCTTATAAATACTATACATTTTCTAAAATAATAATAATGTTTAAGTTTTTTATATATATATATTTACATTGAAATAAAGCAAGAAGTTTTTTTTTCAATTTCTTGAAAATATATTAATTTACTTCATTCTTATTTAATATTTCACTTTTTAATAAATGTAATTCTTGCTGTAAAAAAGGTAATACATTAATTTTTTAATGATTATTTACCTTTGTTTTTTTTTTTTTTTTTTTTTTCTTTTTTTTTATGGGTTAAAAAATATTTTTTAATGTTTTTTTTTTTTTTAAATTTTATAACAATTTCCCCCTGTAAGTAATCAGTTGCAATAATATCGTATGCAGTTGGTCTTTCATCAGAATTTTTTTTTAGCATCCAATAACATAAACTTATCAATTCTTCAGAATAATTTGTAGGTAAAGGAGATGGCTATAAAATAAAGTTTAATGTGTAAAAATTATACTATTTTTGAAATCCTAATTTTTTTTTTTTATGGTTTAGTAAATTACCTCATCTTCACAAATTTTTTGAACAACTGACAACATATTTTCATTTTTCGATTTAAATGGTTGTTTTAAGCTGATGAGCTCATATAAAATTACTCCTAGAGACCATATATCAGCTGGAAAACTATAAGGCATATTCTTTTAAAAAAAAAAAAAAAAAAAAAAAGAAGTAACATATATTAAATAATTTTAGAGAATTTGCATATATTATTTTATATACGTGAAACATAATTTATTTACTTTACAAACTTCTGGTGCCATATATCCAATTGTTCCACATAGAGTATTTGTTTGTTCTGTATTCTCTAATAGCTTAGCTAAACCAAAATCTCCTATTTTAGCTCTTTCATACTCATCTAAAAATATGTTGTTACATTTTAAATCTTTTTAAAAAAAATAAATAACTATATGTTTAAAAGTCTAAGCATAAAAAAAAAAAAAAAAAATAATAATAATAAAAGAGTACAATTTGCAAGTGCTTATATGAATATTTATCTACTGAAGCCAAAAATAAAATATTTAATTACCTCTATGTATTAATTTTTTATCATGTATAAATTTTATTGCAGTAATTATTTGTAAAAGCCATCTTTTAATTCTGCTTTCAGGTATAAATGTTTTCATTTCTTTATTTTTTTTTATGCATATGCTTAAATCTCCTTCTTCATTTAATGAAAAGGATAAAAATAAAAACTAAAATAATTAGTTATTAATATATAATACTAAGATGAAATAAATTTTTACTTGAACAATAATCCATAGCAACATATAAAATGCTATTTTCAATAAAAGCTTCTTTATACCTAACAATGAAAGGGTGAACTGAGACTTCAATTAATGCCTTAAGTATAGAAGAGAAAGAAAAAGAAACAAAATAAAATAATACTTTGCTATTTTTTATTTTGTATATATTTGTTTATTTTTTATGATTTTTTACTTTTTTCTTTTTTAACATATATATACCTTTACTTCATTAACAACATTCATTTTTTCTTTATTACTCATGCACGACATGTCTAACTGTTTTACTACAAAACTAATAAAAAAAATTATAAAATATAATTCATATAAAAAATTAAAATACCCCCAAAATATCACATTTAAAGAATTTATTTCATATATTTCAATGGATTAAATTTATTGTAACTTTTTTAAATAAATGTATGAATATACATATATTTACAAATATTTACATTTTTCCATTTTCGTCTTTAACTGCTGTAACAATTCCAAATGATCCTCTTCCAATAGTTTTTAAGACGTAGTAAGGACCTATTTTCTTTGTATTAGACATGTTTTATAATAATATATATCATATTTTTATTTTAATTTTATATTATTTTTGTTGTATATCACTTTATCTAAATAAAAAATAGTATATATATGGCTTGTTATTACTTCAGCATTAACTATTTTACCTTAAATTTTTATTAATTAATTGATTATGTAAAAATATTCTTTTTTTCTTAATTCTTAAAAGGTAGAAGTAGTTTTTTTATAACCAGTAATCCATCATTACTTTGTTAACTTTATTATTTATGATATTTTTAATAGACACCTTTCATAATCATGCGATACAATCTATTTTCTTATTTATTTAATTTTTATCTTTTATATCAACAATTTTAACTATTATAAATTACGCATATTTAAAAACACTGTATATACAGCACAACGTAATAAAGAATATATAATTATAAATTTTTTAAAAAAAAAAATTAATGTATATATAAAATAAGATACATTAAATAATGTATAGTTAAATAAAATAAATTTAAATAAGTTTTTTTTAATATATACTGTATCGTTTCTATTTGTTTTTTTCTATTTTTGAATTGTTGTATATAGATACAATAAATTGAAAATTCTAGAACATACTTAAAGTTATTAATAAATATTTTAGCTAAAATTATAATTAAATTTAAAATAAGAAAAATTAAACATATATATAATAATACAATGCTCAAATAACCTTTTTTACAAATGAAGAATTAATAAATGTGTTATCAGAATTATTCAAAGTTGATTTAGTTGTCTTAAATAGCAAAAATATAAGTAAAATACAATATGACATGAAAGTAAACAGTCAAAATATAAATAAGTTTAAAAAGGTGAAAATAATTTAAATTAGCATTAATATTTATAAAATGTAAAAATTTTTAAAAGAAAAAAAATAAAAAAAAAGTAAAAAAAGAAAAATAACTATAAATGAAACATTTGTTAAAAGTAATCAACTTAAAGCTCTTTAAAAACATATTTCAAAAATATTTAAAAAAAAATAAAAAAAATTAAAATTTTAATATATAATAGAGTAAATTTTTGTATTATAAAAATGAGATTTTATTAATGAAAAAACAATTATTCTAATTTAAAATACTTAATTTTTTTTTTTTTTTTTAAATAAATATTATGGAACTCATTTAATATTATTTTACGACGAATTTATAAGCTCGATAAGAAAAAAAATATATTTTAAACAAATAGAAAAAAAATTTTGAGTTTTATAAAAAATAATAATAGATACATATCATTTAAGAGCAGTTACAATAACAGCTTCTTTGATTTGTGTGTGGAGTTCTAGCAATTCTAATTCTAGGAAAACCAATTTGTTTTGCTCTATATACATTTGAATTTATCATTTGTCTTTCTCTTTCTTGATGTATTCTGAGTATGGGAGATGCTACCTTCACAAAATTTTGATATATAGGAAGAAACTTGCAACCTAGTGTAGTACAAAAATTTTCCTGTGTTCCATTTTTCATGGTTTGTTCTTGAGTAGTTTCTATATTAATAGTAGGTTCCAAATTCATATTTGAATTATTTAATTCATTTAAAAGTTGAACCTCTTTTTCATCTACAACTTTTGTTGTTTGATTTTCTTTTAGGTCTTTAACTTCAATTCTTTCTTTAGTTTCCACTTTTTCATTAACATCAATATCTGGACAGTTTACTTCTGGTACTTCCATAACTCTTTCTGTTTTAGTAGTTTTTAATATTGGTATTACTCTTTCTACAACCATATATTTAGGAACTTTAATAATTCTTTCTCTGTCAACATATACTGGTACATCAACTACTTTTTCAACAGTTCTAATTTGTGGTACTTCAATAATTTTTTCTTGATAAATAATTCTATCAACATTCTTAATTTTTTCGACGTAAACAGTTTTTGGCCTATAGACATTTTTGTATTTGATAATTGGCTTAATTTGTTCTACTATTCTTTCAACTGTTTTTATTTGAGGAACTTCTATAATTTTTTCCAAATATACCTCCTTTGGTACTTCAACAATTTTATTTTGAACTATTGGTTCTAATACTTTTGGTGGTAACTGCTTATTTACCACTTGTGGGTATGCTTGATTTTCATTTCCTGCAGGTTCAAAAACATTTTCTGCTGAGCAGCATTTAAAGCCTTTATTTGTAGAACACATTTTTTCAAGTTTTATTATAATTTTTTTTTTTTATTATAATTTGTATATAACTTAATTTTTATAACTATATAATCTTCAAAAAAAAACAAAAATAATATATTTATGTTAAATTAACTTAAAGATATTAATTTAAACTAACTTCCACTAAAAATTCGTTTAAAAAAAAATATATGTATATATTATAGGTAAATTATAAATTTTTTCAAAATGTTTTAAAATCTTTATATTTTTATACAGCTCATAAAATAAGCATATAAAAATAAGTAGAAATTATGAAATAATTAATATTTAAAAACTAAGCTGACAAAAATTTACTTTTTATAGTAGTGTACAAAAAAAAAAAAAATTACTTATAATTTTTTATTCTACTTTAAAAAAAATAAAATAATCGTATTTACACACGTACACACAAATATTTGCAGTTCAGAAATAAAAAAAAGAGAAAAAATTATTTTTCTATAAATTATGTAAATGTTCTAACTAAAAAAGTTTTAAAATCAAAAGTGGTTTACAAAATAATAGAATTATTCATAAATTTTATTTAAAATGAAGATCCACCACATTTTTTTTTTGAGAAGATAAAAGAAATTTTATTTTATAAAATTAAAATAACTTTGTAAATAATCAATTTTTAAAAATTGCATATATTTCACAGAATGTATAAAAAAAAAAAAAAAAATAAAAAATAATTCTAATTTTTTAAATGTTGTAAAAAACCTTTTATGTACGCACCCATTTGAAACAACAACCATTCTGCTATATTTAATACGAAAAATTGTACAGAAAAAAAAAAAAAAGAAAAAAAAAATTAACGCACACAAATAGCTATTTAAAAAAAAAAAAGTTTAGTAAATAAATTAATAGTTATAAAAAAAAATTACAAAGAATAAATTATGAATATTTAAAATTTTTTTTTTTTTTTGTTGTTATTTAACACAATTTATTTTAAATAATTAAGAATTTATCTCTTAAGTGTTTTAAGCAAGTTTCACACAAATTATGGATTATAAAAAATATTTTTTAATAAAAAAATATATATTAATATATATATATATATATATATATATATATTAATATATATATATATATGAAATTTTAGAAAAAAATAAAAAAATTACAAAAAACAGCGTTATTGAAATGAAATAAATAAATATATATATTCTTAAAATGATAAATTATTTCAAAATTTTTTTAGTTTCTAATTTCTCTAAACAAAAAAAAATCGTTTATTAATGTTGTTGATGGGAGATTTAGCCAATTATCTCTCGTTGTAAAATGTGCAGTTAATTTCCTATCAGTATACCTCATTATTTCATCTATATCATAGGAACTAGTCTAAAAGAGTAATAAAAAAAAAAAAGAAAAAAAATTATTTAGATATAATATCATTTAAATATTACATAAAAGTAATGATATTATATATATTTAAATTTTTAAGTAAACATGTATGCTAAAAAAATTAAAACTCTAATTAGTTTAACTTAAATATTTCGTTAAAACTATTGCATGAATTATTTTTATTTATTTAATAAAGAAAATGTTAGGTATTTTATAAAAGGTTGTATATATTTAAATATAAGATATATGCTTTTATACAACATGCATATATAATAAAATACAAATGTCTACTGGTATGTTCTCTATAAATATTATATTTATAAAATTTATAAAAGAGATTTTTTATAACTCATTATCACTTTTTTTTAAAGTAAAAAAAACTTTAATACATATCACTTGTTTTTTCAATGTGTGATTTTTTCAACACAGATTAAATTATGTATCATTCATAATAATATATATTTTATTATAGTATATTAAAATGATATTAGAAAAATTTTAGAAATAACTATACTTAATTATGTAATGTATATAATCTTTCCTAAAATTATGTAATAATAATTTTAATTAATAATTTAAAAGAGTTACATTGTCGTAATATATTTAGAAGTGACCATTTAAATAATACACATATAATTTTATTTGCTTAAAATTCTATCTTTTTTTTTTTTAATAATTAATTATAAATTCTTACTCTATACAATTTAGCTGGGTTTTTTTTCATCCATGCTACTTTTCTTCTCCTTGTTCTCCTGTGAGAACTTTTTTTCTTTGGCACACCATATAAAGAAAAACTCCTTTTATTTTTGGAAAAAGAATTCCTACCGTTTTGTAAACCTATTATTGATGTATTTATATAATATACTGTTAAGGAAGAATTTAGTTTGAATGTAAATAAAAAATTTAAACAAGTGAATAAAACAAATAAGGATTTAAAAAGTAACATTTCCGGAATAACCCAAATATATAAATTTATATTCATTCACATTAATTATTCCATATGCCTATTTTCTTAATTTTTTTTTTCATGTTTACTATAAAAAAATTGGCGAAATTATTTTCAAAAAAATTTTATATAAAAATAAATAAAATCACTATAATTTATCTCAGTATTACTTTTTGTTAAGTAATATTGAAAAATAATAATTAGAAGAAAAAAAAAAAAAAAAAAAAAAAAATAGCAATATTTCAAAATGTTTGAGTTACAATTTGTTTTTTTTTATAATTATTTTTTTATTTTTTTTTAGTCCGTGATATTAAAGGTTAACTTTCTATTTTAATTTAAATATTTTTATTTTAAATTGTGGATGTAAATATTTCTATATTATTTTTTAAAGGAAATAAATTATTCTTATAAAAAATTTTGTAACTATGTCTTGGATATTTAAATTCAATTTACTTTTTCTTTTAAAATGTTACTATTTTATTTGATGTTTAACAAAACAATATTAATAATACTTTAATAATGTTGAGGTGTTATGATTTTATGTTATTTTTGATTATTCTTTTTTACAAAAATTTATAAATTACTAATATTCTAAAGTGCTTTAATAAAGTCATAAATTAAAATTATACAAAAATTTACTTGTAAATTTGTATTTTTTTCTGATTCTTATATTAATAGAGCAAATTAAATAATATAATTGTTGAATGGTATGTTCTTATAAATTTACGTATAAAAATGTTTCTTTTTGCAAATATATCAAAGAAATATGTAACTAACAGAAATTTTATTTCAGAATTTTTTTTGATGTTTGAGCGAAATGTTTCTCTTATACATAAGAATTTAATTAAAACTAACGGAAAAAATTTCTTATCAGTCATTCATAACAATCAAAATGAAATAATACATGATGAAAATCTAAAACCTTTTTGGTTAAACCTAAATGGAAAGGAAAAAAATAAATTAAATCATTATGCAAAACAAGGGGATAAAGAAAAAGAAGATAGTGAATTCTTAAATATTTCTAAAAGGTCTAAAATGATGAAGTATATAATCAGATTAAGAAAAAAAAAGAATTTTAGAAAAAAAATGAATGAATTTTTTGTGAAGAATTCTAAAACAATATTGTATATGTCAAATAATAAAAATTTATTATTTGAAGCAGTTTTATCTAGTAATAAAGATTTATTACAACATTTTCGGGGTAAATGTAAAAAGTTATATTACGTAAATTATGATATTTTAAATTATATTTTTTATGATTCAGTAAACGTAATGAAGGAAAAAAATGATTCGGTAGCCATATTAAAAATCCCTAATGTGGTAAATAAAATAAAGAATATAAAATTCTTATTAGCTTTCGATAGAATTCGATATGCTTATAATTTGGGTAAAATATTAAATGTTGCTTATTCTATGAACATAGACTATTTATTTTATCTTCACAATACTGTTGATCCATTTAATTCAAAAGTAATTGAAATAACAAATGGATCACATTTAAATATTCCATATATGTATGGTTCATATAAAGATTTAAAAGATTTATGTAGTGAAAATAATTTGGTTCCAATTGTAGCACACATAAATGGTTTAAACCCACATAATATTTTAAAAGAATCTAATAAAAATGGAATTTGTCTTATTTTGGGAAATGAGTCTACTGGTCCTCATCCAGATACTTTAAAATTTGCAAAACCGTAATATTTTAAATAACTTTATAATTTTTCATTAAAATTTTTTCATATTTTTTTTTTTTTTTTTTTTTTCATTTAGATTTGTTTATTTACTTTAGCATTTTTTTATTCAATATTTATTTTGTTATATTTTTTTTTTTCCTTTTTTTTTTTGTAGAATTAGTTTGCCAATGCATGAAATGACTAACTCTTTAAATGTTTCCGTAGCAGCAAGCATTTTAATCCATTATATTAAAAATATGTTATGAATAAATATTATAAATCAAACACGAAATACAATAACATATAGTTGAAATTTATATATATGTATATATATGTATATATATATATATATATATATATATATATATATATATATATATATATATATATATATATGTTTACAATTATTTTTTAAATTTATAATTTACATTGGTTAAAAGATATATTTTTATAAATACTACATTTTACGTTGAGGATTTTGCGTTAAATTTCTTTTTAAATAATTTTTTATAAAGAGAATTTTAATCAATTAAATATTAAGAAAAATATCAATAATTAAAACAAGAAAAGAATAATAAAAAATGAATTATATGGGATAGTTAATTACATGTAAAATTAAATTGGAATATGTGATTATAATTAAAAAAAAAAAAAAAAAGTTTACATAAATAAAAACATGATTTAAGCTATATGTTGAAAATCTTATTAATTTATTAAAATTTTAATGCATAAACCATAATTAAAAAATTATATTTTTAATTTTTTAATAGAACCCTCAAAAAAAAAAAAAATAAAATAAAATAAAATAAAAAGATAAATTATTTTTAAAATAAGAAAAGTATATTCTATATATAATTTGTTCATAAAAAAATGAAAAAAAAATCTTGAAATCATGCATTTATGAAAAAAAAATTAACATAGAAAAACCTATATTTACATAACGTGGAAGTTACACAAATAAAGAAGGATGATTTAAAAAAAAAAAAATTTGGATAAAAAATAAAATGATTAATTATAAAAGAATATGCGTTAATCATGGTATTAAAGCGATATGTATTTTAGATAATTTTTTAGTTTGTGCTTCTGTTGGAAATACCATTAAAATAATAAATCTAATTAACACAGAAATATTATTAGATTGTATTGTATCAACAAGTAGTAATATTTATGGGTTAATTTATAAAAAAGGTTTTAATAACAGTGGGATACTTATTGCTCATGGTGTTCATAAAATTTATTTTTATGAATTAAATATATGTTCTAATAAATGTATACTAAAATTACTGTCAAAATATTGTTCAAATAAATGGATATTAAAAGCTAAGTTTTTACAATGTAATGAAGATGATTCAAAATTATATTGTAAAAAAAACGAATCAAATAAATTGATTAATGAAGAAAACGTTGTTGTTATTTGTTTAAGCAATGGTAGTATTATATTACTAGATATTTATAAAGGTGTTAGTTTCTACAAATATAAATTTAAAGGAATCCATTTGTTGTATAGTTCAGATGTTTATATAAATGAAAAAAAAAATTTTTATAAAGTTTTGGTTGCCGGTGGAACTCCATTTAATAAAATATTGTTATGGGATTTCAAAATAAATAAAAAGGTAAAATACTGGAAAAAAAAAAAAAAAAAAAAAATTGTGTTATTAGAAAATATTCAAGAGTTAAATGGTCATAGAGGCATTATATTTAAAGTAAAATTTTTTAAAAAATCCAAATATATATGTTCTGTTTCTGACGATAGAGAAGGAAGAATTTGGTATAGGAAAAGAAAAGAAAAAGAAGAAAAAAGCATGTTTAAATCAAACAACAATAATATAAAAAATAAATTTTTTAATTATAGATGTATAAAAGTATTAAGTGGGCATAATGCTAGAATATGGGATATTGATATATGCATATTCAATGAAAAATTTTATTTTATCACATGTAGTGAAGATTCTACCTGTAATGTTTATGAAAAAAATTATAAAAAATATTTTAAAATTTGTAATTACAACGGAAATACGGTTAGATGTATTTGTTTTGATTCAAATTTGGGTATAATAATTTCTGGTTCTGATAACGGCACTATATACATTAGACCAATACCATCGAACATTTTTGAAAATATGCACAAAAAAAAAGAAGCAAATTTTGTGAGTTTATCAAAAAGCATAAATAATTCTATTTTAAATAAAAAGGAAAAAAAAAAAATAGGTATAATAAGTGAAGACAGTATCGAAAATAATAAAATATTTAATTGTGATTATTATTATGTTGATAAAAATAGTGTTAGTTCCACATGTGAAGGTAATGTTGTGAAGGATATTTTTAAAAGTAATACGGACAGTTTTGAAAATAATATGAATAATAAATTAGAAAATGATAATGAAAATTTTGAAAATAATATATGTGATGAAGTATGCGCAAAAAATATAGTAAAAACTAATGATTCAGTAAGTTTCATGTTTGATTACTTAAACGAAAAAATGAAAAAAAATAATGATTGGATTAGATCAATAAATCACATTAATTTATATGATATTATTATTTGTACAAATTTAGGATGTATATATATTTTAAAAACAGAAAAATCTATCATAAAATTGTCACTAATTTATGAAGAAAAAAAAGAAAATCATTTATTAACTAGCATAACATATTATGGTTTAAATTATATTTGCTTAGGTTTTAGTAACGGTTTTTGTTGTTTTATATTTTTAAAAAATGAAAATATTTTAAATGGATCAGTTAAATGTGATGAAAAAAATAAAACTACAAAATATTTTAAATGTTTTTCTCATCGTATAAGTGAAATGTGTTTAATACCTTTATCCACTAAAAGTTATGATAATTTAATTTTTTCAACGGAATGCGAAAGTATAGAAGATATTTTATATGCTTTCATTAAAAAGGAAGAGATAAAAAAAGTTAATTCCAGTGAGAATATTTACACTGATAATGATATTTATAACCACTCTAATTTTTATCAAGTAGTATATAATCACGATAAAAAAAATATGGATAATGATTCTCAAAATTATTTATCAAATAAAAATGAATTTTCAATATCCAATTTTTTATTGTGTAATCTTGATCATACAGGAAATGTCAAATTGTTTAGTATAAAAAATATAAATAGCAAAATAGAAATAAACAATATTCTAGAAACGGAAATAGATGTGAAAAATAAGAAATCGAAAATTATATCAATGAATTACGTAATGAGACAAAAAAAGAAAAAAATGGGAATTTTAATTTTTATTGGTGATGAGTATGGGTGCATTTTTATTGTTTATATTAAAATACCCATTCAACTAAAATCAGATAATATTTTATATGATTTTCAAAATATTCACATAAAATCAAAAGACAAAATACGCGTTCATAATAATAGAAAAGTTTTTGATATAAAAATTATTGATCATTTTATATACTCATGTGGAAAAAGTGGAAATATTATTAAATATCAATTATTTAAAGATAAAAATAATATATATACATTATATAAGTTATGTTTAATTAAAATATCATATTATTCTTCAATTTATAAATTACTACCTATGTTTATTAAAAGTAATAGTTATGAAAAAGAAATAAGATATATTATAAAAGGAAATGATAATAATAAAGAAACTAAATATAATATAAATAATTTTAGTAATATTATAAAACAAAATAATGATTATTCAAATGATAATGAAAAATTGCATGATATTCTTATTTGCTGTTTTAAGGAAAAAAAGTTTGTTTTGTATAATTTAAAAGATAAAATAGAATACTTCTCCATTGATTGTGGTGGTTTTAGAAGACCGTTAAGTATTTTTATGAAATCAAGTGAGAATTTTACGAAGACATTTTCTTTTTGCTTTTGTAAAGAAAAAATCATCTATTTTTATTTTAAAAAGTTATACAACAATCATCAGTGTATACCTTATCAGAAAATTTATATTAACGCAGGGTTTCATAACAAAAATGTTTCCTTCTTAATATGGTTAAATAAAAATTATTTCTGCACATGTTCAGAAGATGGTACATTAAAAATTGTTCATTTGGAAAAAATCTTCGAAAATAAAAAAAATAAAAAATGTGAAAATAATGATATCGAAGGTGAATCTAAATATATTAGCAATGATAATAATATAATAAGAAATGGTTTTAATAAGAATAATAATTATAATATTGATTATAATAATTCTAAAATAAATAATATATGCTCAAGAAAACAATTAAAAAAAGATATAAAAAATAGTAGGAACGAACTCTATTATATATTTAAAAAAAAACCCAATTATAAGAAATATAAAAAGGAAAAAAAAATGAATTATCTAAATTACAAAATGCATATTGTTCAAAACATTTATAATCACAGTGAACCTATTTTTTATATATGTTTTTTAAAAAATCCATTTTATTATTCTAATAAATTAAAGATTTTATGTAGTGTAGGAGCAAAAAATTCGGCAAATATTTTTTACATCTTCAATGACATTTACAAAACACCAATATTGTATCATATAGAAAAATTAAAAGTCCAGAAATTTTCAAGTAATTTAAGATATTTATGTGTTGAAGGTTTATATAAGATTTTATTTAGTGAACCAAATAAATATTTGATACAAATAAATATATTTATTGGTACGTCTATTGGTTATATATTTCATTATTCGGGGATATATGAGTTTGTTATTTATGAAAACATTGTTTTATCGAAAATCGTAGAACCTGCTAATGTAATTTGTTCTTACAACCTAAATAGCACTGTTTTATCTTTGAATTTAAAAAATATTGTATTGAATAATTTTGAAAATGAAGAGAATTCTAATGAAAAAATGAAAGAAATGTTTTCTAAAAAATTACAAAATAATTACTTAGAAAAACCAAGGATAAACGTTTCTAAAACAATACAAAAGGATTATGAAAAAAGTAGTTTGTTTCATGAAAATGAATTCATAGAATATAATAGAGATGATAATTATACATTACAAAATGATAAAAATGATGATATAAATCACCTTCTTACATATAATGATAATAATGACCAATGCAAATTTAGAAATAATCAAAATGAAATAAAGGATGAAATTTTTGTAAAAAGAAAAATAGAGAAAAAATTGATCCAAAATATATTATGTTGCGGTTTAAACAATGGTATGATAAAGATTTATCATTATAATTTAAAATTAATATTAATGAAAGAAATTCAAGTACATCAAAATGGTATAAATAGAATATGTGTTAAAAAAGGAAGGAACTTAATAAAAATATTTTCATGTGGAGATGATCAATCGATAAATATATTAATTTTAGAAATTACTATTATTGAAAATAATATTGCTTTTGTTATTATTCAGAACACAAACTTTCCTAATTCTCATTTATCATCCATTAGATCATTAAATATTTTTTCTGATTTTCTCTTAAGTGTTTCATGGGATCAATATATCTACATATGGAAATTAAAAAAAGATAAAAATAAAAATATTATTATAAAGAAAAAAAAACAAATAAAAATTTCAGTTTATGATGTTTCATGTTTAAATACTTTCGTTATTAAAAAAAAAAAAAAGAAAGGAATAGAAAATACATGTATAAAAGAATATCCACAAATAGAAGAAGGAAGTAATAATAAAAATGATTCTTTAAAAATAAAAAGGAGAAAATATACTTATTTAAAAGCTTATTTATGTGTTTCAGGATCAAATGGGAGTATAGAATGCTTTATATTAAAAATTAATAAATAAAAAATTTTAACATAATTTCACTTCATAAAAATATCAATTTTATATTTTTTTTTTTTTTTTTTTTTTTTTACCATCTTTTATTTTTAATTTAAATTCTATTTATAACATTCTAAACAAAGAAAAATTTTGTTATATGAAAATTTTCATTTTATTTAAAATTGTATATTTGTAATAGGCATATGTATATTCTTCTATAATCTATAGAGCTAATTATATTTTATTACCATTTAGTTTATTAGATTTTTATTTTTTAAAATTTTATTTTTACTCTAAATAATAATAATCTTTATGTATTTAAGCTTTTTACATATAAATTATAACGAATTAACTATTTTTATTTCATTATGAATTTTTCAATATTGCAACTATAGATTAAATTAATTAAATTTTATTTTATTTCATCAATAAAATAAAAATTTATCATTGGAAAATTTCTAATAAGTTTTTACATAGGAAATTAATTTTGAAATATCATAATTAAAAGGGAAAAAATAATCGAACGAATAAAATAAAAAAAAGAAAAAGAAAAATGTTTTAAAATTTTAACTACCAAGAGTTTAGGATTTTTTATAGTTTACAAAAAAAAGATGAACATATAAACAAAATATGAATTTTTTCTTATTTGTGTTTTTAGTTTATTGCAAAAAAATGAATTATATTCTTAAATATAATACATAATAAAAATGGTTTTTAAGTAGTCATATAATTTTTCATGTATTTTTTAAATATTATAAAAATATTCTACTATTTTAATTTGCATTTCTACTTTATTAAAAAAACTAACTTCATTTTAAAGTTTACCTTAATAATTTGTTTTATAATAAAAAACAACATATTAATTCTATTAAATAGATATATAGGAATGTGCAAAAAAATGAACTTATCATTGCAACCAATTTATTATTATTGTTATTATTTCTCTTATTTTTCTTTTTTAAAACATTTTGATGATTTTTTAATTACTTAAATTATGGTGGGTCTATTATTTTAACATAGATAATACATCTATTTTTTTTTTTTTTTTTGTTTATAATTATGGAAAGTAATGTTTTAGTGATAAAATGTTACATGTTTTTATTAGAATTAATGAAAATAAATAGTATAATTGAATATATATAAATATATATATATATATATATATATATATATATATATTAATCATTCACTAAAAACTTAGAAAAATCATGACCTAAGAAATAATTTAATTCAGGTTTTAAAATAAAACTTAAAAAAACAACTAAAGCTGCATACCCTTCAAATAAAGAATCAGGTCTGTCAGGTAAATTATAAAATCTATCAAAAAATTTAATTGAAAAAAGAGCATATTTTAAAGATCTGATATACCATATTTTATCTTTAGTATAATTATATAAATACAAAAAAATAATACCATTACCAGATATACCATGGCATAATCCTAATCCTTTTGATAATAGTCCTTTTTCCCATATTAATAATCCCATTTTTTCAATAAATTGATTACTATATTTATTTTGAAAATAATTTGGTACTTTTTCATATTTTAATAATTCAATTAATAGAATAATAAAACCTGGATTTCCATGACACCATTGTATTAATATCTCCTTTTTCTTTTGTATCTTTTCTTTTCTTATTGATGAGTAGACATTAAAATCATCTGTTACATATAAACTTAATATTTCATCAGTTACTTTATATATTAATTTTATATAATTATTTAATTTATCTGTTGTCAAATCTTTACATTTCTCTAATTTTTCTTTTCTTCCATCTTCCCCTATGTCATTATTTTCTCCAATTAATGATAAACATAACTCATTTATATGATCAAGAAAAAATATTATAAGATTAAATAAAACAAATAATATTCCCGCATACCCATGTGCAGCACCTAAATAAATTTTTCCATGCCATTCGAAGTATAAAGATAATGATGTAATATTACGCATATTAGTGCATTTTGTTAAACCATATTCAAATATAGAATTCATAATAAAATATAAATTTTTCAAAATAGTATTTTTATATATTGAGTTAAGCCATACATTTCTACAAAATAAAAAAGAATATATATAACCACACTTACCATATAATAATTCACATTCCTCATTCACACTTCTTAATTCATCCTTATTGTACCTTAAATGATTGACCAATAATTCAATATAACTAAAACTTTTTTTGTTTTCTAAATAATGGTATAACATGCTAGACAAGCTATATATTCCTGTAATACCCTCAAGAAAGGTTATCGTATTTTTTTGTTTATGATTATTCAAATATCTTATGATATTTTTACCTAATTCTAAATACTTAACATCTTTACTACACTCATATAATATTATATTCATATATAAGATTCCTCCTACTCCACAATAAACTGAATAGTTTCTATGATTCTCAATTTCATTGTTTAATTTTAAAGAAAATTCAATTATTTTTTTTTTTATTATGTTTAAATTAAGTTCATTTTCTTCAAATTCTTCTAAATATTTGTTCGATATATATCTATTATCATCCGCCATATTTTTTTAAAAAATGCCTTTTTAAATTAGATATTAATTTAAAGTAAAGAATAAAATATAAGTTTTACACATATGAATATGCATATTTGTAGCTTTAAAATTTTTGTTTTATTTTAAAGCAAATTTAACATTTTCAAAAAAAAAATGTTTTTTTAATAAAGTAAAATATTACAATAACGTATTTTCTAAAAATAATTTATTAAAATTTTTCGGGAATTTATATAATTTTCATGTTATATTTCTTTAAACAGAATAAGTTTAAATATATAATTTTATTTTTCAATTTTAAAGTTAAAAGATATTATTTACATTAGTAATTATTTCAATAAAAAAAAAAAAAAAAAAAGCAATAATATTTTTTAACATTTACTTATATAAATATTAAAAAATTACAAAGAATAAAAGTTTAAAATATAATATTCAATCTAAAAATTCTTTTTTTTCTTTTCTTTTTTTTTTTGTTTTTTTTGTTCCTATGCATCTTATATTTGTGTTGTAGTAATAAAAAAAAGTAAAATAAAATAAAATATAAAAATAAAGAAATAAAAAATGAAAAGTTCTTTTTTTTTTTCTTCTTTAACATAGGTTCAATTAGTTCTTAATATTGTCTAAAAGTTATTTTTTTTTTAAATATTTTTTTCAATATTTTTTTTATTTAAAATTATTTTGTATAGTTTATTTTTGTGTATTTTGTTTTTATTATTATTGGAAAATGAAAGAAAAAGAAATAACTAAAATTTTATAAAGTAATATTTTATATTTCACATATGTTATTATTTCAATTTTATTCTTAGTGTTTATATTATTAATTTATATATTTATATTTTATAATATATCTTAAATATGTTTTATACAATTATGCTTTAATTCTTATTTTACATACACATTTATAAATATAGGATCTCTTAATTTTACTATTGTTTGAATTTAATTTTTATATTTATAATTCTATGAATAATTATTTTTAATTATATACTAAAATAATATATTAATTTTTAAAATTCCATTTTATGGTATTTCCATAAATCATACATTAATAAATATCTTAATTTTACCTTACAGTAAAAATAAAATAAATAAACATTTAATATAGTTATTTTGTATTGTTTCAGTTAAAAAAAAAAAAAAATTAACAAAAAGAATAAAAATAATGTATTAAATAAAATGAAGTATAATTATATGGAATGATGAATATAAAAATTAATAGTAAACAAAATATAGCGTAATAAACATTTTATTAAAAAGTCTATTAATAAGTACATTTGATTGCATTCGTAGACAGAAAAAATAAATTTAATAAAACAGTTTTTTTATTTTTGAATTTTGAATTCTGAATTTCATATAATTTAATATACTATTTTGTTGTTTTTTTCTAATTCAATTTTACTGTCTGTAAAAAATTGTAAAATTTTTATTTTCCTAAACAATAGAATAAAACAAAAATTATAAATGAAATAATATAAAATGGGAAATATCAACATATATGATACAATAATGAAAATATTTTTAAAAGAATTAAAAAATAGAGAGAAAAATAATATATATTTATATATTCTTAACAATAATAACTTGCCCATTAAAAAATTTTCTATATCATCATATGATGTGCACATAAAAAAAAAAAAAAAAAAAAAGTTAAAATTAAAATTTCTTTCATAAAAAGTAAATTAACTTACTGTCCTAAAATATTAGTAAAAAATAAAATAAAGTAGAAAAAAATAGTACTTTTGTGGATTGTTCATATTAAAAAAAATAGTAATTAAAAAATTTCACAATTTCTTATGTATTTTTTTATTTTACAATTTTAACTTCATAAAGTTAAAAAAAAAAAAAGAAAAAAGAAAGAATATTTTAATAAGTAAAACTATTTTGTTTTCAATCATTTTTATAGAAAGTAAAATGTTCTTTACATTACTCATGATTTAATATTTCTGATGTCATTTTTACCTTATTTTTCTTTTTTACATGACCATAACATAATAATAAGGATCTTTTAATTTTATTATTACTTTTTTTTTTTTTTTTTTTTTTTTTAATTATTTATTATTTTTTTTGTTTTTTGTAATTTAATATGATTAAAATTCATATTTTTCTACTTTTATTTTCCTCTAAATTAAAATTTTAATGTTACATGTAATTGTATAAATTCAATTTCTGTGTCAAAAATGTAATAAACCGTTTTTTGTAAATGCATTTAAATAATTTTTTTTTAATAAATTATTGTGTTAATTTATATTATTTGTTTTAAAATAAGTTAAATCATACTTATTTTGGTAATTATTTTTTTTTTCTTTTCCTTAAAAAAAATGGATTAAAAAGAAAAAGATAAAAATATATTATCTCAAAACAAATTGACTGCTAGTTTTTCATTTTGTGTGCTTAAAATTTTATATTTTGTAAACATTTCTTATTATTATAAATAATTAAAAAAAATTTTGTTCTTAAATCATATTTGTCTGATATTATAAAGAAAAAAAAAAAAGAAGAAAAATATATATATATATATATATATTTATTTATAAAACCTCAAAAAAAAAAAGTGTGTGTATCTATTTTATCTTAACTGTTCATAAAATATAATAGTAAGTATGGCCTTGATAAATTTTAAAGAAAAAATTCAAATTTTACTAAAGTTAAAAGAGTCATTAATACCACAGGTTGATGGAAATTTTATAAAAAATTGGGAAATGGAGGCAATAAAATATCAGAGTACAAGCGAAAATATTCTAGTGGAATTAAAAAATATAAATTTTATAGAAGGACTAGTAAGTGCTATTTCGTCTCAATTATCATATCTTCGAATAAATCTACAAAATTATCAAAATATGTCAGAACAAGAAAAAGATAAGTTTAAAAGATTGTATGTTCTAGCTGCTCTTGGATTAATAGCTAAGTTAAAACTTATTTTATTTTTCTCAACATATATTAATTCAAGAGAACATAAGAAATTTAAAAATTTTCCTAATATTAACGAAAATAATTATGAATTGCAACAGAACAATTGTGGAAATTCATATGATAATGAAATAGATTTATCAATTAATAATTCTGAAGATTATATGAATGGCAAGAGTACTAAAAAAAATTCTTTACTTAATAATTTAAATGATTATTATTCGCAATTTCATAATTTTACTGATAATTACAAAGAAAATATTTTTAATGCAATGATACTTAATAATATAGTTAATTATAATTCACAGGATAATAGTGGTAAAAATTTAAATAATAGTAATTTTAATGAAAAAAGTTTTAATGTTTATAATAATAACAATAATAATAATAATAATTATAATTCTCATTTTACAAATAATTTAGAAGATCTTTCTTTAGCAATGATGAATAATTTTTCATTACAAAAAAATGATAATTTGCAAAATTCATCTATTTTAACATCAAAAAAAAGATCTTTACCATCACCTCAAAACCAAAACAAAACAGTGAGTTTTTTAAAAAATTCTCAAACTTTAAATAACATAGAAAATAATCAAGAAGAACATATGTTAAATTATAATAACCAAATAAATAATGAATCACAAAAATTTTTTCATCAAAATCAAGAACAAATTTCCAAATATTTAACTAATATCAATCAAAATATACATTCAACAAATAATGAAAATTCTGAATTAGATAATTGTAATTCAAATTTAAACTCCTATTACCAATTTCATAATGACAATGGACAATCTAAAAATGTTTTACGATCATATAACAATAAAGTTTACGGTATTAACGATAACATTTATAAAAATAGTTATTATTTATAGTAAGGAAAATTTTCAAAAGTGAGTCACAAATAATTATTTTACTTGTAAATCTTGGAAGGAGAAGAAAAAAAAAAAAAAAAAAAAAAAAAAAAAACCTATCGCGTCACGTGTATGCATATTAATTTATTTACTTATTTTTAATATTAATTTAACTTCATATAATTCAAATGTGCCATTTAATAATATTTGTTTTATTTATTTATTTATTTATTTTTTTTTTTATTATTTTATTTTTTCTTTTAAATTATTCATAAAATCTTTTAATATAAATTATAGTTTATTGGCTTCATAAAAGTTTCTTTAATTTGTTTTAAGAATTTTAATGTCAAATATGTATTAATATACATTTAAGAAATATATTTATAATTATTATTTTTCAATTTCACAAAATTATCTCATTTTTTTATTTAAATTTACTTTCATTCTAGTAACAAAAAATTTAGAGTTGAAATATATCATAATAAGAATATATTACCGTAACTCTTTATATTAGTTTGAATTTTTTAATAATGTATTGCTTTTTTTATTCTTTTCTTTAATATATTTTTCTAAAATTTATTTTTTCCTTTATTTAATATATATATAATTAGTACTATTAATTTTATTATTACGGTTAATTTTATTACAACTATTATTATTTTATTGTCCTAATTAATTTAATTATTATTATTATTATTTTTATTTATACTGTTATTTTTATATATATTGTTATTTTTTACTTATATTAATTCTAATATATTCGTATTTAATGCTATGACAATTTTTATTCTTTTCCTTCCATTTAATTTTTTCCTTTTTTTTAAAATATTTTAAAGTAAAATATGGCTTTGTTGATCATTTTTCAATAATTTTAATATATTTATAGAAAAGAAAAAAAAAAAAAATATATAAAATAAGTTAATATAAAACAAGTTATTTTATTTTTTAAACAAGAAGTTATTAAATTTAAAATTCTTTGTTAATAATTTTACAAATATAATATTACATAATAGGTTTATTTTTTTTACTTAGGTTCTCAAGATAAACTTAATATCTTAGCTTTTTTGTTCTTAGCATCATCTGTAAAAAATATAGATTTACATAATTTTAAGAAAACAAAAAAAAATTCAATATAATTTAAATTAATGAAAAATAAAAAATTAAAATTAAAATAATTATATGTAAATAAAAAAGTAGATATATATACAAGAGCATGAAAAAAAAAATAAAATCATTACCTAAAAATAATTCTGTTATTTCAATATGTGGTGTTATGAAGAAATACTGTTTATCATTATTTATTTTAACAAAATCGCAAAACAACTTCATACTAAAAATAAATAAAAATATATATATATATATGTATATATATATGAATAAATATTTTTTTTAATATATTTTTGTCATTATTAATTTATTCTATTAAAGAGATAATTTATATTATTTTTTCTTGTTTTTATTTATTGCTTTTTTTTAAATGGTATTTTCTTTAACTTTTTGACACGTGTAAGTTCATCCATATATACATCAAGTTCATCAAATATATGAAAAGAAGAAGTTTCTGTCAAGGAGAAAGAAGCTAATAATGCCATCTGAATAGTAGACTTTTCACCACCTGATAGGGAGTTCATTTCCATAAAAATATTATTTGAAATGTCTTGGTTAATTGAAACCATAACTTTTAAATTTCTATTTGTATCATCAAATTCTAACTTTCCTTTATAATTATTCATATTTTTCAAAATATTCTTAAAATGAATTGTAATTTGTTCTTTTGTTTTTCCTAAAATAAAAGAGTACTTAGCCTTTCTAAGTTTTATATTAGACAAATGCATATCATAATTATTTTTTAAATCAGATATTTGTTTTAATTGCTTATTATAACTTTTTTCATCATTAATATATTGCTCAATCAAATTATTAAAATAACTCCTCATAGAATTATCAGTATTATCATTTTCATTGAAACCACTCATTTTAAGAATTTCAATTATTTCTTTTTTTTTTTCACATCTTTTTTTCCATAAAGTCTCTGAATATTTTTCACATGTTGAATCTAATCTGAATTCATCAAAATTGCTATTATTTACGTGTTTATCTAATAAGTTATTGTTAGTACTTATAATACTGCTCAAAATTTGTTGAATGTATTTTTCTAATTTTCTTAAGTCTTTTATATCATATTCTTTATTATCATTTAAATAACTAGATTTTTTATAACTTTCTTCTTTATTAACTACTGTACTTTCATCATTTTCTGAAAGCACAAAGAGCTTATTGAATGAATTTAGTGAGGACATAGGAATTTCTACAGAAATATTTTCATCAGTGCATTCTGAAAAATCATTTGTACTCTGAGTTGTAAAAATAAGTTTAATTGTAACTTCTTGCATTAAATCATTTTTATTTTCATTATTACTTTTATTATAATAATCATTTATATTTTCAATTTGAGTTTCCATACTTTTTTGTAGAGTAATATTTGTTATAGCTTTATTTTCAGATTTATTTTTTAAAATTAAAAATGGATTCTTTAAAAAAATATCATCTAACGAAAAATTATTATTGATACATTCAAAATAAATGTTATGTAATTTATTTAATGATAATAAAAAATTTTTTTTATTTTTATTGGAAATTTCATCATTTTTCTGCTTATCCATTTCTAATTTAATTAAAATTTCTTTTAAATCTTGATATTCTTTTATTAAAAAAGAAAATTTCTCTTTTTTGTTTTGCAAATATCCAATATGTGATGAGATTAAACATTTATGTATGGAGGTAGTGGAGTAAGAATTTTCTTTTTTTTCTTCCAGAACTTTTATATATGTTTCTATATCATTTAGATAATTTTCTATATCATTTATATCTTTATTTTTTTCTTTAATTTCTATATCCATTTGTTCCATAAAAATATTATCATGATTTGCCTTCAGTTCATCAATATTTTTCAGTTGATATTTTAATTCATCTTGCAAAAATTTTGATTTTTTAATAGAATCATTTAAATTATCTAAAATATTCTTATAAGAAAGTAATTTTTTGGACACTTTTAGAATTTCTTCATTTTTTTCTTTTTTAGATTTTTCTAATTCTTTTATTTTCTGTTCATTTGTTTTAATTTCTGAATCTAGCACATTATTTTTATCGTCTTCAGAATTATTGTATATTTCACTATTTTTTTTATTTTTAATCAATTTGTTTTCCTCATTTAATAAATTCAAGAAAAGTGGATCTCTATAATATTCTTCTTTTGATGGAAGAAAATGTAAACTTCCATTTGAAAGAACTTTAACCAATACAAAATCATCAATAACATAAATTGATTTTATTATACTTTTATCATTTAAACGTAATAATTCATGTAATTCACTAGAGTTGTTACATATCAACGTTTGAACAATTCTAAAATTATCATATAAATAAAATAACAATGAAGTAGGTAATAAATCAATATTTAAAAAAGAATAAATAGTATTTCCATGTATTTTATCTAATAACAATTGAATATTCTTCATTAATTTATCTCTATTAACATGCTGAAATGCATTAGTAACTATTATATTAAATTTGTTCTTATTCTCTATTTCTATATTATTCAATTTATTTTTATCTTCATAACAACTTACTAACCAAGAATAAAAAATATCACCTAAATGTTTTTCAATAATTGATAATATTTTTATGTTTTCAACATTCTTTTTTAATTTTATATATTCTCCAACTGGACCTATTGGAGCATACGTAAAAGAAAACTCTGTATTTTTCTTACTTGTAAAATTATTCTTTTGATTTTTGTTAATCAGTTTTAATTCTTCATGAAAAATTAAATTATTTTCAGACTTAATAGAAATACTATAATTTTTAATTATATTATTTCTTAAAGAATAAATGTCATACCCATATATATATATTTTTTTTTTTATTTCATTATTTTTAATTTTATGAACTTTGTTTGATTGAACAATAATATCATTTATTTGTTTGTTTAAAATGTCTACAGTATTTTTGTTCTTGCTTATGAGGTACTCCATTTCATAAATAGAATTTTCTTTTATATTTATTTCATTTTGTAATTCTATCTCTTTTTGCATTTCTTTTGTCATTTTTTCATTTAACTTTTCAGATTCTTCTTCATATTTATTTAAGTATTCTTGTAATAATTTTTTATTGTCTTTTGCTTTTTCAAAGGAACTTATATAATTTATAATTTCCTGTCTACGATCAATATATTTTGTTTTTAAATCATTCAATTCTTTAATCATTTCATCGTATTTCGTTATTTTGTCCATTTCCTTTTTAATCAAATTATAAGTAGTTGTGTCTTTTTCAATTACTCGTTTTATATTCAACTTAAGATTTTCACTTTCTTCAACGAGTGTATTCATTTTACTTTGTATATTGTTAATAACTTTTTCATTTTTAAAATTTTCTGACTTTAGATATTCGTTAAATAAAATAATTGTATTTTTTAAAGATTCATAAAAAATTAACACTTTGTAATTATTATCAAGTAAGCTTAACTTATCAAATTCATTTTTCAATATATTATTCCTTTCTTTATATGCTTTTAATTCCTCTTCTTGAGGAGAAAGTAATAACTGCTTCTGTTTTATTTGATTTAAGCAATTCTCTAATAGTTCACTTTCCTTTTCGATTTCCTCTTCTACTATATTTAATCCAACGGAATTCATAAAAAACTTATGCAAGGCTTTTTCATTAATATTACTGAAAAATTGCTTTCCTTTTTCTTGATCTAGATATACGCAAGGACTCCTAATATTTAGTTTTATAAAATTTAAATAGTTGTCAATGTATGATTTTTTACATACATATTTATTTTTTTTTTCTTTATCATTATTAATATTATTATTTTCTCCTTTATTTAAATTAGTTAAAATATCCTTGTTATTATTATAATTTTTCTTTTCACTTAACCCATATAAATAAAACTTGCTTGTATGAGAGGATACAACTCTCTTGATTATAATTACGTCACCGTAAATATCTCTTTTAAAAGAATTCTTTCCTGAATTAGATAGAAATATTTCAATATAGCAAACCAAATTTTTCTTATTTTTATCATAATCTTTTATATAGTTAGCAAGGTTAATATCTCTTCCTGCATATTTACCTTGGCTTCCTAAAGCTACTGCAACAGCTTGAGCAATAGCACTTTTCCCTTTTCCATTTTTTCCTATTATTATATTTTTGTAAGAATTAAAAGTTAATTCTAGATTTTCATGATTCAAAAAGTTTCTTATTCTTAATTTTATTATTTTTCCAGTACTACCATAAAAACTTTTTAAATCAACATCGTTTAACATATTTATATCACAATAATTATTTTCTATTTCTTCATTTATAATTTCATTGCAAATATTTTCTTCTACGTTATTTATATTATTTAAAATTATTGTGTCTTCTATATCATTATTTACACTTACTAAATCATTCTGGTTTTCCATATGATCATTTGTTTCTGTATTTTTTTGTTCTAAAATTTTAGAAATTTTATTTTTTTTTTTTTGACGACCTGAATTACTAGTATTCTTAGATTTCGTTTTTACATCATCACTATCTGAAGATAATTTTTTTTTATGATTATCTGAATTATGTGCAATAATAACTGATTTTTTAATGTTAGTTTTACTTTTATTTCCCTCACTTACGTTTGCATTTAAGTTATTTTTTTCTATTAAATATTCTTCTTTATTTTTCTTTTCATTATTATTTTCACTTCTTTTTCTTTTTTTATTTTTTGAAATATCAGCGTTGTCAAAATATCCATCTTTCTCAATAGCATTATTATGTAATGGATTAATGCTGCTTATTTTAGAATTATTCATAATAAACTATTATTAGTCTTGTTCTCTCAAATAACAAAGGCAAATTATTTAATCAAAATACAAATAAGTTCCATTTGATAAGTATTATTTATTTATTTTTATTTTATTATTATTATTATTATTATTATTATTATTATTATTATTATTATTATTATTATTTTTTTTTTTTTTTTTTTTTTTTTATAGTAAAGATTTCATTATGAATAATGAAATTAACTCACAGTTATTAATTTTATCTTTAATTATTTTAATATATAAGATATATTTTATTACTTTTCAGATATAATAAAAATCAAAACCAAATATATTTCAAAAATTATAAAAAAAAAGAGTGAAAATCTAAAAGGACAACGAAAAATAGAGTTAAATAACATTCCATATGCTTACAATTTAGTAAACAATGAAGATTTAAAAAAATAAAAGAATATAATATTTATTTCATAAGTCTATTATCTTTTTCTTTTCTTTATTATTGTATGTATAAAGTATTTCATTATTCTCATCAATTATCATTTTATTTATCCTTATAACTTAAAAAATTAATATTACACTTGTAACAAATTTTTAAACTTTTTGTTTATAGCAATTAAAAAGGAAATGTAGTATTATAAAATAAAAAAAAATTATGAAGTCAAAAAAATTAATTTCCTTATATACAAAAAAAAAAAAAAAAAAATATTTATTCTATATATATAATATTTACATAAAATTATATATATTTATAAACATTTATTTATTTTATTTTATTTATTATTTTACCTATTTTTTTATTTTTTATTTTTTATTTTTTATTTTTTTTTTTTTTTTTTCGTATTTTTAATTTATAAAACATGTTTAGCAATTAAAATAAAAAAAAGGAAATGTCCAAAATAAAAATTTTCTTTTTCTTTTTTTTTTTTTTTTTAAATTTTAAAAAAAAATATTTGAAATACATTTAATTAAAAAATAAAAACAATTGTTTTGTTATGGAAGTAAGCCTTTTCAAACCCATTATGTTTTCACATCTTTATTTAGAAACCTTTTAAACTTCTTTTTATTACATTTTTCATTTTTATGGTATACATTTTTTTCCTTTATTAAAATATTTTACACATAAAATTTTTAAAAATTATTAATAATTTTTTTTTTTTTCAAACTAATAAAAAGAAAAAAAAAAAAAATTTTTATTTTAGTAAAATTGATATTATCATAAAATATAATTCTTTAAAAACGCACATACATATATGTGTTAAAACAATAAATTCATATAATTGAAGTTATTAAATTAAAAGTTCATGATATATAGTTTTAATCAAAAAGAAATAACTTAAAATATAAAAAAAAAGTTCATTTAAAAAAATATAAAAAGGAGAAATAAAAATAGAAAAATTATATGAAATATACACATTCATGCATAAATAATTATTTTTAATTATTTCGTATAATAGGAAAATTAAATATATATGTATATATACTTATGTTTTGCAATTAAATATAATTTTTTAGGAAAAATTCAATTGTTTTATTGATTTAATTTATTTTATTTTTACATTTTTTTTTTTTTTTAAATACTGCTTAAAACGGAATATTTTTATTGATATATAACAAAAAATTAAATAATTTTCTATTAGAAGTATCTTAACAATTTTTGGTTTTCATTCGTTATATATAACTTATGAGTTTTTTGCTTTTTGATACATTTGATCAATTTGTGACTTAAATTTTTTAAGAGCAACATGTCTTTTAATTTTTCCTGTAGGTGTTAATAAGTCATTTTCTATTGTAAATGGTTCTAACGTGAAATAAATATCTTTTATTTGTTCATATCCTTTTAATCCATCATTTTTACCTATTTTAATTAAATCATTAATAACATCATTTTTAAAATCAGGTAAAATTATAATTTCTTCATCATTTTTGTCAATTTTCTTATTTTTTTTCCATATTTCAATAGTGTCTGTTGATGGAAATATAACAGAAACAAGAAATGATTCAGAAGAATATCCGAAAACAAAAATTTGGTTAATAAATAAAGACTGTCTATAAGAAGATTCAATTTTTTCTACAGCAACATATTCACCTTGAGACAATTTAAAGATATTTTTTTTTCTATCTATAATACTGACTGAACCATTATCATTTAGTACTACTATATCACCTGTACATACCCATCCATCTTCATTAATTAATTCTTTTGTTTCCTTCTCTAATTTAAAATAACCTAACTTACATATACTTGGTCCTCTTAAGTATAATTCTCCTTTGGGTGGTTTATCATTAATAAAATAATTCATTTCAGGGACCGATACAATCTTAAATTCCATACATGCTATAGGTCCTCCTATATGTCCCATAAGAGGATCATACATATGAGACAAAAACGAAGGTCCCATGGTTTCAGTCATTCCATAGCCTTCTAAAATTGGTGCACAAAAAATTGATTTCAACTTTTTTACTACATCACAACTAATAGGTGCGGATGCATTTAACATTACTTTTATATTTCCACCCATAATTTTTTTGGCTTTATTAAAAAGAAATTTATCCCATAAAAAATGAGTATAGGAACCACTTCCATTTAATTTCTTCACTTTATGATCTATTCCTTTATTAAATAATGCTTGAATTAAATGTGATTTTTTTTTTAAAGAATTATAAATTCGTTCATGAATTCTATTATAAAGTCTAGGAACACTAATAAAAATTGATGGTTTTAATACTTGAATATCCTCAATTAATGCTTGTATATTTCCCGAATAATATCCTATTCGTATCCCGAAGACAAAGCATAAAAAAAGAATCATTCTCTCATATATATGGGCTAATGGTAAATAAGATATATGTGTATCTTTATCATTTACATCTAAATCTGACATTTTTAATAATTCTAACATTGATGCATTTAATGTTGCCATCATATTCCTATTAACCATTATTACTCCTTTTGGGAATCCAGTGGTACCTGAAGTATAACAAATACTTGCAATGGCATCAGGATTTGCAGGGCTAATTTCTAATATATTTTTTTTCCCTTCATTTATTAAATCATTCCATACAATTAATTCTAAATTAAATTTCTTGCTCATTTTTTCTATCTCATCATCTATTTCATCAACAAAAATTAGTTTTTTTAAATAAATTTCATCACAAGTTTCTAATGACTTAAATAAATTAAGCGCGCAGGACTTATTGCAAATAATTGTCTTCATTAATGTTTGTTCTAAAATAAATTTACTTGATTCAATACCTAAAGAGTCATACAAAGGTACTGTAATAATGTTATATGCATTACAACTTAGATCACAAATCGTCCATTCTGGATTATTAGGCATGTAAAATCCTAAAAATCTAGCTTTTATTACCTTATCTTCACCACAATCAATTAATGGACATGCATCACAATTTAATAAACCAGAACCAATTAACATAACCAATTCTTTAACCTCTCCATATGTTTTCCATTTATATTCTCCAAGCTTATTGTTTTCTTTTATACGACTACCCAAGCAGTCATTATCTTTAAATTTATCAGCTACATCACTAAACATTTCCCATACACTATTAAAAGGTTTATCTTCAAAATTCTCCATTAAACGATCTTTACACATAGGGCTTCTATAAACTCCCGTACATTCATTTCCTACATCTTCACTTATTTTAACTGAATAGATTATTTCATTTTTTTCGTTATACATTTTCAGTTAATTGTATTAAAAAAAAAAATAAATAAATAAGGTATATGCTTATATTAAATAAATGTAATATTACAATGTAATAACTTTTTTTTTTTTTTTTTTTTTACAAGTGTATTGAAAATAAAATAAATATAATAAAATAAATTATAATATAAACATTTCTAATATTAAAATTATATATATATAAAAGAAAAAAAGTATACTTTTATTAACATTTCTCAAGTTAGATGTACATACAAATATATATATATATATATATATATATATATAAACTTTAACTAATGAAATATTATTTTTTAGTATGTATATAGTGTGTTATATAAAAATAATATTATTTATATTTAATTTATAGTAATTTGCAAAATATTAATAAATAAATTATATAAAATATATATTATATAAAACTACAACTTTTTATTTAAATTAATAATTAAAAAAAGAGTCTATATAAATGAGGAACTCTTTAAAATATGAAAGATGTAACATCTACTTTTTTGTAAATAAAAATCATTAGATATGTAAAAATTATAAATAATATAAATTTATCTGTTTATTTATTCTTTATATTTTTTACTATATTATTTTTCTTTCAGTGAAAATATGTAAAAAGTTCATTAAAAACTAAATAATATTAAAATACTTCTGTTTAATATTTTTAATATAAAAATGTTGCTATTTATTATTTTTTTTTTTTTTATTATTATTTTATTAAAAAAAAAAAAAAATAAAAATACGTTCTCCAAGATTGAAAATTATACTATATTTTATGATTTTTAACTTTTTAAGTACATATTTATAATATCTCTAAATTTTTATTTTTTAAAATTTACACAAGATTAAATTATATTTATCATTTTTTTTTTTTTTTTTTTTATTTAATGTTTTTCTTTTTTTTTTTTTTTCTATTATTTTTTTCCATATAAACTTTTTATAATGTTCATTTTTTTTTTTTTTTTTTTGTAATAAACTTTTAAAAAACATTCACTTGTATATATATATATATATGTATATATTTTATTTTATTATTTTTATCTAGTATTTCTTGTATATATTAATTTCATATAAATTTAATTACACTTTAATAAATTATTTTCTATTTTGAAGTTTACAAAACTTTAAAAATTATAAAAAGTGCTGATAATGTTCAATAAAGTAAAATGTGTAAAAACTATCTTTTTATTCAAAAAATAAAATTAAATAAATGGAAAATTAAGGTAACTAATAAACATAATAATAAAAATTACAGTCTCTCATTTTGAGTATCTTTAATTTGTATAGTTGAAAAAAATTTTATATTTAGAAAAATTTATTTTCTTTATTTGTAATCTTTTTGGTGTTTTGAAATAACAGTTTGATAAATTTTTATTAGGTATGTTTGTGGGTTTAAGAAAATATTTTTTTTTTTTTACATGTTTTATGTTTATAGATATTTTTAATGTTAATATTTATAAATAAAAAAATTATTAAAAATGTGTCATTGTATTCTATATATTTTCTGTTAAAAAAGAAAATATAAAAAAAATATTATAATATATATTCATTAAATAAAAACATAAATTACTCTAATAATATTAAAATAAAGGACTGTTCCTATTTTTTATTTTATTTTTTTTTTTGATAATTATGAAATTGTAGTTTTATTATTTTTAAAAAGAGAAAAAAAAAAAAAAAGTTTTTTATAATGATAATTTATTGACATAAGTAAATAATAAAAAGGAAAATATCCTATATTTACAAGCATACTATAATGCTTGAGAAAGTGCATTTTTTTTCTTAAGTATTATCATTTGGGGTTTTCTAGAATTATATTCTAAAATATTATCCCAATACTTTTCATAAAATATATTACTTTTTTCATTTTTTGAAAACCCACTAAATAAATTAAAAATTATGTTTATACTGAAAATATTAAAGACAAAATAAAAGTAATAATAATAAAAATTATAATTCTAACAGTAATATCAGTAATAATAATAATGAATAAAAGATTTTACACTTATTTACTAAATGAGTCGAAATAATATTGCAATTATATTTTGGCTTGAATTCTGTTAATTTTTATAAAAATACATTTTATATTATTAATATTTTTTTTTTTTTTTTTATTATTATAAAATTGCATTTTTAAAAAAAGAAAAAATAATTCTTTCTATATAATGGTGTTATATTTTATTAGCTTTTTTTTTTTTTTTTCGAACTGTCTCATAAAAAATAATTGCATATTGCATACATATTAATAAAACAAGAAATATATTATGAGGTGAAATAAGAATGTTAAAAACAAAAATGATAATTTAAAAATAAAAGAAAATGATGCATTATTAAGTAAACGTGAGACAAATAGTGAAACTAATTAAAAAAAGAAGAAAAAAATATATTCAAATAAATAAAAAAAAAATTATTTTTGTATGCTATATATATATAAATATATAAACATTATTTAATTAAATATATAATAATAAAAAAGGTGGTTATAAATTAAAAAAAAAAATATATATATATATATGTATATATTTTTTATTTATTAATGAATTGACACATTTAAAATAAAAAGCATTATTCAATCACTTCATTTGAATAAATTACAAAAGTTGAAACATAATAAAACATACACACATACATGCATACATACATACATTTAATTTTTATTATTTTTTTTTTTTTTTTTTTTTTTTTTTTTTANCTTTTTTTTTTTTTTTTTTTTTTTTTTTTTCTATATACGTATTACATATTTTTAATTTTAAAATAAATATATGTTGTCACATATATGTAAGTAATTTTTTATTATCTAAATTAATTATATTAGACATCATGAATTAATATTACATAAGTTTCATAATATTTAAGATATTTTTATTTAAATATAACAATTATGTATTTTTTGTTATCTTTATTTAACTTCTATATATTATTTTTATTTTTATTTTTTTTTTTTTTTTTTTTTTTTTTTTTTTTTTTTTTTTTTTTTCTAATAGTCAAATATTTCCACTTTTTGTGCCATTTTTGGAGCAACTGTGGATAATTCATCTTCAGGATAATTCCAGAAATTTGAGCAACTAATTAAAGAATTATTGTTGAATTTATATATATTTTTTAAATTATTATTTGAGTCATAGTTATTCATATTCTCTTCTTTATTTTTGATATTCTGTATATTATTATTTAGATAATGATCTGAAAAATGAGATTCTAAATTTAATTGCTGCTCTAATTTGTCCTTAGATGAAGATATTGGTTTATATGATGAATATAAAGCATTACTATTATTTGTACTATTATCATTAAATAAAAAATTATCTTTACTAAAATTATTAGAATTTTTCATTTGTAGTAAATTTAGGAAATTTTTGATATCAGAAGAATTCATTTTTTCTGAATCATCTTCAATAACTTTTAATGCACTATCTTGAGCTGTAATCTCCATGTGTTCAATTGTATCTACTAAATTGTTTTCATCATTATTTGATGTCAGATCCTTTGAAGAAGTGCTAGACATTCTCATAGGAGTAGAAGGTTCTTTGGTTGAGAAAGAAGAGTAATGGTTTACTGTATCAATATTTTTTGCCTTACTTAAGTTATAAAATTTGTTCGTATTTATGTTGTTATTAATATTGCTGTCTTGTCCTCTTAATTCATTGAGTGATTTATAACTTCTGCCTATCTCTTTCTTTTGATTGCACATGTTCTGTAATTTATTTATATTAAAATTGTTTATAACGTTATTATTTTCCAGATCACTATTAATCAAGTAATTTTTAAAATTTATATTGTTATGCAATTTTGATTCTCCATTGTTATCTTTATTTTTTAATAAGGGATACATTTTATTTGGAAAAGATGAACTTTTTTGATAATTTTTGTTATTTATATTATTATTTATATTTATACTGCCATTATCAGCACTAGCATTTTTTACAAATTTTTTCGTAAACTTATTATTTTGAGACGGAAAATTACCGATTAATGAATTGGATTGTTTTAAAATTTTCTCATTCTTTTTTTCATCATTTAAAAAACTATTTTTTTTATTAATTTTTTGTAAGGGGTTTGATATGGATGATGATAACATTAAGTTAATTGCATTTTGAGATGGAGATACGTTTCCTGGCAATGGTCTAAGTTCTTCAATATAATGAGCATGTCTACAATGCGCTTCTGCATTACATTTTCCTCTCAAAAATTTTGTACATGGAGCCGTTTTATATAAATCTCCTGTTGGTCTTAATTCACACACAGAATGGGCATAGCTACATTTTTCATTTTTGCATAAACCTGATTTTTTGGCTAGTGGACATAAACTAGTAAATGATAAATCTGGAATTGGATTTAATTCATCTTGAGAATGAGCAAATAAACAATCTACCCCTCTATCACATCTCCCCGAAAAAAACCATGGGCACATTTTTGTTTTATAAAATTGTTTTTTTCGAGGTATTTGAGCTATCACCAAAGATGATTGCGTGTTCATATTTTTCGTCATCATTTCTTATTACATATATTTAATTTTTAATAAAAAAAAAAAAAAAAAAAAAAAAAAAAAAAAGGAAAAGAGAAAAAAAAAAAAATATTATATAAATTAATTACATATAACAACACTTATATTTTTTCACTACTATATATTTATTCTTATAAGATTTATTTAATTTAATATATCCAAATTTATTATTTATTTTTTAATATTTTTTAATATTTTTCCTTTTGGAAAGAATTTAAAATAGAGTTTTTATAAAATTCAAAATTAACTAAATAAAATTTATTAAATAATTACAATGTATTATTTACTATTTAATATTAATATTAATCTTTGTTTTTAATATTGAGTGAAGTAAATAAATTGAATTTTTTATACCTCTTTTTTTACCTCAATCATTACATAATTCTCATTAACATATGCTGTTGCTTGAATCTTATTTCTCAATTCCTCTTTTCTTTTTTTAAATAATAACATTTAAAAGATAACAATTAAAACATAAAAAAATAAATAAAATAAAATTATAAATAATAAAAAAAAAATAATAGTAGTATATATATATATATATAATTCAAAATGAAAGATAAATATTAAAGAATAAATATATACTTAAAAAATATATATTAGCAAAAATATTTCTATTTGTCATTGAACTTTATAAATAATATATCACATAAAAAAAAAAAATAAAATGTCTTTTAGAGTGATATTTTTTTTAAAATAAAATAGATGCTGTAAAAAAAAAAATTATCAACTTGTTTATTTTTTAAATGAATTCAAAAAAAATTATAATATAAATAAAAAGAATAATTTTTTTTCGTTTTATTTAAATATATATTTTGTTAATTTTAATAAAACAAAGACAACTTTCAAAAAAAAAAAAAAAAAAAAAGAAATATATAAAAAATAAAATAATTATCAAGATAATTATCAGATGTAATCCAAATAATAAAGAAAAAAAAAAAAATAAATAATAGAGAATAAAAAGATTATATAATAAATAGAAATAAAAAAAAAAAAAAATAATAAATGAAACAATTTTCTCAATAATATTAAGTCTATGGTTATACTAAATAGCACAACGATACTATAAAATAATATATATATATATATTTATATAATAAAAATAAGATAATATATATATATATATATATTTATTATTATAATTATAAATACATTTATTAAAAACAGTAATAATAAAAAAATATAATAAAATAAAAAAAAATTAAAAAAAATTTAAACATATAATATAAACTTAAACTATAAGATATAATAGTATTTGCATTTCAGTTAATTCTGAATATTATTTAAAAAAAAAAAATCTTATTTAAAGCTAATGGAAAAAATGAAATATTAAAATGTATATAAAAAAAATACACGTATATATCTATTTACGGGAGATGGATTCATATGTTTCTTATACATAAATTAAAAATATAAAAGAATATACATAAATGTATTTATATATATATATATATATATATATATATATTATTATTATTATTATTATTATTATTAATATTATTATAAAACATAATATGTTTTAAAAAATAAAAAATTATGTACTTTTATTTATATAGATGTGGTTTTAAATAAACAATGTTATGATAATAATTAAAAAAATAGTAATTTTAATAATTATATATAAATATTAATATATTTATATATATATTAATAATTTATGTATGTATATTGGTATATTTAAGTATATAAATTAATATATTTTATATATAAATAATATTTTGTTTTATAAACATTAAGAAAAATAATATTTTTTCTTACATGTTAAAATAATATACTTAAATAATGAGAGAAATCAATATAATTACATATAAAAAATAAAAATGTGAACAAAAGTAAATCACATAAAATATAAAAAGCACATGTAAAAAAAAAAAAAAAAAAAAAAATTATTTTTTTCTAAACATTTATAGATTTCTATGCTATCTACACAAATGGGACATAAAAATAATGAGTTAAAAAAAATAAAAAAATAAAAAATTTGAAATTATAAAACATGAAGGAAAAGAAAAACATTTATTCATTCTATATGCTTGTGAGAATAAAAAATTATTAAAATTTCACAATTTTCTTTTTATATGTATGTTTAATAAAAATTATAATATTTTACAGACAAAAAACTTTTTAATAAACTTCTAATCTTCGAGACATCTAGCATTCATATAAAAAAAAAAGTAAAAAAAAAAAAAAAAAAAAAAAAAAAAAAGAAAAAGAAAGAAAAAAAAGTATATTAAAACTTTTTCTCATTCTTAATCTTAAAATAAAAGAGATTAACACTTATTTTACATTTGATGAAAATTCTTTATTGTACTAATTTAAAAAAATTAGATGTAAACAAAGTATATTGAGAAAAGAAAAATAAAATGAAATAATTTAATCAATAAAATATTAATTTTAATATTTCTTTAGTTATCCAAAAAAGATTTTTATTATTTTTTTTTTATTATTATTGAATGCTTTTTTTAATTTTTGTACTTTTTTTTTTTTTATACTTCTAGCATAAATTTATGTATAAAAAAATTTACAAGTTTTACTAGCATTCATCCATTTGGTAATTTTTTTTTTTAAATAAATAGTATTAAAATTTTTTTATTAAAGAAAAAATTTAGGAAATAAATAAGGTTTTTAATAGAAAATTGTTTAAAAAAATATGTAGAAAATAAAAGAAAAATAATATTCTTTTTTGTACGCTAAAAATATTTTAAAAAAAGAGAAAATTAAATAAAATTATTTCAGTTGATTATGATAATGATTCATTGAAAAAATGTAAAAAAGGATGTGCATAATGAATAAAAAAAAAAATATACTATTATTAACACTTCCTAAAGTACAATGTGCATTTCTTAAATACATTTTTAAGAAAAAAAGTTAATTGAAGTTTTCATTTGGTTTTAGAGACTAAATAGAAAGTATATCTTTTTTATATAAAAGTGTTTTTTTTTTTTTTTTTTTTTCCTTTAACACCTATATACATATTTATGATTTAAAAAAAAAAAAAAAAGATTCATTTAAAAATATCTATTTTTCTTATAAAAAATATTAATATTGGGAATAAAGAAAAAAAAAGATAAAAAAATTAGAATTAAAAAAAAAAATATTAAATATTTTGATAAAATAGTGTTACAGTAACAAGAGGTTTTTAATGAAAAATGTGTTAGAAATTGTCTAATTGGAAAAAATACATGGAAACAGTACAAAATAATAAAAAAAAGTTTTAATAAGGTAATAATATAATAATAAAAAAAAAGTTAAACTAAATTTATTATAATTAAAATTTGAATATATAAAATTTAAATGAAATAATATTTGAAATTACCAAAAAATACGCATTAATTTTTCTTTACTATAAAAATTATTTAAATTACATACAGTTCATAATTAAAAATATAGAATTCTTGTATAATTAAATATACCTTAATTATATATATATATATTATATTTTTTTGTACTTTCTTTTTTTTCATTATAATTATACCAAATTCATTTTTATTTAATCACTATTTTAATTATCACATAATTTCGTAAATATTATTATGTTATTATATTATTACTGAAAAAAAAAAAAAAAAAAAAAATACATAATAAAATATAAATTATTAGAAATTTTATTCCTGTTTTAATATATACATATATATATTTAACAAATCCTAACAAATATAATAAAATAAGTTATACTCAAAAAGTCTCTGCAATTTATTTATAATTTACAATTTCTAATATATAAATTATTATTGTAAGAAATTTAAAGAAATAAGAATTAATGTAACTCAAATATTATTTTTTCCAAATTTTAAATTTAAAAAAAAAAAAAAAAATATTGTATATTTTTAAAATATAAAAGGATAATAATAGTTAAAATAAATTATGATAGCGCATCCTTTAATTAAATTTATCATTTTATGATTAGACATTTTTTTATCAATAATAATCAAAAAAAAAAAAAAATGGCAAGGATGACACCCGTAATATTTAAGTGCCTTATAGAAAAGAGTGTAGGAAAAGCTAGTATTAAGCATATATTAATAAAAAAAAATATATATTTCTATAAAATCACCAAAGAATTTCCAAAAATACTTTTTATTTTTCATTCATTTTTTATTTTTATTTTACCTATTCAATACTTATCCTATTATTAATTTTATAAAAGTAATTAACATATTAAATTATATATTTCTACAAAATTTTTTGAAGAAAATTATTTTACTTTTTCTTTTAATTTATTATAATTATTTGATCACAGAAAAATTATGCACTTTTTAAGTTTGTTGCGCAATTTATCATATATGCATTGAAAAAGTTATTCATAAAAAATAAAATAAAAATTGTATTACAAAAAAAGAAAAAAGAAAAAAATATTAAAATAAAGACAAATAAAAAAATAAATAAATATGAATGGTCTATGGTAAAATTAAATTATGAATTTTTTATTTAAATTAAAAGGAATTTCATATACATGTATAAAATTGAAATAATTATTAAATTAAACACTTATATTAAAATAGATATGTGGCTTAAAATAAAAGTCTATATAAATTTAGAAAAAAAAAATTTTTAAAAATAAATAATAAAATAAATATATTATAATAATTTCTATAAAGTTTTTAGACTTTCTTTTCATATTCATTTTGGTTTTTATTTGAATTCCTATTTTTATTCTTTCCTTTTGTGTATACTCTTTTATCACATGGATTAAATCCTTTTTCAACTGATCCTACTATTGCCCATTCAGGTGTTTCTGCACAGTAGTCCACTGCATTAAAATCTTTATTTTGTTTTACCAAGTATTGAAATTTTTCATAATTTATCCAAGTAAACCATTTATTATTGATTTTAAATATTTTTTTAGCTATTAAAATACTACATGAGTGTTTATGTTCACAACATATTTCATAAATATTAGTTAATGATGATTTACAATTTATCAAATGATAAGCAAATTGATAAACTTCTTCATGCCATGGAATATTTTTCATAGTTAACTGATAACCATTTGAAGTACCACAATAAGTTACAGCTTTAATTTCAATAAAATCAGGAGAGCCATATTCAATTAATTTAGCATAACTTGAAACTTCGTTAGCCATCATATTATATTCTTTTACTAAAGTAAATCTAAAAACAGTCCTTTCTTTTCTGTTTTTTAATATTTTTATGCATTTAATATATCTTTCCCAATAATCTTTAAATAAAGGCCTATCGATATTTTTTAAAGCTTCCTTATTTGATGCATCAATAGATAAATACAGCTGTGTGACTTTACGTAAATTTTTTAATGCATCTGGAAATTGAGCATTCGTAACTAAAAAAGTAGATATATTTTTTTTATGTAGCTCATCAATTAATTCATTAATATCAGGATACATAATTGGCTCTCCAACTAATGATAAAGCACAGTGCTTTATATTCATTGCATTATCAAATCTTTCTTTAATAACACCATAAACACCTTTTAATTCTTTTATCATCCCCTTGTGTTTTTTAATAGCTTCTTCAACTATCATTTTTGCTTCATCTTTATTCCATTTCCAACTAACACCAACAGGATTTTTATGATGTCTCCAACAAAAAACACATTTATTTGCACAAGCTAAACTAGGAGTAGCTTCCATACATTGATAAGAATTTATACCATAAAATGTGTGCTTATAACATCCTCCTCTTCCTCTTAATTGAGATTTAGACCATCTACATAATTTTACTGCACTGTGGGAACCAATTATTTTATAACCTTCTTTTGTTAACTTATCTCTTTGATTTTTTGTTAGCATATCTTTTGTTTCGTTTAAAACTAAATCTTCCAATTCATCTTCACTACTACAGTTAATAGAAGCATCTTTATTATTATGATTAGAATTTGTGATAAGTATATTTTTTGTTTTTTCATAATCCTTTTCATCATAACTAGATTCTGAAGAAATTATTTTTGTTGATTCTTCATAGTTATATTCTAATTTGTTTTTACTATTTTTGCATACATTAGAGGTAGCATAGTTATTGCAAGTATCTTCTTCAAAGCTATTTTTTTCATTTTTATACACATTACATATTTGTTTATTCGTTTCAGTATTTTCATCTGTATTGAAATTATTTATGTGCTTCTTATCATGATCTTTTTTATTCAAAAAAGAATCATTTTCCTTATTATTGTGATAGTAAATTAAATTTTTAAGATCATGTAATTCCTTATTTTTATTGATTTCATTTGGCTTAATATTATTTGAACAGTTTTGTGTGTTATAGACATTTTCAAATATTTGATTATAATTATTACAAAAAAAAGAGCAATAAAATTTTAAGGAATCATATTTTTTTAGGTTAGGATAATAAATAAAGGTGAATAATTTTATATTATTAAAACAATAAAAAAATAGAGATAAATACAAAGTTTTAAATAAATTACATTTCCAGTCTAATATATAATCTTCGTTATTTTCACCATCACACAATGTTAATGTTTTATATAATTTTTTTGCACCTAATGAAAAAAGCCATTTATCACATTTAATAATAGGAGAACAAAAATATTTTTTCCCGTAACTCTTGTTACCATATCCCACACAACTATAAAAAACATCTTTGAACAAATCTTTTTCTACTCTAAAATCGTTTATTAAATCCTTTAAAGTTTCTTCTAGTTTACAACAATTTTTTGGAAATGAACCATTATCATAAGTACTAACAAATAACAGTAATATATTCAAATCATAATCATGTAATTTTTCAAAATAAGTATCACAATCAAATTCGTTACCTTCTATAAAATCAAAATACACTAATGTTAAGTTTGTTTCTATAAAATAATCTAAATAATTTTTAAAATTTTCTTTTGAGTTTTTTATATCTTTTTCATATTCTTGTAAATTATATTTTCTCCGTATTATCCCATTATTTTTTTTTTTTTTTAAGTCTATTTTATTGTTTAAATGAAATTTAAAATATTCCAATAAATATTTTTCTAAATTACTGATATCATTTATGTTATTATTATTTTCATATAAATATTTTTTTATATCTTTATAAAAATTATCAATTTCTTTAAAGAATTCTATTAATTCAATTAAAAAATTTTCTGCATTATTATAACTATTACAACTTTCGGAACCATAAATTAATTTTATACTTATTTTTGCCTTGCTGTTATATAAGTAGTGTTTTAAAATTATTTTAAAGAAATTCTGGAATATATCCATCATTTTTTCATAACTTATTTTTATTTTTCTATTCTCTTTTTTTTTTTTTTTTTTTTATTTAATTATATTGGATAAAATACATAAATTTTAACTTAAAAATGATATTATATAAAGTAATGAAAATTTTTATACTAACATTTTTAATAAAAATTGTATTGTAATTTTTCTTAAATTCAAGTTAAAATATTAATATTTTCAATTTCTGTAAAACATTCTTAAAATCAACATTTTCTATTTTTTTTATACTTTTGAATTTTGTTTTAAAGAACAAGTAATAAAAATCACATTTCTTTTTAATATTAAGAATAATTATATATACTAAAAAATATTTATTAATTATATTTTTGATGAAAATGTATATAAAATTGTTTACATATATGAAAAATAAAATACTCTTCAAAAAAAACAACAAACAAATTTAAAAAAGAATAAAATAAAAAAAAAAAAAATAAAATATAATAAAAAAAAAAAAAAAAATGAAATAAAAATAAAATAAAAAATTATGTAAATTCCATCTGTTTTTCTTATAATATAGAAGATTATGTAAAAAGAAAATTTATACTTATACAAATATTTTATGAAAAAAAAAAAAAAAATAAAAGGAAAAAATATAGGGATTAAATTTGAATGAAAACATAATATAGGAATTAGGCAAATCAACTAATTTATAAAAAGCAGAATTTTAATTGAATATAAATAATAACTGTTAAAATTTTTTGTAATACAATTTTTACATAGTTTTTCATTCTATAACTAAATTTTATTTTTAAATAACGCAAATGTGCATACATCATGGATAAATTTATTTATTCCATTTCTTATTAGTGGTGTTAATAAAAAAAAAAAAATATATGTGATAAACTACTTTACATCTTTGGTATAATTTTTTTTGTGTTGTTCTTTTTTTTATTTTTGTAAGAATTTAATATTTTTTTGAATAAATTATTTTTATAATTCTCTGATTTTTCTTTTTTTTTTATCTTTTTGTATGCTTTGTTATTTTTTTTTATGTTTGAAATAAAACAAAATTTATTTTTTTTATTTTTTCTTTTAAAAAAGCTATTTGAATATTCGAAATATTGCTCCATTTCTTGATCGTCTTGCTCTTCTATTTCATTTTTTTCTTCGTCTGAATAGTAAGGAAAAGAATTTTCATTGATATTTGGCCATATATATTTTAAAGATGAACTTATATTATTCCTAATTCTTAAAAATGTGTTCCCACTTTTTAAATGTGATAAGTAATCAAACATTTTACCAGATATTGGGCATACTAGATAACCCCATTCTATATCTGAAAAAATAGATAAATCGCATTTATCATCACACACATGAAAATTTTTACTTGTTAAACATATATATAAATTATTTTTTTGAATAAACTGAAATTCACAGTGTTTAAATGAACATATGTGAATATTTTTATCTTGATTTGAAACATTTTCGTATGTAAGTCGTATTTTCATATTTAAATTATTTTCATTTTTTTTTTTAATTACACTTTCTAAATTTGATACTTCGTTAATAGAACTAATTTTTTCCTCAGTTTTACAAGTATTCTTATATGATAATGAGTGCCTTTTAAGTTGTATATTAGTATTATAATTTAAATGAAATATATTTAATGAATTATTAAAATTGTTATACCAATTATTGCTATTATCATTATATAAATCATAATTATTAAAACTATTCAGTGAACAATCTTTTAATGAAAGCAATGAAGCTTCCATATCTAAAAATTGTTCTTGTGCTGATTTAGGTAAATCAATATATTTATTTTTTTTTTTCTCTATGCATCTAATATAAAATAATTCTTTAAATGGATCATTTCTTTTTCTATTAATTGAATCCTCATAATATTCATATTTATAAAAATATTTCCATAAATCATTGTAATTTAGAGCATAATAAAATTCCTTATTGATCAAATATTTATTTTTTATAACATCTCTGTAAGTTAAGAATTTTAAAATTTCTTTTATTATATCTGATGAAAATTCATTCATTGATAATATGAGAAAAAAAAAAAAAAAATATTAAAACTCATATATATAAATATATATATAATTGTGTATATTTTTATTATCTTTTAGTTCCTTTTGTAAATTTTTCTAGAAAAAATTGAAGGAAAATTTTTGAAAGTTTATCTTTTTAATTTGTATAATACTATTAACTGTCTTGTATATATAAACCATATTTTAATTTTAACAATTTTTAATATGTTTATTTCTTTTAAGTTATAAAATTTTGTTTTTAATTTAAATATTTGCTTTCTTATTAATTATTATATCTTAAAATATAAAATGTTATATTCATAAAAATAGTAATTTAACAATATAAAAAAAAAAAAAAAAAAAAAAAAAAAAAAAAACACTCATTAATAATTAGTAAATCATTGAAATAAAAAACGTTATTCTTCTTTTTTCAATTTATNAAAAAAAAAAAAATATAAAAAAAAAAAAAAAAAAAAAAAAAAAAAACACTCATTAATAATTAGTAAATCATTGAAATAAAAAACGTTATTCTTCTTTTTTCAATTTATTTTAAAATTTAAAATTACATTTATTAATTCTTTTTATTTTTATTTTTATTATATTATATAATGTTATGTATATATTTTTCGTTAAGATTGTTTTTTATTTCATTGATATTACTTGTATGAATAACCTAAATTAAAATTTTGTAGAAATAGAAGAATTAATTAATTTGGAAGGAAATTATACATATAATAATATTTAATAATTATCATAAAAAATTTTAAGTTTATTTGTTAATTTCCCTTATTAAAGTACTTCATGTTTATAATTACACTATTTTTTTTTATTAACAGAAAAATATAGATCCATTTTAATAATTAAAAAACACACTTGATCAATTACAAAAATTTAAAAGAAAGCTATTTTTTTTAATTTGGTGATAATAGTCTTTTATAATATGTTTTAAGAATAATTTGAAATGGAGATATGAAAAATTGCATAATATGAAGTCTTTTTTGTTTATTTTATTTATATTTATAATAAACATAATTTTTAAAAAATGCACAATCATACTTGTTGCATGTTAATATATAAATAAATGTTTTGTAATTTTATATAAATTGTTTATTAAAGGATAATATTAGGAATAATTATAACATAAATACTTTTAAATAGATTAAAATAAATATCAATATGATGAAGAAAAAAGGAAAGAAGGAAAAATAAATATATAAGTAAATGAGAAATTGTATATAAAAAAAATTAATAACAATAAAAAAAAAAAAAAAATCGTAAAAAGTGAATAATAGTGAAGAAAATAAATCAAAAGTAAAAAATAAAATAGGAAAAGGGAAAAATAAAAAAAAAAAAAATCATATATAGGATAAAAAGTAAATAATAAAAAATAAAGAATAAAATATTTAAATATATATTTTTCTGTTTAAATATATTTAATTTGTGTAATATTTGTTAATTTAAATATAAAAAATATAAAAATGCAAAATAAAAATTTTGTGTAAAAATTAAATTATCTTTTATAATTTTTTTTTATATATTTTTTATTATAAATATTATGAATCTTCATCTTTTTTTTTTTTTTTTGTGAATCTCAGTTGTTTTTTTTTAAACTTTTATTTAATAAAAAATTAGCTTTTTTTTTTGAAAATTGTAAATTCATTGTATCATTTTATCTTTATATTTAATAAAATTTTGTTTTACTTTATTATTATTTCATTTTTTTATTATTATTTCATTTTTGTGTATAAAATAGTTTTATTATCATTTATGAAAAAATTACATTTTTGATTTGTAATTTTCATTTTATATATGTAAATCATTATCACATATATATATCCATATTTGCTTATTTTTTTTTCCAATATTTGTTTTATTTTATTTTATTTTATTTTATTTTTTTTTTTTTTTTACATTATGGATGATGATTTTCTTAGAGCTTTAAATAAATTTAATGCAAAATTTTGTTATAATAATAAAAAGAATTCAATTAGAGAGATTAATGAAACAAAAGAAAAAAGTCATAAAGTAAGAGAAGTTAGACTAAATAAGTTAAAAGAAGATTTGGAATTACATTACATCCACAATTCTAATAATAAAATATGTCAAAAATTTCTAACTCTTCCTCTGAGTAAAAAATGTGATAAATTAAATAAACACTCCGATAAAGTGATATTAGTTAGTTTTATTATATATTTTTTCATAATATATATATATAAATATGTTTTTATAAATCTTTGTATATATTATCCGAACATACATATTCGTATATTATTTTAATCATATATAAAACGTAGTTTAAAATAGGAATAATGTTCGTAAAATAAATGAGTAAGATATATAAAGATTAGAAGAAAATTAAAAGAAGAATTAAATATATTTTATTATTTATAATAATTTATATTTAATTTTTTTTTTTATGTATTTTCTTTTTTTTTTTTTTATATATTTTATGGCGTTTGTATTAGCTCATTAATTACTATAAAATATAGATGTAATTAACTTCACGCACAAACGTATAATATAAATAAATTTTATTTATAAAAATAATTGTAATATAAGTTTAATATTTGAATATTTTTAATAAAAGAAATAAAAGTATTACTGTATAAATATGCAATAAAAAAAAAAACATATAAAAATAAAATTTTATACGCAAAAAAAAAAAAAAAATATATATATATATATAATATTATAAAGAAGAAATTGATTATATAAGTATTATGATTATTTATATTATTGAAAATTAAAAAACATATTTACACACACATATTTTTTTTATGATTTTTTATAGCCTGTATCTATATTAAAAACATTAGAGAAGGGAAGTTACAGTAATGAAGTGGAGCATCCTTATACTTTTAGTATAAAAAATTTACAAAATAATTATATAACTCATGCATGTGTTTTAGAATTTAGTTCAAATGAAGGAATTGTCTTAGTTTCAGAAAATATAAAAGAGAATTTAGGAATAACAGAAACAAATGGTATCACAAGATTATTAGTAACATATGCAAATTTACCAAAATGTGATTTTATAAAATTTGAATCGTTAAATGAAAATGTAAGAGATATAAAATTTATGAAAAATTTATTAGAAAATCAATTAAGTTTAAATTATAGTACATTGTCATTAGGTGATTATGTACACATTAATCATTTAAATTTTTATATAAGTGAGTTAGAGCCAGATAATGCTGTATCTCTAATAAATACTGATATAAATGTAGATATATGTGAAGTAAAAAGTCTAAATGAACAGAACATTTCAAAAGATAATAATAATAATTTTTATGAAATAGTAACCACTGATACATTAATTAATAGTACCATTAAAAATGAAATGAAAAAATATAAATTTGTAATTAATTACAATATATTAGAATTATTAAAGAAAGATAAAGCTAATATAAAGATTTCATTAAATTCTAATAAACTAAGTGATATCAATATTTTTCTTTCATTTCCTCCTTATGATCAAGTGTCAGATGTAATTCATCACTTATATTTTGATGATTTCAGTAAAGAGATTACAATAAATAAAGATATTATTAAAAAATGTTTAAAAATTCATTTTATTTGTTTTTTAAAGGAAGACGATAATAATTTTTTAGAATATATATTTGATCATTTTTTTCCTCATATAATTTATATAGCTATTTCTAATACTAATGAATCGGAACTACAATATAGTTTATCGTTAAAGATAGATTATGATATACCACTTAAAGGAGATATAGACAATTATAATAAAATTAAAGATGAAATTAATGATGAAACATGTAATAAGAATAGTTTAAATGAATTGAAGGAAAATTCTATGATCAGTAGTACTTATGTTAAATGTGATAATTGTTTAAAAGAAATTTTAGAAAACAATTTGGATATTCATAAAATTCATTGCATAAAAAATATTTCTATATGTAATATTTGTAAAAAAGTTTTAAAAAAAAAAGAAATTATTGAACATATTCATTGTGATATATGTAATGAAGGATTAAGTGTGATTAATAAAAATAGACATAATTATATATGGCATACAAAAATAAAATGCTTATGTGAGAAATATTTTTATAGGAAACAATTTATTTTTCATCAAAAATTATTTTGCCCCAAAAAAATAATATACTGTATATTTTGTAATATATTCACAGAATCTTCAATGAATATATATAATGAAGATTACATTATTGCTTCTTTTTTTGATAAATTTGATAACAATGATTTTTCTGTTAAATCAATTGATTATTATTCTCAATTAATTTATAACAATTTTAATTATTTCTTAAAATATATAAACAACACAGAACATGAAAGATATTGTGGTTCAAAATCAGTTAGTTGCATAATTTGCAAAAATAATATATACCGAAATAAATATATGTCTCATTTAAATTTAATTCATAATAATGATAAAATAAAATCCTTTAAAATTATAAATGAAAACATAGATGTTAATGAACCTATTAATAATTGAGGAACTTAAAATTACATTAATAAATAAAAAATTTTCAAAAACAAAATTAAAGAGTATGAAGTTATAATTAATTAATATGTATATATTATTTGTGGTCTATTTATGCATATAATAAAATAAAATTCATATGAAAAAATATTTTATTTGTTCCTCCAAAATTGTTGATATATTTGTATACATATAATATAGTAAAATGTAAATGTTAACGTAAAAAACAAAAATGTTTATTTAATCACGGAAACTTACATTAGCTAATTCTTTGATAAAAAATGTTTTAAAAAAAAAAGTAAAATCTAGTAAAATATATAAAAGTTTAAATATATTCTTTAAGTAATTATTTTTTTATGTCACATACAAAGTTGAAGGTTGTATATTCTTATATACATAAAAATATTTACACAATAAATGAAAAAATCTATCTTCATCTTTTTATGTACTTAATTTTATATCAGATAGTTTGTGTTTTATGCTTTATTTATTTTTAATTATAATAATTATAATTTTTATTAAGCAATTATTTTCTTTTTTATTATAAACCTATAGCTTTTTTTTTTTTTTTTTTTTTTATATTTTTTATTCTTTGTATTTTTTTTTGTTCATTTTTTAATTTTCATTTAAAAAAAAAAAAAAGAAACAAGGAGGAAAATTCTGAAAATAATTTGTATAATTTTTTACTTCATACGTTTAAAAATTTTTTTTTTCATAATTAAAAACATTTTATACAATTAAATCATCTTTAAAATACAATAAGTTTATATTTTTACATCTTTTATATTTTATATATTAAAAAAAAATTAAAATAATGATAAAATAAAATATAATTTCGAATAAAAAAAATATATTTATTTAAAAAAAAAAAAAAAAAAAAATGAAATCATAAAGTTTTTTTTTTATAATCTTCCTTAAATATGACATTCAATACTCATTTTAATCAAAATAATTTAAAATATCCTATTAATTGTTAGTCTGTATTATGAATACTTATTTTTTTCTTTTTTTTAAATAAAATTTGTTTTAAAAAATTATTAAAAAGTACCCAAAGAAAAATAAATAGAACTTCTTTTATATATTTTTTGAAAAATAATATTTAATTTTTTTTATATACTTGATTTTTGTTACTTTGTTATATATATATTTATATATATATAAATTTACGTTAAACAATTGTGAATTTTTTATAAACAAAATTTAACATATTTATGTATATATATCTAATTGAATATATATATATATATATTGAAGTATATAAACTGAGGCATTAATCTCTTTTATAAATATCCTTTATATTTATAAATAATAAAATATATATTTTGATTTATATTTTATTTAAATACATTTAATAAAATAGATAAATTCTTCTTTTTATAAAAAAATATAAATATACTTGACATACTTTTTAAAATGGGATTCATACTTTCGAAAATTAAAAGAAAAAATGAAGAAAGTGATATTTTAGTGTCAAAAAAACCAACATTCAATTTTGAAAAAAAAGATACAGTTAAAATTAAAAATAAATTAAAATTAGCGAAATCTAGAATAAATAATTTTATAAAAAAAGGGATAAAAACAACTTCATGGGTAGTGTGGATAGCTGGAGTTTCTGTTGTCGTTTTAATTACACCTATTGCCTTTCAATATGAAAAAGAATGCCAACTTTTTGAGATGCAAGCACAATTTTTTCAAGCACAGCAGGCAGCCAATGTTCCTCAATTAAATTGAAAAAATACAAAAACAAAATGTAAGTATTCTTATGTTTTAAAAAAAAAATTTTAATTAAATAATATAATCTTTTAAAAATAAACATATTTTCTTCTTTTATATAATAATATAACGAATTAAGGAAAAAATACAAATTAGATATATATAGTTTTTAACATACCTTTTTTTTTAAATTTTTAATTTAACATGTAGTTAATATTTAATTTTATGTTGTCACAAAAATATTTTTAATAATATGCAGAATAATTCATTAATATTATATTTTATTTATATATAAATCCAATCCTAGTTTTATTTTTTTAAAATTTTAATTTTTTTTTTATATTACTTTAAAAACAGATTAAAAAACAATATTTTCTTTTTAAACATAAAAAAAAAAAAAAAAGATTAATGTAATACTACTCTTTAAATAAAATAATGAAATTAAAATAACTATAAAAATTGAAAATGTTATTAATGATAGTATATTGAAGTAAACTTAAATTTATGATTAAAAAATATAATATATGTTGAGAAACAAGTGAAATATGGAAAATCATATAAACTATGAAAAAATTTTACATTAAAAAAAAAAAATATGAATATAAATATTAAATTTTAAACATTATATAGATATATAAACATATAGCATATATCAAAAATATTCTTTTATATAAGCAAATATCTACAGAATATGTTTTTTTATTTTTATATGATTAAAAAATGAAATAAAAAAGTGTATTCCATATGTAATTTTTTGTGTGTAATCATAAAAAAGGAAAAAAAATTAAATAAATAATAAATGTACACAGAGTAACAAAAAAAAAAAAAAAAAAAAAAAAAAAAAAAAAAAAAAAAGTATATAAATAAAAGTAAAATAAATATATTATATATGTATTAGGATAACAATGATGCATTTTATTTTAATTTAACAGTTCCTCCTGCTTCTGTTAATTTTGCTTTCCATTTATCTGCTGTTTCTTTATTAATTTTTTCAAAAAGTGTTTGAGGTAAATTATCAACTAAGTCTTTTGCTTGTTTTAGATTTAAATCCTTTTTTATTTCTTTAACAATTTTAATTATAGGTATTTTTTTGTTAGGTTCAATATTTTCTAATATTAAATCATACACTTTATTTTCCTCTTCTTCTTCTTCATTTGAATTAGAATCAGATTCATCTGGTTTATTCTCTTTGTCATTTTTAGAATTATCTACATTTTGTTTTGTATCTACTGAAAAAGTAAGTTCTATTTTTTTTACTAACTCACTTGCTTCTAATAAGGTTAATTTCTTTAAACTTTCAATTATATTATCTACTTTTTCACTTCTTAATTTAAATTTTCTATTATAATTAAATAAACTTTTTTTATAAATATTTCTGTAATTTAAATCATTTTTCCTTGAATAATGATCAGTAACTTTATTTTTATTAAATAAATAATTATCACAATTAAATTTATTTTGTTCTCTTAATAACTTAAAGCATACACATTCTATAAAATATATATGTATTATAAAAAAAAAAAAAAAAATAGGAAAGGCTATTTTTTTAAATGATTTAGCAAATTTACATCTTTTTTTGTTATCAAAAGTTTCTACTTTCTTTTTTATCAAATTTATAAGCATTCTTCCTTTACTTTTCATTATTGAAACTATACATTTTTATTCATTTCTGTTCTCTTTTTATATAATAAAAAATATCAAAAGCATTCAAGAAAAAATTTCAATTATATATTATATTTATTATATAAAAATAATAGGGAAAAAAAAAAAAATATTATCACTATATAAAAAATTAAAATTATAATTTTTTTCAAGACTGATATAAATATATATATATATATATATATTTAAAATGTTTTTAATAGTAGCATGTCAATTCTAATATTGTAAATTAAATGCAAAACAAAATGAATAAAAGAACATATTTTATAATTGGTATTTCACAATTCTTACAAAATATTATAAATTTTCTTTTTCTTTCATTGAATACTTTTTATTATAATAAAAAATTTTTTTATTAAAAAAATAATTAAAAAAATTGAAATTGATATGCTTGTTTTTATATTTTTTTTTTTTTTTCTCTTTTGCGAGTATATATTAAATTTTTTATATCAATCTTAAAAACAGAAAAAAAAAATATATATATATATATAATTGATAGTAGTTTCTTTACAAAGTGATAATGATTAAAAAAAAAAATATATGTAAATCATAACTTATATAAAGAAAAGTGAGAATTTTATACAATAAAAATATATGAAAATGAAAAGTTGATGTAACAATTTTATTAAATATAAACAAAAAAAAAAAAAAAAAAAAAAAAAAAAATTAAATAAATATATATAGCATAGTTAAAAGAACTTTATACAGAAACAAAAGTAAATAATGTATTCTTATTAATTTTCACTGAATTTACATAATATTTATATTTTAATGTAAAAAATACAAAATATAGGAATTTTACTATTTTACTTTTAAAATTAAGAGACACTGTTGAAATATTTATTTAAAATACATATTAAAGAAATATTTAATGAATTTAATTTTATTTTTTATTACTTTAATTTTTTAGTTACTATTGTAATTTTTTTTTTTTTAATGTCTATAATTTTTTTTTTTTATTTATTTTAATTATCATAAATTCTTTTATATATAATTTTTGTTTATAATTATAATTTATATGTATACATGTGTATATTATAATTTCTACCTTGATTTTGTTGTAAAAATGAAGACAAAGTATTATTTTTTTGTTGTAAAAATAAAGACAAAGTATTATTATATATCATATTAATTAGTGTCATTACTTCCATGATGTATTGTTATGTGTATATCATTTAATAGAATTTTTCTAGCATATGTGTAATCATTACAAGATAATAAGAACCTGTTAATTTTTAATTGTAAATTATCTTCATTTTCCTCACATATTTTTAATGGTGAACTAAATGCTCCATTTATTTCATTTACGTCTTCTGTTATATCAATATCAAAATATTTAACTTTCTGTATTTCCTTATTTTTTAATTTATTTTTGTAATAGTTTACTAAGCTGCTATTTTTGTTTATTATGTTAACTTTAAGATCCTCATCATATGATAATTCTAGTAGTGATACATTACTATTAAAAAAATTATATTTATTTTCTATAGTATCCATATTTTAAAATTTTTTTAAAAAAAAAATATTATTTTTTCTTAAAAGTAGTAACGTTTTTCTTTCTACTGTTATAATTTTATTTATATTAATTTAAAAATTATAATTCAAAATTTAAAATGTTGTAAAGTTATAAATATGTTAAAATTTTAAAAATAAACTTAATACCCCTATAAAAAAGAAAAAAAAAAAATTAATATTAAATATGTGCTATCTTTAAAATATTCTATAAGCTTTTTTCAATTTAAGTTTAATTAACATATGAACTATTTTAGTATTCTTTTAGGTAAATTAGCAAAGATAAAAAAAGAACAATTTAAGATGAGTATTTTGTATATATTACACCTTCAAAATATTATATAAAAGACAAATTTTTATATATGAGAGAAAATTTTAAAATTCTTATAGATAAATTTTTAATGATGAATTTTTTGTAACTTTTGTAAAAGTTTTTGAATTTTCCCTTTTTTTTTTTTTTTTTTTTATTAAACTATTCTGTATAAAAGTTTATCTTTAAAAAAAATTGAAATGTTTAAACATTTATCTGGTAAAAATTAAAAGCAGCATTAATTATATTAATGGCAATAATCTCAATATTCTTAAATGAAAAATAAAAATATATATATATACATGTATTTTATAATTTTAATTTTAAGAATTTTTTTTACAAAAATGTTTTAAAAAAAAATTGTGTTCATTCAATAGTACTTTAATTACTATTTAAATTAAAAAATTCATATATTTTTTTAATGACTTTAATAAATCAAAATTAATTCTTTTATTATCAATAAAATTTCATTAATATATTAAAATTTTTAGATTAATACACAATTAAAAAATTCCTTAATGATATACAGATAGTTATATGTATTTTTTTAAAAAATCCTATTGAAATTGCCGCACTCTTTAAAAAAAATTTAACAAAAAAAAAAAAAAAAAAGGATAAACAAATTTCACTCTCATAATTAAAGTATAATTTAATTTTTATAAAGAAGAAAGAATTTAAAGGACATACAATATATTTGTATTTTTTATTTTTAATAAAATAATTCATTTTTTATATATATTGGTATTTATAGGGATAGATAATTTATTAATTTATTTTATTTATTTTTATTTCATTTTTTAAATAATATTTATTATATATACATTTAACAAAGGAGATATACAAATTTTTGAAGTTCTTTGATATTAAAAAAAATTAAAGTAAGAAAAAAAAAAAAAAATGAATATATTTTTGTACTACTATTTTAACGATGTTGTGTGATGAAAAAAAATATTTTTGTAATGAAGTAAATATAATGTTTTTAAAATAAAAAAGAATTTATATAATAGATGATATATCTTAAATTGAAAAAGAGCAAAATATATTTTTTTCTTTTTAATATATTTTAAACTTTAGAAAAGAGAATTAGTTAAATTGTAAAATAAAATTGAAGATATATAATAATATAAACATTTAGTAAATAAAAAAATATACTTTAAAAAAAAAAATATAAGGAGACTTTTGTGAATAAATAAATAATGAAGAAAGTATCTTGATCTATTAAAAAAGGATCATTCTTTTATGATATTTACTTTATTATTAATATAAATGGATATATGTATAGAGGAATATTTTATTACATAATTAGTCATTTCTATTTGGTTTTGTAAAAGTTAAAAAAAAAAAATTTCCTTTTAGACAATATAATAAAAAGAGTTTTTAATTTTATAGAATGAATTGTTTTTTATTTTATTTATGTGTTTATTTTTTATATTCACTACCTTAAATGATATCAGAAATAGAAAAATAATTTTATTATATATTTTAATATTGATATATATATATTATATTATTTATAATTACAAAATTATTTTTTTTTTTTAAATTAATAAAAAAAAAAAAAAAAAAAATACTATGCTTCTATGAATATTTCTTTAAATTTTACAAAAAAAAAGTTCTGAAGATAAATATAATTAAATTTTATAATGGGGGATTTTATTTAATTAAACCATTAAATAATATGAAAAAAAAAAAAAAAATCAAATCAAGAAAAAGAAAAAATTAAAATATATTGCAAATATTGGATTAAATAAATTGAAAAAAAAAAAAAAAGATCATATAGGATTATAATTAATTGTATATGTGTCAAAAATTAGGAAATAATATAATTTTCTAATATATATACCAAAAAATTTTTTTATTTATTTTACTAGCTTGTTTACAAGCTAATTTTTTTTTTTTTTTTTTTTTTGATCAAAATGTCGATTTTGCAAAAAATAGCTGATATTGAAGCCGAAATGGCTAAAACCCAAAAAAATAAGGCCACAAATTACCATTTAGGTCTGTTAAAAGCAAAATTATCAAAATTAAAAGCTCAACTAATTGAAGGAGGGACAAAAGGAGGTGGTGATGGTGAAGGTTTTGATGTTTCAAAAACAGGAGATGCAAGAATAGGTCTTGTTGGGTTTCCTTCGGTAGGAAAATCTACTTTATTAAATAAATTAACTGGTACTTTTTCTGAAGTAGCATCTTATGAGTTTACTACTTTAACTTGTGTTCCTGGTATTTTTAAATATAAGGGAGCGAAAATGCAATTACTAGATCTTCCTGGAATTATTGAAGGAGCTAAAGATGGAAAAGGAAGAGGGAAACAAGTTATTGCAGTAGCAAAAAGTTGTTCTTTAATTTTGATTGTTTTAGATGTTTTAAAACCTTTAACTTATAAAAAAATTATAGAAAAAGAACTAGAAGGCTTTGGTATTAGGCTTAATAAAAAACCCCCAAATATAATTTTTCAGAAAAAAGACAAAGGGGGAATAAATATAACACACACAGTTCCATTAAATAATCTTGATGAAGACATAATTAAATCTATTTGTCATGAATACAGAATTATGAATGCTAATATATCAATAAGATGTGAAGCTACTGTTGACGATATTATTGATGTAATTGAAGGGAATAGATTATATGTTCCATGTATTTACGTTTTAAATAAAGTAGATCAAATTACTATGGAAGAGTTAGATTTAATTACACAACTTCCACATAATGTTCCTATATCTGCTCATCTAGAATGGAATTTAGACGGATTATTAGAAGCAATATGGAATTACTTAGATTTGGTTCGTATTTACACTAAACCTAAAGGTCAAATACCTGATTACGATTCACCTGTAATTTTAAAAAAAGAAAAATCAAAAGTAGAAAATTTCTGCAAAAAAATTCATAGATCTTTAGTACAACAACTAAAATACGCACTAGTTTGGGGGAAATCAGTTAAACATAATCCTCAAAAAGTTGGAAAGGATCATGAATTAAACGATGAAGATGTCGTTCAGTTAGTAAAAAAATGATATATATTAGAATAAGTTATAAAGGTATAACAAAATAATATTCGTTGATTTTAAAAAAATACATTTTAAAATTGCACTAAAAAAAAAAAAAAAACTAAAATCTCTTTAAAATTGAACTATATATGTATATATTCAAAGTTATTTAGGTATAAAAATGTGTATAAGAAGTTATATATTATAAATACAATATAAAAAATATTTGATTTTTTTTTTTAAATTTGATGAATTTTTTTTTTTTTTTTTATATTCTGTTTCATTCAATTATCATATTTATTTATATTCTATTCTTTTTTATTTACTATGTATTTTATACATTTTCATAAAACTGTCATTTTTTTTTTTTTTCTTTCTCTTTTTTTTTAAAAGAAACTTTTTTTTAATATAAATAACTTGTAATAAGTATATTAATATGTAATTTCTTGTATAATTTTTATGTCTATTTAAATTATGAATAGAATTTATCTCAAATTTTTTTTTTAAGGTGAAGTAATTATTTAATAGAAAAATATATTTAAAAAAAATATCTACAAAGTATTATCTCATTTGCAAAAAACAAAACAAAACAAAACAAAACAAATAATTGAATTTCATTTCTTTTTTATTAAAGGTCTTCTATTACTTTTTCCTTAGAGTTCTGTAATATTTATTCCTTTTATTTAGCATAATGTTGTATATATTCATCTTAAAAAATAACAGTATACATATTTTTTATTATACATAATTTTAATAATAAACGAATTTAGTTTATAATAATTTTGCTTGGTTTCATATTAATTTGAATTAAAAAAAAAAAAAAAAAAAAAAAATCTTTGTGCAAAAGAATTTATTGAATACAAATAATTTATTTAAAGAGACTATCATACATTATATAAAGATTTTTCTTAACATTTTGTAAACTAATAGAAAGTGGATTATTTCTTATCTAAACTATATTTAAATAGTTCATTACATTTAAAACTGAAAATTTATAATTAAAATAATTTATTTTCTATTAATAATTACTAGCAAAACATACTTCTTTTTTTAAAGAAATATTAAATAACTTTGTTAAAAGTCTATCCATTATATGTATTCTAAATAAATATAAAATGACTTTTAAATTTAGAAAATGATATAGTATATTTACTTTTTATAAATAGAAATAAATGCAAGTAGATTAAATTAAAATTTTGAATATTTTAATATTTAAACGAAATATGTTGTATTTATGATATTTTTAATAAATATATATAACAAAAAAAAATAATAAATAACAGCGATGTAGTGAATATCTAATAAATGCCTTAGTTTATGTTTATATTCGTTATCCCAATATATATTCTTATATCATTTTTTTTAATAAAAATAAAATTTATATTATAATATTTAAAATACTCAAATTATTTAAGGAAGTTAAAATTATATATATCTTATCATTTCATATATTTCATTTATCTTTGTGTAATTTCTAGTAACTTTACAATTAATAATGAAAATTCTTTCGTAAAAAAAAAAAAAAAAAAAAAAAAAAAAAAAAAAAAAAAAACATAAAAACTTTAAAAAAAAAATAAAAATTTTAATTATTTAATAAAAAGATGAATTCNTATTTTATCATTTCATATATTTCATTTATCTTTGTGTAATTTCTAGTAACTTTACAATTAATAATGAAAATTCTTTCGTAAAAAAAAAAAAAAAAAAAAAAAAAAAAAAAACATAAAAACTTTAAAAAAAAAATAAAAATTTTAATTATTTAATAAAAAGATGAATTCAAATATTCACAAATAAAAAAAATTTTAATTTTAATTTGTAAGCATAAAAAAAAGTAAACTTTAAATATAAAAAAAAAAAAAAAACATTTAAAAATTTCTTTTAATAAAATTATTTCAATAAAATAATTTAAAATTTTTTAAATTGTTGTCCATAATGCACATATATATTAAAAAACAGAATATAAATATATTTTAATAAAAAAAAAAGGAGAATTTATAAATGGAGAAATTTTGTTTTTTTTTTTTTTAAATATTAATCTAATTTCTTTTAATTAACACATATACGTTCCTTAAATAGAGTTATTTAAATGTATAGATTTGTTTTATTTCGTTATAATAACAAATATTAGAATTATATAATAAAAAAAAAAAAAAAGAAAATGAATGATATTCCACATATTATAGTATTATCACATAATAAAGGAAATGTAAAAAGTTTCTTAGAACATTTAAAGGATAAGTTCGAATTTTTAGAATATTATGAAAATTCAGATTATTATAGAATTACATTTGATCATAAAAATATAAATACAGAAAATAATTATTTTATATTTAAAAATGAAGCAAAAATTAGAATAATAAATAAATATTATTCTGCTGATGTTATTATATCTTCATGTATTGTTAAAACAAAAAAAAAAAAGGATCACGAAGAAAAAGAAAGTGAAGTGGATATAAAAATAGAGAAGGAAATAGATGTAAAAAAAATACTTTATGAATGTATAATTTTTTTATTTGATAATTTCAGTAAAGAGGAAAAAATATTAATTAATGAAAATCCTTTCAGAAATTATGATGATGATTGTGTAGAATATATAAAAGATTCATTAAATGGTAAGATGATAAAAAATGAAAATTTTGATTTTTCTAATTTATATAAAGATATAGGTATAAAAATTGCTATATTTCCTTTAAGTTTGCAAGAATGTAATAATGAAATTATCAATTTTTTTAGTGAATATTTTATTGAATGCTTATATATTAATTATGAATTAGAGACATTGAATAAAAATATCGAACAAAAAAGTTCAAAGATATATTTTTGTGATAAATTAAAAGAAAAAAAGAGAAACATACATGAAGATTACTATGAAGAAGATAATGAAAGATTGGTTGAAGCGTTACATTGTCATATGTGGAAAAATTTAGAAATTAAAAAGAAAAATACAATTACGCATAATTTGGTAGATATTGAAAATAAAATAGATAAAATTAAAGAAGATACAGACAATGGTAAAGATATGAAAGAAAATAGAAATGACATAGATGATGAAAATATTAAAAATGATAGAATTATAAAAAGTAAAGATAATATTAAAAATAATAATAACATAAATAACATTGGAGAAATAAAATATGATGAAAATGTTAAAAATGATAGAATTATAAAAAATAAAGATAATATTAAAAATAATAATAATATAAATAACATTGGAGAAATAAAATATGATGAAAATGTTAAAAAGGAAAATAATGTGAACGATGAAAAAAATATAAATAATAATGATAAAGGAGAAGATAAGAATACAGACTTATTCTTGCAAAATTTTAATCAAATTATAGAAAAAATAAGATTAGTTAAGCAGGAAAATAAAAATTGTAGTGATTCTGTAAGAAGAAAAAAAGCAGAAGAATTGATTTTTGAATTACAAAAATATTTTTGTGATATTGATGATGAATAACATTTTTTTTCTTTTTTTTTTTTTTTATTTTCTGTTATACTTAGAATACTTTATTTTTATTTTCTTTTTTTTTTTTTAAGGATTTAAAAAGTAAACAAAAAAAAAATATATAAGAACATGTAAAATATTAAAATGTTTAGAATATAAATACATATTATTAAATAATGAGAAATATTTATGATTGATATAATAAAAATGAAGCCTAAAAATAAAATAAGAAATTTAAAAGCATATATTACTCTTATAAAAACTTAATATATATGCATTTTTGATTAAATGCACAACACAAGATTACAATTTTTAAAATTCCATTTAATCTATTAATAATACATAGTAAAAAAATAAAATAATAATACATTTTAGGTAAAGATATTATATAATATTGTTTTATGTGCTTTTTTTTTTTTTTTTTTTAATATTAAGAATAGTATTTTTCGTAAAAGTAAAAGGCATTGATTATTATCATAAAATTATATATAATTGTTATCATTCTTTTTGTTCTTTTTTTTTTGTTCTCACATATAATAATATTAGGTTATTAAACTTATTCAAAAGTATATGCATAAGAGTGATATTTTTTAAAAATGCAAGAAAAAAAAAATGTAAAGATTATGTTTGATTAGACATGCAAATATTTTATACTTGAACATACGATAACTTTAATGCATTAATGACTCCAATACATTGTTGTAATCTGCATTTTTTAACAATAATTTTTCTTAACACACTATTGAAAATAAAATATTTAAATCATTATTCTTCATAATTTATTTGTGTTGCAGAGTTTAAATGAAATATTAAAAAAAAATATATTTTTAAAATATTACTTTTTTTTTTTTTTTTTTTTTACATTTTTCTTAAATTAAATGTTAATTGATTGTAATTAACTTTTATAAGTTTTATTATGCTTTTTTTTTTTATTATTATTTTTAATTCATGTAAATAATATGTTATTTTTTTTGTAAAATTACATTTTTTTTAAGACTAAGATAAAATATTATAATTTTTCATACTATTTATAAATAATTCAATGTATCCTTATATTTCATAATTATTTGATTGTTCGAATGAATCTTTATTTGTATGCATGTACAAATATATATATTTTTTGTTATAAAATTGTTAATATATATATATAATTAAAAAGAAATTAAAAGAATAAATTAAAAAGTTGCTACATTATTTTATAAGAATTAAAATATATTTTTAAATAACTTAATTATTTTAAGAAAAGAAAAGAATTAATAATCATATTATAGATAAAAATAAGATTAAATAATTAAGGTTGTAATTTGAATAAGGAATTATTAAGCAAAAAAGTATATAAAATAAAATAAAAATGATAAATATAAAAAAAAAAAAAAAAAAATGAACAACAAACATTAATTATATACAACTTTAAAATTTCCTTTTTTTTTTTTTTTTAGATTTGTAACCATGTGTATTTTTTTTTTTCTAAATAAAGTTTTAGCAACAGTTGGAGGAGTACTCTTGGTTTTTTATGATTTATCAAAAATTTATATTCCATATATGCAAAGTGATTATCATAGATCAATATTACAAGATACTAAATACTTCCCGTCTTCATATTTTATATTGCTAAGTTTTTCTTATATGTTTTTGAATACTTTAAGTTCTACAAAAAATTATGTATCAAATTCCTTAAGAGGTAATATGCAGAATTCAATTAGTAATAATAATAATTAAAAAAAATAATATCTTATTTTCATTATTTTCCTATTATTATTTTTTTTCTTAATATTAAGGTTTTTTGGGTTGTTTTCTAATTACGTATTCTTTATTTTACTTTTTATGTCAATCCCTCATATGTTATGGTATATATATTTAAAAAAAAAAAAAAAGTTCATTCCATTCAAATGATAAAAATATGAAAAAACTATAAAAGGATATTCATATATATGTAATTAAAAAAAATATCATTATTACAATTATATAAAACATTTTTATTCCTTTCATAGATTATTCTAATTCGGAATTACCAGAATTTAAAGAAGCAGTTTATTTTTGTATTTTTCTTTTCCTTTATATGTGTTCATTAATAATCGAAACTTTCCGTTCCTTAAAAACAAAACATCAGATAAATGAAAAAGAATCAGGAAGTATTAAAATTGAGGTTTAAAAACATTCTCAGTATTTTAAAACATAAATTTTTTAAATTAATTTTTATTTTATTTTTTATCATATATTCTTACATATATGTATACACAATACATTGTTCACAAAAAAAAAAGTTTAAAAATATAAATGTAAAAAAAAAAAAAAAAATTTATTAATAATATTATAATTTATTCTATATGTATTATGCACATAGATTTATGTAGGGTATATATATATATAAATATATTATATTTCTAAAATATTTTTTTTTATTTATGTCAAATCAAAACAAATATTTTTGTAATTCACAATTAAATTGTCAAATAAAAAGATCATATAATTAATAAAAAAAAAATTTACACTTAAAAAAAAAAAAAAGGAAGCCCATTAAAATACAAATATTTCTAATAAAGTATCTTTTTCTTTTTTTTTTTTTTTTATAATAAAAGTAATGATACTAGCATATGATAATAAAAAAGGGTTTTTTAAAAAGGAAATTAAAATTATATATATTATTATTTAAAAAAAAAAAAAAAAATAAAAATAAAATAATTATAAAACCTTAACAACACATCAAAATAATGCATGTGTGTGTTATATATCCTTATCATAGAGTTACATATTTTTTGATCTTGAGAATATATGAATTAAGCCGCATGCACTTCCATATGCTATTATATAATTTTTATCAAAATTTGCAAAAGAAATACTAAAAAAAAAAAAAAAATAAATATATAATATATTAGTTGTAATATTAAAATAAATAAAAAAAATAATGTTCTTCAAGTTTTATAAATAAGGCATAAATGAATTTTTTTTTTTTTTTTTTTTTTTTCTTACGATTTTGGTGTTAAAGCTATAGTTTTTTTATTTATTTTACTTTCATATTTTTTAGATTTTATAATTTTGATACCATTATTAAAAATATTTTGTAAACCTTGTAAATATTCATAAAGTAGTATCAATGAAACTGAATGAACTTCTTCATTTTTCATACAACTAATTTTTAATAATATATGTGGATTTAATTCGAAATCTTTTGTTTTCCATATAAAAAATTCATTGTATTTAACTTTTGATTTACTTTTCTTTAATTTCCCATTTATTATTGTACCATCATCAAATATAAACATAAAAATGTTATTCGTTATAAAACTATTTAAACATAAAATGTCTATTAAATTATTATTAGTTTTATCAATATTTAAAATATAATTTTTTTCAAATAAGTGTAGTATACATCCCTTATCTTGACCAAATAAAATACAACTATTATTATACCAATTTAAATGAGATACTGTTTCTGTTTTTCTTTTAAAAAAGAAAAGTTCATTATTATTCCTTATATCTATTATTACAATATTTCCTTCTTTTGAACAAATACAAAGAAGATGCGAATTAACACATGGATAAAAAGAACATAATGATAATATACCATGTTGTAAAAAAATTAAATCTTCATAAACATTAATTTCGTATTTCTCAAAAAAATCTTTTTTATCTTCTTTTTTTTCTTCACTTATATTTCTTTCATTATTCATATTACCTATATTATCTTCATTAATTTGACATTTTTCTTGCATAATATTTTTATTATTCTTAAAAATAAAATCTAGATCGTTGCTACAACCTTGAAATGATATATTTATTGTTTTTAATTTATCTATTATATTATTAATTTTATTTTTATTTATCTCATTTAAACTAATAGTAACTATCTTTATTTTAAAATTATTATAACAAATAGCTAATCTTAAAAATCTTTTATTATTCTTTATACAAACGTTATATGAAAAATCACTTAAAACATCATTACTTTTATATGTAAACAACTTTTTCATTTTTTTTTTTAAAAAATTTTTTTCTATATATTCAATATTAAAATTTTCATATTTTATGGATAAAAAGAAATTAACAAAAAAATTATATTTAGAAATTCCATATATTTTTATCTTATTTCCTATTAGGCATAATAAAAGGTAAATATATTCGTTTTCATTTTTATAAGAAATATCATCAAACTTTATCCATGACAATTTTTTACATACTGCATTATTTTCTATAATATCTATAAAAATAGGTTTACTCAAAAATTCAGATATAAAATATATAAAAATAAAGTTTTTACTCTTTTTAGTTGAATTAAAATACATAAAATTATTCAAATAACTGCATACACTAATACTTAATAGACTACCATTAAAAACTTTAGAGCATTTTAAAATTATATCATTCATTAATTCATATACATACTTTTTTTTTTCATTATCTTCTTGTGATGCATCAGTAATTTTATTAAGTTTGTTATTTTTTTCATTTTTCTGTACTCCATTATTTTTATCTTTTTTTCTAACATAATTATTTCCTTCATGAGTGTTTTCTCTAGTTTCACAAAAATTTTCATTTCTTCTCTTTGCATTTAAAAAATAAGATAAAAAATTCACAACATTAATACTACTACTAAAATCAAGATAAATTATAGAAGAACATAAGCTCAAAAAAACATTTTCTTGAGTTAAATCTTTTGTTAATTCTTCATCTAATTTTTCCATAATTTCTTTCATATTAATAGTTATATCTACTTTATCTTTTTCATTATCTTCTCTATCATTATATAAATAATTACATATTAATATAAAATATAAAAATTCTGTTACGTGAGGATTTAGAGAAATATATATATCATTTATGTAAATATGATCTTCATTATTGAAATTCTTTTTCTCTAAACATATTTTTAGTATATCTTTATTTTCTGTACTTTTTTCAAAATTTTCTAAATTCTTTTGATTTCTAAAACTCGATCTATTCTGTACTTTTTTTTTTATGTTTTCAACAATACTTTCACTCTTAAATGGAAAAACATTTATTTTTTTTTTGTTAAAATCTATTTGAATATTTTCTAAAAAAAATATGTTTCTAAAATTGTTACCTTCGTAATTTAAAATATATTCAATTTCAATATTTTCTTTTATATTAATTGTACTTTTTTCTTCATTATCATTTTTATTAAATTTATCTTTTTTATACGTTTCTTTTTCTTGTTTTTCAGAATTTCCTTTTTTCAAAAATTCTGATATTATGAAGTTTAGTAAATCATTATTTTCATTTTCATCATTTAAATAATTTAAATATTTAAAAAGGTCTATATTATGATAGTCTATTTTTTCATTTAACAATTTTTTAATTCTACTATCAATACAATTTTCATGATTTTTTGTTTTGCTTCCTTTATATTTTTGTTTATTTTTTACTTTATTCTTAACAAGATTGCAGTTAGAATCCTCATGAGCATCACTACAACTTTCATATAACGATTCATCACTTTTGTAAGAGGATAATGTAAATAAATCATTATCATCTCTTTCGTTTTCTTTTGATTCAGAATAATTATCCCTATTTTTTATTGAATCAGAAGGACAATTATTTTTATTTTTATTTTTATTCAACTTTGTTTTATTTTTAGAAGTTACATATGATTTTCTATTTTTATTAATTTTCTTCTTGCTTACATAATTTTTATAAGGTATATTTTTTGGTATGTTTTTTTTTTTTTTCATTTTTTTTTTAAATTCATCAAATTTATCTAATTTTATTTTAACTTAGAAATTTTTTCCATTTATAATAAAAATTATTTATATGTTAGGAAAAAAAAGGAAGATTCACAAAAAATTAAACTTTAAAAATATTTTCATCAAAAATAGTTTGTTAAAAGTGAATTATAAAAATTTATCTAGTTAGAAAAAATATAAGAAAATTAAATACTAAAAATTAAAATAGTTTGATAAATATATAATAAAAATAAAAAATAAAAATGTCATTTAAAAAAAAAAAAAAAAAAATTATTTATTGGTTACTCTGACAGCTATTTTTATTATATTAATTTATTAACAAAGATCATGTTGTAAATTTAATTACTCGTTAAGTTAAATAATAAATTATAATTGGTAAACAATTATTCCATATTTAAAAATTACAAAAATTTCTTTTAAAAAAAAAAAAATTTAATATTCATAAGATACAATGAAAAAATAAATGTTTAAATTACATTAATTTCATAAAATAAATTATTTTGATACAGCAACATTACATTGCTTTCTTATTATATTTTTACTCTTTACAGTTTCATCGCTTTTAAAAATTTCCATATTTTAAAGAAATTAAAGGTCTACTTGTAATGGAAATTCCTAAGATGCTTATTTTTTTTTTTTATATCATTTCATTTTTTTATGTTTATTTCTAAATTTTATTCTTGACTATTATTATTATTTTTAAAAAATACATTTATTTCCTATTTGTTTGTAATGCCTATATAAATTTTATATAATTATGCTTATTAATTTTGGTATTCTTTTAATATTATTTTTTTTAGTATCACTTATAAACATTGTATAAATATCTTTTAATATATAAAAAAATACAAGATTGAGTAAAAGAAAATATATATATATATATATATATATATATATATATATATACATTTAGGAAAACTTAAAATTAAATACAATAATTAATACGTTGTAATATATAATTATATATTTTTATAAGACTGTTTTAAGTTTAAATACTACACAGGAAAGGTGCATAATTAAAAAAAATTCTATTATTTTATAAAAGTTTATATGTTGATATACTCATTAATACAATTATTCTCATTAATAATTTTTATCTTTTTCTATATATTACGAAAAATAATAAAATTAAAACATGATGAGAATTAAAAAATTAATATTAATTAAAAATATGTTAATAAAATTATTTATAATTATTGTTAATAAAAAAAAAAAAAAAAATTTAAATTTCACAAAATTAAAATATATAATATATTATATTAATTTTTAAATAATACATATTTCATATATATATAACTATTTGTTTAAATTAGTGAATAAAATAGAATATGAAAAAATCAATGTAATAAATACACAGTAATAAAAAAAAAAAAAAAAAAAAAAATACGTACCATATAAATACGTTGATATGTAAATTTATAAGTAAAAATATATATATTTTATTTATCTTATTATTTATCTTTTCTTTTTCTCTTATAATAATAATAATATATATATATATTTGTAAATATACATAATTGTTTGTACGTTTTTATTATTTCTAACATGTTCTTGTACAATTTTTTTTTTTTTTTTTTTTTTTATCTTTATTTTATTTTTTTTTTTTTTTTGATTTTTTTTTATTTTTTTTTTTTTTTTTTTTTTTTTTTTTTTTTTTTTTTTTTTTTTTTTTTTTTTTTTTTTTTTTTTTTTTTTTTTTTTTTTTTNTTTTTTTTTTTTTTTTTTTTTTTTTTTTTTTTAATATTATTTTCTGTTGTTATTTAAAATATGATTCAATTTTTTAGCTTGTTTATGTGTTAAGGCAGAAGTTGCTAAATTATTTAAATAAGATTGATCTAAAGAATTTATTAGTGAAGAAATTTTTTTGTTACAATCACTATCTGAAAAATCTGTTTCATAAATTGTTAAAAATATTTCAATTATTTTTGATGTATTTGAATCGTCTTTTCCAAATAAAAGTGGATGATTTTGTGAAACTAAATCAATTAAATTTTTATGAACTCTCCTTCCTTCTGCATCATCTTCTTTTATTGGTAAATTATTTAACCAAATTTTAATTAATTCTTCTGCATTATTAAACTTCGATGTGTGCATTAAAACAACATCTCCTAAAGCAGCTACGGCATTATCAATAGCTGAAATAAATTCTTTTGATTTTTTATTAGAATTATTTTGATGTATTAATTTCAAAAGATATTCTACAGCAATATTAGCATATTTACCAAATGCCTCAATTTTGGTTGCTTGAATGACACCATAGCATGCAGCTTGTTTTACTTTATCATCTGAATGGTTAATATTTAACAATAACGGATTCATGAAATATTCCCATAAACAGACACTATTTTCTTGTAAAAACTCTAATAAATCATCACAAACATATAAAGCCAATGCTATATCTTCAGAATTAGGAGAACTTAAATAATTATTAATAAATGTTATACATATTTCACAACATGTATTTAAAAATTGCGTGGGATGAAATTTAATTAATACACCTAATATATCTAATAAATTTGTTCTGTAATTTTGTTCTAATTCTTCCTCCCTATCTATTATTAATAATTCATCTTCATCTACATCTTCATTATTTTTTTTTTGATTATAAATAATTCTCCTATCTGTAGAGCATTCTAGCAATTTAAATACTTGATTAAAAAATAATTTCAATGTGCCTTCAGGTAAAACATCTGCACCTGCTTTTTGTAAGCACATATACAATCCATGTGATTCAATAATCATAACATCCAATATATATTCATAGTTATCATCCAACTTTGTTTCTGACAAACTTTTTAACACTTTTTCCGCAGCAGCTGTTAAAATCGCATGCAACATAGACTTGTTATTGTCAGTTTTTTCTGATAATATTCTAGCTGCATCTATTAATTCACTAACAGCAGTTAATGCTTTTTGCTTTATTTCATCCGACAATTCATAATTTAACATAGGTAGGACTGATGTAGCTGTAGCTTGGATATATTCTTTGTAATTTTCTTTTAATACTTCAATTATAATAATCAACAAATCTAAGGCTTTTTCTTGATCTTCAAGTAATGATGTTTTCAATCCTACATATTGGCCATTAGATACCATAGTGATAGTTAAATCTTCTTCGTCATCTGTTAATGGCTTAGGTAAAACTGATAAAACAGATAAGATAGTTGGTACAATATTACTTAAATAAGGATAAAAGTCATTTCCTAATGCTCTACATATACGTCCAATAGCTTCTTGAATGTATTCTTTTACAGTATCATCTGGATCCATTTTTCCACTACTTATTTGAAGTAAAGCATTCATACATTCTTTAGCATCTTCTAAAAATATATCCTTACCTACTGATAAACCAATAATTGAAATACATTCTATAGCTTTTCCTCTACATGTTCTTTCTTCTTCTGAAACAGCTTTTTGAATTATATCTTTCATCATTGGAACAACTGTTGAATAATATTTCAAAAAATCTTCTTCTATAACCCCAGCAATAACTGCTATTGCTGTTACAGCTTGTTCTCGTACAAGCAAATAGTTAGAGGAATTTAACTTTTGCAATAAAATATCAATAATAATGTCTGAATATGGCAATAAAGCCGTTTTTTCTAATTCCTCTGCATAATTAACAAATGCAGCTGTAGCATGTGATTGTACTCTTAAATGCACATCATTCATAGTGTTAATTAATGCTGGTAATATTTCGCTATAAAACTCTTTTTGAACATATGGTTGATGATCTAATGAAATTTGACCTATTGCTTGGCATGCTGCATACCTAACTCTAACATCTTGATCTGTTAAAACTTGTAACAACATTTTGATTACATGTTCTAATTGTTCTTCTATTTCTTCTTCTGGTAAGTACTCAATTGTTTGAGCAATTGCCATTATTCCAACATATTTATGTTCCCATGTATTTTTCATTAAAAATTCTGAAACTTTGTTAAATAAAATATGAATAAATTCTGCTTCTTCGATTTCACTAAATGCCTTACCAACCCTATCTAATGATTCTTCACCTATATCATAAAGTTCTTGGCTATCATCTTTTCCTTCTTTTATGGAATTCATCCATTCATTAAAACAATCATTATTTATGTCAAGCATAAATAACATAGATAAATGGATAATTTTATCTACAAAATGAGGAACAGATAAAGCCATTTTTGGTCTTCTCTCTGGTATTGTAACTAATGCTTCAATACTCAATGATTTCAAACTGTTATCAAAATCATAATTCAACTCGTTTTCATCTTTCATACATATGCTAAATAATATATCACATAAATTAGATATATGTTTTGAAAAAAATTTGGCATTATAATCAATCATTTTACCAATAGACTGAAGTACTTTTTCGCATTCTTCTAAAACAGAAATATCTGAGCTACTATTTTTTGCCATTAAACTTAATGATTGCAGTATTAAAGGAATGCATGATTGTACACTTTTAACTAATGATGAACTGTTATCTTCTACTATACATGAAATTAAATTGATACATTCTCCTCTAACTTGAACATTTGAAGCATTTAATCCTTTCATGCATATAGATGAAATTATTTCATGTTTTCCTTCCAATTCATCCGTTACACAACTTAAAACTCCTCCTAATATCTTATATCCACTTATTAGGACATCGTTATTATTAGAATTACAAAACTCAAAAGTAACTGTTATTAATTCTGGCCATTGGTTATTTAGAAGTAGCTTAGATGATAAATCAATTATATTATTACATATATTATTTCGTACCATTTTATCTGTCTCTGTTCCTATGTTACTGATTAATTCTGATTTCACAATATTTTTTAAATTATCTGGCAATAACTCCCAATAGTTTTCTTCTTCTGAATTTAAAACAGAGTTTTCATTTTTTTCTTTTTCTTCTGTTTCCACATTTGTGGATTTTATATATACACGAAAAATGTTCCTAATTAATATAGCACATTGTAATCTCACTTGACTATCTTTATGGCTTTTTAACAGTTTTAAAATCGACAATACTGTGTTATTTAAATCATTCTTTTTATAAAAATTTAGCGTTTTTTCACATTCATTTCTAATATGACTATCAGAGCTACTTAATCCTTCAATAATTTCTGCAATCTTATCCATCACTTTCTAATTACCTCTTTCACTCTATATATATATATATAAATATATATATATATATATATAATATAAAAATATACAATATATAAAATATATACAGTTAAATGTACATAAAAACTTTAAACAGTATGTAAAATTATATATGGTAAGGATATTACAAAACTATCTAAAACATATATTTATACATAATTTTTTTTTTTATATATATATATTTTCATTTACAATGATTCTACCGTATTTATGCATTAATATATATATAAATATATATATGTATATATAAATATTTCTTTTGTACTTTTCACTCTTTAATTAATAAAAAAAAAAAAAAAATTTTTTTTTTTTTAATTATGAACAAACATAAATATTTTGGATAACATTCCAATATTTTTAAAAAAAATTATTTTTTATGTTTTACGTTGACTGCTAATATGAAAAATATTAAAAAAAAGAAATAACGAAAATTATAAAATAAAATATATACTTATATATATAAAAAATAAAAAACTTATATACTTGCGTATGCATAAAAAATAAAAAAAATTAAAACTAGTCAAAAAAAAAAAAAAAAAAAAAAAAAAAAAATTTTTTTTT